CACTTCACTTCACTTCAACTTCACTTCACTTCACTTCACTTCACTTCACTTCACTTCACTTCACTTCACTTCACTTCACTTCACTTCACTTCACTTCACTTCACTTCACTTCACTTCACTCGCGCTCAATAGAATTTTTGCCACTTTTAGAATTGGATGAATGCTCTGATGCGGTTTATAACTGTCCTCTAAACACAAGCTGTGCCAATACAGTTGGAACTTATCTTTGTTGTGAAGATTCGGTTTGTAAAGGTAATTGACACAATTTAATATATTATGGATTGATTTGAACATGTTTGAAAGAAAAAAACCTTGCACTTAAAGTCGGTTAGAATATCTGGAAAATTAAAAACAATGACCCAGTAGCCATAGGATGGTTTCAAAAAAATGTAAAACACTTAAAAATGCATTTAAAACTCTCCTTATTTTCACATGTATTGAAAAATATTTAAAACAAGAAATTATATCGGCAAGACTTGGCAACATTTGAGCAAACAAGGCGCGAGAATGACGAATCTCGTTCTCGTAGTCACTGCTGTAGCTATTAGGGAGCTTTGGCAGTGACTACGACTCTACGAGTACGACTACAAGTACGAGATTTGTCTAAAAACTCGTACTCAAAAGCTCAGCGACTATGAGTTTTGATTGATGGCGTAAGCAAACAACGCGCGAGAATGACGAATCTCGTACTCGTAGTCACTGCTAAAGCTCCCTATTACCGTAAAATTTGGCTCCAGAGATTAACCAATTCTCATTCTCCCAATTATTTCGTCTAAATTATTAGAGCCACGCATCAGATTACAAGGTCCGTTAATTTCAAATGGCACTGGTCGTGTGGAAGTATTATATGCTGGACAATGGGGACCAATCTGTGGTAATAATTGGGATATACGAGATGCTCAAGTGGCATGTCGTCAACTTGGTTATCTGGGTGCTCTTCAAGCTTTCCGCAGGTCCAATGACCAATTTCCACCAGGTTCAGGACGGTCATGGCTAAACTATGTTAATTGCGCTGGGAATGAACAAGAACTGTCTAGTTGTTCTTCTCGAGGGTGGGGTCGCCATTACTGCTTCCGTTATCAACATGCTGGAGTAATGTGTTCGTTTGAAGGTGCTTAACGTTATTATAATCTGGTCAATCTATTTTGCAACTAATTGATGTTAATTTTTCTAGTGTAACAATTCTAGCAAAGATGACTAACAAATTCTACATGTATTATTGTATACAGATGTCGATTATTGTTCTTTGGGATTGCACAACTGTCGGAGTAATTCCCAATGTATTGCTGACATTGACAGTGGTTTTACATGCAGATGTAAACAAGGTTTTACCGGAGATGGCGTTACTTGCTCTGGTGAGTTATATACAGGGTGTATAAAATAATTGCAACCACAATAATCTTCCCAGAGGCCTACGATCTTTTGTCATTGAATAGAAGCGAACATATACTGCATATGGATATTAGCTAAGTAACAGTAATGAATTGTTTACATGCATATTTAAACAAGGCTATACCTAAAATGGTGCAGCTTGCAGTGGTAAGTTAAATTGCAAAACCTCAAAATAACTTATTTGGGAATATTTAAAAAAATGTAATTGTTCTGATCCATTAGTTATTATATAATTACGTTTATTTGCCTGTTTAATCATACCGTGTTCTATAATGGACAGATAATTAACAATTCAATGTTACCTATTTGTTAATTACAGAGCCTCTCACTTTCTAACATACTATCTACACTATTTTTGAAAATAGCATTACATATATAGGTTATACAGCTTACCTGGAATATTGATTAATAGTCTGACGGTGTCTTTGGAATTATGAAGACAAAATATCACTGTCTCTATATTTACACTCTTATTTTATCTTAAAAAACAAAAACTTTATTTTGTACCTTCCGAAGTTGCCTGCTTTGCTTGCCTTGGTAAACCACCCCAAGCACCCCCGCGCAGTCGCCTTTTTTCGACTGACTTCCATACAATGACTAAATGCAACGTTATATATTTTACTATTAAACCGCTGGGGTACGAAGCTGGATTATTTCGATAAATAAATTGAACAATTATGTATTTTTAACGATTTATATTGAGAATAATGCCCGGATGTACGGAATTATGGAATTTTGTTTCGAGTGCATGCTACACGATTCATAAAATAAATTTCCAGCCAGGCATTCATATATACCGTAATTATTCGATTATTAAATTTTTAGCAATTAAGATGCGGCGTTTATTCGAGGGCGGCGTTTATTCAAGGGAGGCGTTTATTGCAAACTCGTAACAACTCTGAATTTATTGTGTAATTTAAACGCCAATTTAACCAATACAATCAATCCCCAAAAAAGGAGGGCGGCGTTTATTCGAGGGAGGCGTTTATTCAAGTAATTACGGTATTTGTTTTTATTATAACAAAACTGTTTTTAACAGATTTTTACCCCATCCGGCCAACCATAAACACCATTATCGCTTTTCACAACTCCAGATCCGCGAATAAAACATTATTACTAAATATTTTATTTTTAAATTTATCCCTAGATATCGATGAATGTCTATCGTTTTATGATAACTGTTCTTCGGAAGCTTTTTGCACCAATACCCCCGGATCCTATCGATGTACATGCAATAATGGATACGCAGGAAATGGAATTGTCTGCGACGGTCAGCAGTTGTTTTGAATTTTAAAGGCAAACTTATAAAAATGTAAATCCTCAGAAAAAAACCCATTGGAAATTCAACAGTTTCATAAAATTAAAACTCTTCCATTCAGATGTCGATGAATGTTCTCGAAGTATTAATACCTGTCCTTCAACTTCAAACTGCCAAAACACCGTTGGATCTTTCCTATGCTGTTCTAATCAAAGTGGTATTTGCCGACCAGGTATGTAAGTTATATTTAAAAAAAAACAAAAAGTAATATTACACATTTTAACTTATTTTGTGAACAGGCTAAAACTTAATAAGGAATAATCCAGTATTTTTTGCATGCTTGAAGAATTTTCTAATTATACTATAGAATTATACTATATAAATACAAGCTTTATTTTATCACGCTATCCTCAACTGCCAGTATTTGGCTGATTTCCATGAAGGGCGTGGATTTAAGTTAAACTATTTATAATGAATAAGAATATTAGGTACGCGAAAGAAGAAAGAACAGTATGAAGATAACTATCATATTTTCAACCATACATATTTTCATATTTTTAAAATGATGAATTCATAAGGAATTATGAATTCATCATTTTAATTGATGCGTTATAATTAAAGCATCTGTTATCAAGTTATTTTTCGGCATGGGTGGTGATAGATCAATTTCTCTGTTTCTAAGATTGTACAAAATATTTGCTCTCATAGTTCAGATGAAAATTGTTTTAAGGTTGAGTGCGACGTGGCCATTTAGATATAAATAAAAATATTTTTTATGTAATTCCTCTGCTTGAAGAGGTCGCTAATTTAAACTTTTAAGCAATTCAGATGACCAATAGTCCTTTAATTTGTTTTTTTTCATTGGGAGCTGGTGATAAAAGCCTCACTGAATTACATGCCCTCGCTTAATTTCTTTACCGTAACACGCTAGGGAAAGTTATCAGGTTACAAGGACCGTTTAGTTCAAATGGTACTGGTCGTGTGGAGGTATTTCATAATGGACAATGGGGAACAGTTTGTGATGACAATTGGGGTATCAAAGAAGCTCGAATTGCTTGTCGTCAGCTTGGTTATAGCAATGCTGTCAGAGCCCTTCGCGGTGGCAAAGATTTACGTGGGTCTGGACGGATATGGTTATACGATCTTGATTGCACTGGAAATGAGGACAGTCTGCCCACTTGTTCGCATGACGGATGGGGGAACCATTTCTGCAGCCATTGGGAAGATGCTGGAGTTATATGTTTATTAAGAGGTAAAAACACGTGATGACGTCTGAAAAACGAAGACGTCTGGAAAAAATATTTATGTCCACGATGTCCCTATTTTTTTTTGAAAATGTACATATTCCACGAAATGAAAATAAGATGAAATTTCGGGTTTTGCTGTCAGTAACAGCAAGTGGCATAAATTTGGCGTGACATACATTAGGTTGCAAAAGCTGATGAGTTGAAATATGTTTTTTTTGGCTAACTTCTTAAATTATAAAAAAATGTAAACGTTTATATTAGCCTCTATACCATAGTAGACTAAAATAGTTTTTTATTATATATTTTAAGATTCTATGTTTTTATTCAGGTGTTGATTACTGCTCTCCAGGAATGAATAATTGTCACAAACACGCTCGTTGTCATAAGTTGAAAACTGTTGCCAGGTTTTCATGCTCATGTAAGCCAGGCTTTCACGGAGACGGGACTTATTGCTTTGGTGAGTGTTATGTACACGTCATGGCCTGGTTTATAATATCGTTTTCGGTCCTAATAAAGGTCTTCATTAACTATAATTATAATTGGGGAGCAAAAGCCAGGCCCCGCCAGGCCCTTTTTCTACACAAGGGAGGTTCTACAATATACCTCTTGGTTTCATCAGTCAATTAGACATGAATTTATCCCTAGATAACAATGAATGTTCCACCATTACCTGTGGCTCAAATTCTCGATGCATTAATTCTATTGGATCATTTCAATGCTCCTGCAATAGTGGATACACTAGAAATGGGACTATTTGCCAAGGTATGAACTCACAAGAATCCTAAAATATAATTGGAGATGTCCAAAGACTTTTCCAAAGATTAAAATTAATGGGCTTTCTTGAAGAAAACGAACTCGAATCGTATATATAGTTTGTGTTCTCTTTGAAATCACTCCAAATCATCAGCCCTAAAGAACGAGAGTTAGTGTCATACGTCTAACTGTTTCATAACAATAGAAAGTGAAATAACTGCCGTTTTATTTTTGCTATTCACCGTATATTCACCGAGCTCAGATACGGTAGGTTCTTGACCAATTATGCAGGTAAGAATAAGTCATATACCGTGAACTATGTTATGTAACGTTTTGCACTATTTCTTTAGATATAGATGAATGTTCTCTTTCAACTCACAACTGTCTTCCCACTTTGAACTGCACCAACACTGTTGGATCTTATCTATGTACTTGTGACGATCAACAATCCGGAAATGGCAAAAACTGCAATGGTAAGTTAAACAAATCGAAACTGATAGTATTTAATACTCTCCAAAAATTTGAAATCCATCCTCATGTCTTCACCACATTCTATACTGTATGTTAGAAGTTAATTTTTTGTTTGTTGGTTGCATTATCCGCTGTTTTGCATTTCTGTTCGAATTTATAAAGGTAAAAATAAATGAGTCAGAATAATACCCCAGTGATCTTAGTTTTGTGGATTTTAAACCAGAAAGTTGAAATCTTCAGGCGTCTTTTGTTTCAGAGCTATTTTCCCTTAAAAAGGGTTACAGTCTCCTCATGATTTAGAAATTGCCGAAATTTCTCATGTTATGATATCTTTGAACATAAACTCAATCTCTTATTCATTTAGAAATATAGTGAACTGAAACGGTGATAAATAATTCCGATTGCACAGGATAGCGATTCAATATGTAAACAAAGCGTTTGTTTCCATCACCGACTGCAAGCCATCTTTAAGGCGGATTTCCACTGACAGCGAAATCGTTCGCTAGAGAAATATTTCCATATTTTCTTTTGAATTCAGAACTGTCAAGTCGCTGTAATTAATTTATGCTGTTAGAATTCAAAAGAAAACATGCAAATATTTCGCTAGCGAACAATTTCTCTGTAAGTGGAAATCCGCCTTTAAACGATGCATAAACCAGAGAAAAATAGTCACGTTACTGAACATACATTTTACACATTCAATACGCAGCTACATTCAAAATTAAACTATTTTCAATGGAAATATTTTAGGTCATTTGTTTTGTTTTCCATCTTGAACGTGACCTGTTATCCACTGTTTTTTTTAACGTTCAAAAGCATTGCAACCGGGTAGGGTTATTTCGAACAAATGATGGGGAATACCATGCCCCAGGCCGCCCGTACCATGGGTTCTTTCCCGGGGGCATGGCACTCACTCGAATATACAACGTATTCGCAGCAAATATGGCGGAATCCACATGTCAATACTTTTACGGACCTTTGAAGTGTATGTTTGGCTATTCTTTTTCGATATAAGATATCACTTAGCTAATAGACCCTACGCTTGGGGGATTCAGTGAAATATTTCCTTCAGTAATGATAGTTCGCCGAATACCCTCACTCGAGGTCTATAAATGATATGTAATAATCTAACGTTAAATCCGTCACTTTGTCAAGGACAGAGATGAACTGCATTTTGAGATTGCATCTGCATCAAACAAACTACTTTCCCTACGTTTCAGGAAATGATCGCAATTATGATTACCATTACTCTCATTATTAGCAGGTTATTCCAAAAGCCTCAGATTACAAGGACCATCGAGTTTAAAAGGTCTTGGACGTGTTGAAGTATTCCATAATGGAACCTGGGGGACAATTTGTGACGACAATTGGGATATAAAGGATGCCAAGGTTGTATGCCGTGAGCTTGGCTATCTCAATTCTCTCAGAGCTATTCCAGGGAATGAAACCGTTTCTGGTTCTGGACCGATATGGTTAGACGGAGTTGAATGTAATGGCCGGGAAAAAAATCTGTCAAGTTGTTCTTTTCCAAATTGGGGAGTCAATGACTGCACTCACAATAACGATGCTGGAGTCGAATGTACTTTGGAAGGTAAAAATATATTACGTAACTTCAGGGTTCGGGAAATTGAAAACTAGGAAAAAATTTCCGCTATTTGGTGCGAAGTATAGGTCGATTTCACGGAATTTGCATTTCGAGAATGATTGAAATGATTCAATAAAAATGCCCTACCGCCTGAGACTCCCTCTTCGCTACTGGAAATAGAGGCAATAATTATTAAATAACCCGTTTTTCGAACCATAATTTCTTTTGCACATAAACACGATTATTACGCCTAGCTTAACTTCTTTTGTACACCCTGTAGATCAAGGGTAATAGCACGGTAATGGTATTATGTCATTTATTGAGAACTGTATTATTTTTTTGTTAGTATTCTTACTATACACGGTCATTTAATTAATAGATTTGAAAAACAAGGATTCCTTTCAAAAGAATGCAGACTAGATAATATAATTATTCGATCCGTTAGTTAGTTATTTTCTATTGAATTTAATATTATTTTTTCTGCATGTCCTAATTTCTTCATGGACCAATTTCCTCTCTCACTTTAGATATCGATGAATGTGCCTTAGAAAGTCACACGTGTGGCAGGAATTCACGATGTAAAAGAACATTTGGGGGACATTTATGTTTATGTTATCCAGGTTATACAAGGGAACATGGAACTTGCACTGGTGAGTTCATAATTATTAGCTAATTGTCTTTGCTTGATGGTATATTATTAGCATGTGGTATACATATAGTTTATATAAATGATGTAATCGGCAGCTGCACCGGTGAAAATGTGTTGAATACTTTGACTTGTGTAATTGGTATTTCACCGTCCTTTTGTAATCATTCTGAACAGAATTCAATCTCATAAATTTGTCTAGCTTTCACCAAACAAAGTGCAAAAAATGTTTCAAAATACGCCTAAATAGAGTACGTTTGATTGCAGGTAAACATGTCTGGGGTACGTAACAGGGCAAATTTCAACGCTCTCCAAATAATCTAAATTTAAGGTGGCTCGATACAATTTTTCGAAATTTTTAGATGCACATTTTAAACAGGGATATTAAGCACCTAAATATTTCACTATAAGGCTAAAAGTTAATATACTTTGCAGGAGACATATCTAGAGCGGAAATATTCTCAGAATTTTTGCCTGGCACCCGTTACCATGGCAACAGAGACGTTTCAAAATGGCCGCCAAACAGGGTTTAATCGTGTTTATATCACAAACGAGTTCGGTGACCCCCAATTTTTTTTTCATTAAACGTTTACGCCATAAATGCGCTATCTATAAAAAAGTTTTAAAAAAATTCTAACATGGGGAATTTTTTCTATTTACAAAAACGTTATTTTTGCTTATTAAAAAATTCCCCCATGTTAGAATTTTTTTAAAACTTTTTCATACATAAATAATCTATAGCGTAAACGTTTAATGCAAAAAAAATTGGGGGTCACCGAACTCGTTTGTGATATAAACACGATAAAACCTTGTTTGGCGGCCATTTTGAAACGTCTCTGTTTCCATGGTAACGGGTGCCAGGCAAAAGTTCTGAGAATATTTCCGCTCTATATATGTTTCCTGCAAAGTATATTAACTTTTAGCCTTATAGTGAAATATTTAGGTGCTTAATATCCCTGTTTAAAATGAGCCCAAAAAAAATTCGAGAAACTGTATCGAGCCACCTTAACTAAACTGATTGAATCCTAGATATCAACGAGTGCTTAACTCTTAACAACAACTGTGATTTGAAAGCTTTCTGCACCAACACGATGGGTTCTTTTTGGTGCACGTGTAATGTTGGATACACTGGAAATGGAATAGTGTGTGAAGGTATATAATTATAATCAGTCTTAGTATAACTACTCATTTTAGTATAATTATTCAAATTCTGACAACTGATTCTGATGACATAATCTCAGATTATTACACGGAAATCACCTGGGGGGAATTTTTTAAAAAGACGGGCAATTTTTTGTCAAAATGGTCGTTGAAGAAACGAGTAATTAATTTTATAATGATTAATTTGTAAAGACGAGGGTGTACCTAAAACGACGATATAAATCGTAGTTGTCAGTGGTCATTACCATTGCCAATTGCAACCATATCTCGCGTCAGCACAAAGAAATCCGCGTCATGTTTTTTGCTTCACTTTTCGATCGCTAGCATTCCCTCCAGGTATTATAATATAGCTCAGTACATCCGTGAAATAACGGGTATAATAAACGACACCAAAGATTCGTAGTTGGCAAACTGACATCTCTTAAAAGTAGGATAACATTATAAGTTGGAAGAAAGTTATCATCAAGTAAAACGGTTTTATTCCTGCATTTGATTTTTCCGACCTACCTCGGAAAACATATTTTTATGAGATAGAATTGATAGCTGCGAGAAACACTGTTCAAATAGTAAATAGAGTTCGTTTCATGTTTGGCTAGGACCCACGATCCTTCACGACGACAGCGTAATAAAAATCTAACAAACGAGCCAACCATGAAGTAATTCGTTTATTAAATGTGTATTGAGATCAATTTGACAACGGCATGCCTTTAATGTACAAAAACACAGTTGGAAACAAAAATCGAAGTTTCATGAATCAAAACATATTTATTACCGTTCAGTTTCTGCGTAATTTTATTGAGTAAAAGTTAGATATTCTTTTCGAAATAGTTCATGATGTGCTGAATGTGAAAATGTCTTGAACTTGAGAATTATGTTTTGAATCTCACTCCTGTATTTCGACTCCATCTTTAAAAAAATGTAAACAAATTACCGCCAAAATGACATACGACAATTTTTCACGTGCGAAGAATATCGTACGTCCAATCAAATTGCATGAAATAAATTTTTATTTCATCATTCCCCTATCCATAAATCTCTATACACATATAAATAAACCATTATATCCCGAATGTCTTCAGATATAGATGAATGTGCTCTGTCTGCTCACAATTGTCTACAAGGTTCAAATTGTACCAACACCGATGGATCTTATCTATGCACATGCGATGATCAACATGCTGGAAATGGATCAACTTGCCAAGGTAGGTTAACAAATTTTATTTGTTGAATCATTATTTTTAACGATCGATATAATTAGAAAATACTGTTATTTTAACAACTAAAATTTTCTCTTTACAGTTCAGTCAAGAAACATTAGGTTACAAGGTCCATCAAGTTCAAAAGGTGTTGGACGTATTGAAGTTTTCCGCAATGGGACCTGGGGGACAGTCTGTGATGACGGATGGGATTTTAAAGATGCCAGGGTTGCATGTCGGGAACTCGGTTATCTCAACGCTGTTAGAGCTCTTCAAGGCAAACATGTTTCATCAGGATCTGGTCAAATATGGCTGAACAAGGTTGGCTGTACTGGTGAAGAACCAAATCTGAACAGTTGTGCGCATCAATTGGCGCTGGGAGACAGTTACTGCGGCCATTCCAAAGATGCTGGAGTAGAATGTGTTACCACAGGTAAAAATATTATAGCTATTATAATCCCCGCGCCGTGCGAGGGTACTAATCCAGCCCAGAGATTACGAATTACACCCGGGTATTCTGACAGAACATAGGCAAATCCAAAGTTGCCCAAATATCATGGACGTTCAATGGTCATGGTAGTTGTCTGCAAGCAAGTAATTTTAACGAAGGAAGAACGGCCGTCTACAACTTGCTGATTAGCTAAGACAAAAAGAGAGCATGCATGAGAGCGTCAGCATTTTAACCGTTATTTTGCAAACTATTTTTTAAAAATATAAAATGAAATCATGGAGTCAAATATTAAACAATAATAAAAGACAGGGCCGTAACTAGAACGATAATTGGGGGGGTGTTTATTCATATATTCAGTGCTGCCCGACGGATTTCTTTTGTAAGTGCAATAGCTCACAATGGAAATTCGTCGGGCAGAACTGAATATATGAATAAACACCCCCCCAATTATCGTTCTAGTTACGGCCCTGATAAAAGATTTAAAGATCATCACAGCACAGAAACAGTTAGTGAAATAGGAACGTACGACTCGTAGTTTATAATCTTTGAAGTGGTAGGTGTCTGTATTTTGCTTATTCAGTGTTTGCTGTAAGAATGCATTGTTATTTTGATAAGTACGAGCTTGGCATGTCGTTTTACAAGGAGTTAACCGACCGTTTAAGGCTTTACATCATCGCTTAAACTTTAAAAAGAGTTCTGAAAAGTGTAATTCAGAGTTTTGATAAAACAAATATCACTTTGCAGCTTATATAGTCGCTAAAATCATTGAATAAAATGAATAATCGAAAAACAACAGTCGGTTTAGTGCTTGTATGGTTATTATAATTATTTGTGCTGTTTTGATGTTTTGAATATTTAGCTATATAGAAAAGTTTAACACTCACTTAAACTGCAACGTAATGCAGCAGGCAAACAGGTGATTTCTGTTTACCTTTACGACTGTCTTTGTTTCCGAAAAATTATTTTATAATATCAAATATTAATTGTCTCCGAAGAGTTATTTCATAATATTAGCGTAGAAAGTTAGGTCTGGGTACCTTTAAACTTAATTTGAAATAGGACCACTTCATTCTCAATTCAAGTAATTTTAAACGAAATTGATTAATGACTTCAAAGAAATGTCATACATTTGCATGTTGATGAATCCACACATCAAACTTTAGTTACAAAATACGTGATTTAAACGATATTAAACAGTTTTAAAGCTGTCTATTTTCCGGCTTAAAGAACACTCTGAAAAAGCTTCAAAATTGTAGCCTTTTTCACCATCCATTTGAATCACAATTGGGTGATTGAGTCATCAAATCGCAATATCCTTTTTTTTTGTTTAGCTGCCGGATACAATACGTACATTATTGGATCAGAAAACTTTGGATATTTGTACCGTTATACATATCAAAACGTCGATTTTCTTGACTTTTCATGGACTCGTACACCTGGCCATTTTCGTTTCATTAATCAAAACGTTCTGCAGGAATTGAAGACTGGAAAATGCTTTCATAATCCAAGGACATGGAATGCTGTTCTTCTCACGCACGATTGTGATGGACCAAATGCAAGACCAAGGTGGTTTTACAATTCTACCGCGAGACAATTAAAAGTTATTTCAATGGATCGTGTTTTTGGATTGTGTCTAACTGCTTCGCGATATCGTGGTTTCATTAACATGGAAGCTTTCGCTGGTTTGTATGTTTGTCGCATGAAGAACAAGATTTCACTGAAATTAGGTGATTGTTAAAAATATTTTATCAAAATTAATTCGGTAACATTGTTTCTATTTTTTTTATTGTTAAAAATTGTCGTGTTAAGAAGACGTAAACGTTATTCACAATTTAAAAATTAAATTCGCTATACACAACATAAACTATTGATAATGCATATTACAGAATATTTATATAGGGTTCAAAAAGTATATTAACAAAGGTTTTTTCCGTAAGCCTCGAACATACCAAAGTTCAAGAGGAAGTAATGTTTGTATGATATGTTGTATAATAACTACCTAAAATAGACAAAGACACTTCTCGACGTTTCGACGTCATGCATACTAACTCTCGTTTCGTAACTTATACTAATTCTCCTGACGAAGGCCCTCAGGTCGAAACGTCGAGAAGTGTTTTGTCTATTTCAGGCAGTTGTCATACCACATTTGATGCTAAGTTGTTGACGCTATCACGCTCCTCTCTGGTTGTATTGTAATGTTTGTATCTTTAAATTTGGAATTTCGTTTCGCTTTAGAATGAATCATCATACACAGTAATCACTATATAGTCGCATAATTACTATATTATTGCTTATAGTGATTATGTTCAAAAGCTTGCAAGTGACAAGAGCAGCACGCACGCCGCAGATTGCTTATTTTATTAAAAATACATTGCTTCGAATTCAGTGTTTTCGTTGACGCACACGGCTAACAATTTTGAAGTCTTGTTATATCATTTTTTAATTCATATCAGTTACAAAAGCTGTTAATTTTTTATTCTCAACATTTTAAAATGATGTAAAATTCCGCGACCCTGCTATGGAGCTATGGCACACTTCGTAGGACAAAGATAATAAATTATATAACTAAAATCCTAGAGGTTCTGGTTTAAAATGAATTTTGTTGCGGTGTCCTCTGCATGCGTTTTCATCTAAATGCAAAGTACTCTGCCATATATGAGATTAATCGTATGCATTTAACTTTTTATTCACGACATTGTAAGGTTAGGAATCTAATGAATATGTAATTTAATAAGCAATAAACACTTATTTACTGATGGCGAGGGAAGCATGCACTGTGTTTTAGTAAATAAATGATTTGTTATTATATCTAGTGAAATATCAAAAATGAAAATAAACCGGAGGCCAAAAAAAGAGCTAATTCCTAGACATCACCTGCCAGTATATTGATTAGTATATGAAACAAAGCTGTGCATGTACATTAGAATATGAAACAATATAAAGTTAGTTTCAAAACTTTCCTGGGATTTCCAGGAATGGAATTTAATCATTTGCCCTGGGAAAACTTATAAAATTTGATGCCCGCTCGTGTTGATCACGCGTAATCATGGAGATTTAAAGCCCTCCACGCGTGGACCTCTTGTCCAATAGGAAAGCAGGAAAGACCAATTTTTTACATGTACACTAGGTATATAACAATAATAATTGTTAATATAAAACTAATGTATGGGAGTGCTAAATATAATTATTATTATAATAATTATTAGTCACAAAATTAATAGCATGCAAACATGGCAAAATCAATCGTGTAATTATCAAAATCAATTAAATTAATAAATGTCTAAATTATTCTTATCCTAGATATCGATGAATGTTTTTTGAAAATGGACAACTGCGACAAAAATGCCAGGTGTATTAACACTGTTGGTGGTTTTTCATGCGAGTGTAATCAAGGTTATACTGGAAGTGGCATTAATTGCACTGGTTAGTCATTCAAAGAAACAGTTTTCAATGTTAGTTGGCGTCTTGGCGAGGTTCTTTAAATGAATCAATAAAAAACTAAGGATGGCCTAAGCCTACATCGCGACTAATATCTAAAAAAACAATAGCTTTAGCAAATTTCATGGTTACACGCTGCTAGCTCCTTTTTGCACTAACAAAGAGAATAAAATAGACATATATTATTAAGCAGATTATACAGGGTGAGGAAAAAAAACTGACACCTTTGAAATTCAAATTAGCTGCAAACTTATAGTTGGAATTTGACAATTCCCAAGACGTGGTTAATTAATATTGTTTTAATATCGAAACTGATTGTTTTGGGTAAACAGCGTTTGAATATGACGTAATTCCCGTAATTTGGTTTGGTATACACCTCATTACTTATTCATGAATTTCACAATCTATAACACAATAATCTGTTTTAGATATTGACGAATGTTCTCTGTCTACTGACAACTGCATTTCCAATTCAAGCTGCATCAACACTGATGGATCTTATCAATGTATTTGTGATGATCAAGAAGCTGGGGATGAAACGTCTTGCAAAGGTAAAAAATTCGCGATATTTGATTTATTCATATTATAATTGCAGATTGCTTTATATGCTACATATTATGCCATCGTTTTAAACCTTTATAAACTTTAAAATCCTTTTGAAATTACCGCGTAATGGACGACTTACGCTCTTGACTAATTTCATACCTCGGCGATTTAAAGGAAATTTTCTCAAAGAGCTTGATAAAATTATAGTAAAACTGCCAAGTTTGGCTGCGAATTGTTGTAATTTACGGAAAATATAGCCATCCGAATATGTCGGTTTTGGTATACTTTTGTATTATACGGCCGGAAGTGTACGTATGTGTAACTGATTTAGTGGCTATAAATTCACATGGCTATATTTTCCGTATTTTACAAAATTTCGCAGCCAAACTTTCTATTGTACTAATTTGGGTAAGTTTTCCATTCGTACTAATTTGGGTAAGATTTTTCTAGCTGTGATGATTTATTTTCTTCTAGTTACTTCGATCAAAAGTCGTCCATTGATAACACACGTTTCTCTATTCGAAATGAAAAAAAAATTGCTAAGATAAAAGTAAACGCAGGATGGAATTACGATAGTGAACGCGATAAATCTCTCATAGTATACGTTATAATCTCTAAAACAGGCACGATTCCTTTCTAGGAAAAGATATCAGGTTAATAGGACCATCAAGTTCGAATGGAACTGGTCGTGTGGAAGTTTTCCATAATGGACAATGGGGAAGAATTTGTGATTATTACTGGAATATACATGATGCTCTTGTTGCATGTCGTCAACTTGGCTATTTGAATGCTGTTAGAGCTTTTCAAAAAAGGCGCTTTCCATTTGCCTCCGTGCGGATTTCGTTACACCATGTTAATTGCCTTGGGTATGAGCAAAATCTGTTTAGTTGTTCTCGCCACATTCGAGAAGAAGGAGGACATGTCTGCTCCCATAGAGGCGATGCTTCGGTAGAATGTACTTCAACAGGTATGATTGTCCACGATAGCTTATACACGACATTTGACGAGGAGTTGTGCAAACCATCTAATATATGCAACAAATAGAATTTCCTTGGATACTCCGGTTTTATTATTCTTCGCAGATCTAGATGAATGCCGTACCGAAAGGCGATGTATTGGTTCCAATACTAAATGTATTAACACTTGGGGAAGTTTCATATGTCAATGTGAAACTGGTTATACAGGAAATGGTTTGGTCTGCAATGGTATGTTTTTGCAATTCTCACAATGAGGTAAAATAGGAACGTTAGCGAATGTTTTTGACGCATTAAGGCCCACACAGACCGGACGCGATGTGGCAACGCGGCGCGATATTTCAAAGTTTTTCATTTTCCAAAAGCAAATAAATTTTGAACTATCATTATATTGTTGTAGATTACTTAAGGATAGTACATTTTGACTGCTCTGGCTGCCATAGATTCCAATTTTTGCTTCGAGAAATTAATTTATGTGCTCTTAAAAACTGAAAATTCGCGTCGCGTTGCCGCACTGCGTCCGGTCTGTGTCGGCCATTACGGTCTAATTTGAATCATTATTATTCTTCTTTAGATATCGATGAATGTTCTCTATCATTGGACAATTGTCTGCCTAGCTCAAATTGCACCAACACTGCTGGATCTTATTTTTGCAGTTGTGACAAGGGATATTTTTGGAATGGATCCGCTTGCCATGGTAAATAGCAAAGCCTCTGCTTGATATATTATACAAACTATTGATCCATTGCAAACTTGCGTTATACATTTTGACTATATTATGTGTGACCCAATAGTGATGTAGTCGACCCTTTATTTTCGGGTATTTACAAATATTACCTATATATTACAACAAAGGGAAGCGGCTTCACAAAATAATCGGGTCTCTGAGAAGTTTAAGTAAAATTCAATTACGCTAAGGGTTTTCATTAGTTACTATTTTTTTATTTTTAGCAATGTCTGTCAGGTTACAAGGGCCATCAAGTTTAAATGGTTCTGGTCTCGTGGAGGTTTTCTACGATGGACTTTGGGGAGCAGTCTGTGGTGATGGCTGGGATAGGAATACTGCTGAGGTTGTGTGTCGGGAACTTGGTTATGCTCATGCTTTAAACGTTCTTAAAAGACAAATACTGCATAATGTCTCAACAGCAATGTGGTTGGGAAAAATATCTTGTACTGGTCATGAAAAAAATATAACCAGTTGTTCACACGACGGCTGGACAAACCATACTTGTAGCAATTCCGAATTCGCTGCTGTGGACTGTTTAAAAGGTTACATTCTCAAATTTCATTTATTTCTGTGCATTGTTTTTGCTACATAATTTGCTATTGAAATATACAAAAAGGTTTGGAATTTATCCTTTGTTAATGTCGTATATGGGCAATTATTATTTAACCGAAATTTATGTATAACGGATATAAAAGTACTTCGTCGTTTCCCATTCTATCTTTTTTCTTAAAGTATAATTAAAGAATGAAAGAATGAAAGAATAATTATGTTCTATTGTTTTATATTCACATAGATATAGATGAATGTTCTCGAGATTTGGACAACTGCGGTGTTAATTCTCATTGTATTAACACAGTTGGAAGTTTTGAGTGCATATGTAATCATGGTCGCACGGGAGACGGAGTTAGTTGCAAAGGTTAGCACTTTGCATGTTCCTGCTATAACAGTGCGAAACACAACACATGCAGTGTCACAATACCTTGGTGTAATTCCTAATCTCCCAGCGAAATCGGTGCCCTCGCCCGGCTCGAGCAATATTCTTCTTTGGAATAATTATTGTATGAGTAGTATTTATGCCATGGAATTATCTGTCCCGAAGTTCATAACCTTCTTAATCATTTATTTCACAATGAAACATTCCAAAATTTGGTAAGGCGTTTCCAACCATTCCTAGTTTCAAATTAATTTTAGCTTAATAGGAGAATAGTCCACTCTAGATTGAATGATCCGGATTCCATTTCTTTATAATACGTTGTAACGTTCTGTTAAAATTTTTTCCCGTATACAATTAGCAGTGTTGATAAATTTTTCAATATTGAAAATATCATGTTTTTTCCAGATATTAACGAGTGTATCGAACAAGAGGTGTCTTGTGATTCAAATGCAGATTTTTTAAACACAGATGGATCGTTTGAGTGCAGATGCAAAGAGGGCTTCACAGGAGATGGGGATAATTGTGAAGGTATCTATTTTTAACAATCAATGTGAATAATTTAGACCGTACATTTAGTATTAGTTATACATGCACGGAATTTGTCAGGAACCGAATGCTGAAATTTTTAAAGGTATTTTTATTTCTGTATTCAAAAAAATTGAAAAGTATTTGGAGACGTACTTTGATATTTCCACTACTTTATTACCAGCAGAAGAAGAAATTCTTCACCGGAAATCAGGATCACCTGGAAACAAATTTTCGTCTTTTCCAAACTTCGCTTATATCATTGTTGGTCTAATTTTATTACTTGGAATAATAATCCTGGTAATATTGATACGAAGACGACGCACACGATCGCAAAGACCATTCCATGATAATGAAAATTTACAGTTGGTGTCAAAAGAAGATTTACATTCTGGAATTGGTGACAACAATAAGAATCAAGGTTCAGCTGTTGGTAAAACTGTCAAAGAGAGTGATGAAAGATGTGAGCTAATAGATCAAGATGAACTCAATAAAGTCACTGAATGCTAGAGCATTTGAAGTTTTGAAAAAGTGATCATTATATAAAAAGTGGTCATTTAACGCTGTTTTAGATATCACTGAAATAAGCGAGAATTCATTATTATACATTTTAACTATAGTAAGTCTAGTATATATTTTTTTTCTTCACTTTTTATTACAACTCAGTTTGTTATCGTAGTTTATCGTAGTAGAAAATTGTACTTTTTATCAAATTCGTACAAATAACTTACGTTCTAAAAAACTGTAATTTTACGCCAAGATTTACTTGTAAAAGTAAGAATTAGTTATGTATGTTTATTTAACTAAAGTAGGCCTAGTAATATTTTTTTGCCGTTTGTTTACTTTTTAGCACAACTCAAGTTTTTATCGGTATTTCTAGAAAACTGTACTTTTTTTATCAAATTTAATTGGGCAAATAAAGAATCCGTAGTTCTAGAATCCTGCAATCAAGTAGTGAAACTGTTTGTGAAATCAAGCATGCATGTATATATACATAAAGATTATATGTTTTGGAGTTTTGACAGACAAAAACAAATAAGATATATCTGCTACATGTTTATACTGTCATGATGTACCACCATATACGTTGTGTTTTGTCAGTATATCTGACACCGACACAGCGATATCAATTTTCAACAGTTTGATTCGCGCTGTTATTAAACTCGTCTAGAAGTTATAGTCTTGGTTAAAGGCATTTTTCTTGCTGCATAGAAGAGATCTTTTATTGTCTCTGCATTACCCGTTCAGGAGATTACGAGGAAGAAAATATGCGAGTGCTTTTTCACTTTTTCGAGTAAAAACGACATAGCTGGTTGCTCCAACCAGCCCACCCATCTTCGCGATTTTGCAAAAATTTGCTGATTTGCATAAACCATGGGAAAAAAAGAGAAATAAATAAAAAATAAATAAATATAAAAAAATCTTGTAACTATGGTTATGTTGAGGACTGCCGAACAGCCCATCTTGAGATCATCGGGGTACTACAGTAGCCACCTTTGAACTATTCTACCTTGTTTCATACAGGTAGTAAAAACATTTTGTTTAATGGGTTTTAAGTAAATAAACATTGGTTCTGGGGGATGGAGTGCTCCAAATGTCACCATCTATACCTCATAGACTTGCATAAATCTACATATATTCTTGTCTATAAACAATGGCCATCACGGAGATCCACGACCCCTTTGGACATTTAGGATACCTATATCTGTGGAGCTATGACCCCTTTTGGGTGAAATTTAATACTGGGAAGCAGCTGCTAAACCCCTGAGGACGTCCAACATGGAGATCCACGACCCCTGAGGACATCAGAGTCCTTGGCCAGGACTACATAATTAATTGTACCATAAACTACATGCATTAAGCTGTAACGAGTCTAAGGGGTAACTTCGACCTTTTTTACATTATATTTGGAGCACTTCTCCCTCGTAACCCGGCCTTTTCCCACAACTAATTGCGTGTTTGGTGTCTCGTTTGGTCCTTTAATTCAGTATTGTGCTAGTTTAGCTACGGTGACGGAGGTTTGTTGATTGGTGACTAAAAAGAAATGCCAGGGCAGCAAATTATATATAGACGCGGTTTTCACGCGCATATTATTAAGCGCAATACGTACTGACGTAAGCAAAATGAAATGCCACGTTATTAATGGTGTTGTGTAAGTGTAAATTTCGATTTTCATAAACACACGGTCTGATCGAGGCTGTTTGTTTGGAAGTCATAGGATTAGTTAATACGAGTAGTTTAAAACGGGAAAGGGCAATGTTGTACTACACCGTGTAAAAAACATTATTTTGAAATCAACTTTTATTGCAACTTGTTAAATGTTTCTACTCTTTACTTACTTATCGTTTTGGGTTGTCAATCTATTAGCGTCCGCTCATCCGCGTCCCCGCTCGTCGGTTCGCGCCGCGCCCGCCATTTACCTACAACCATAGGAGGTTATAAGAACTGTTTCAAAAAAAGAAGGCATTGTTTTAGGTATGTTTCATTTGATCAGAGCCCGCCCCTTATATTAACACCTATATATCACAAAATAATTAGGATGAAGCGTTTGATTTCCAGTTCTTTATCCACTGTAACGGCTGAAGAAAAATGCCACTGAATCAGTTTATCAATTTTTTTGCGTTTGTTTTATTTGTCCAATTCGCAACCTCTGAAAGACACTACGCTATTTTTCAAGAAGAGTGGGGCCCGTGCCTCCTAGAACAATGATCAATAGGGAGTTTAAGATTAGTCAAATGTTTTGCTTAAAATAAGCTGTAGAAAAATATGCTGCGATGACTTACAAACGTTTCAATTGTGCTAAGAACCTCGGACATTTTACTGATATTGCATTTTCATACAACCTGTAAAACATTTTTCACGCTGATTTCATGTCTTCAAACAGCCGTTAAATTTCATCATTTGAAAGCGTCGTAACTGGTAAGAATGGCAACGCAATTTTGGGACAACAAAATATGCATAGCTAATGTCTCTAATGTTGTGCTTCTTTGTTTTTTGTGACTACCGCGTAAGCGGTAGCCACTATGTCAGAGGCTTGCTTGATTTCTTGCTTGCTTGCTCGCTTGCTTGCTTTCTTGAATGCTTGTCTTGGACCATGACGTCACACTCAGCACTACGTTACACTCAGCACTACGTCACACAACTGATGTACGTCACACTCGGCAGTTTTCGCCATTTATCGCCAACCTTTCCGGTGCAATCAAATATGCAATTCAAATGCACATTATTTTAGTATCAACACAGCTTTTCTATACGTACGTTGTTTTGCTTACATTTTTGAGCTGTTTGAACTTTGCACGTCTTACTCAAATATAATAATCAATATTTAAACGACACATATTGTCTTCTAGTGTGAAAACAGCTGCAGTATTTAGAGAACACCTGCAGATCGCCGACAGCAGGCGATTTGTTTGTCTATAGACGATTTGTTCGTCTTCTGATGTGAAAACGGCTAATCGCTCATATTTTATGAAATTTGGACTTAATCAATACGGCGGATGCGTTGCAAAACCAAATGCAATTTCTATACTTTAATAGTAACATGAAATATTTGTAGATGTGAATGCTGTCTGCTGAAACTTTAGCATATAGCTCACATGCACAATCAGTTTCTGTAAACATAAGTAGAGGCAGGAACGCAAAATAAAAGGCCGTGTCATTCTACCTAAAATTATGCTTCGGCCGAACAGGTCTGAACGTGATCCCAATTATTTTATACATCGTCACGCATCGTCATTCACTTCAGCATTAGCTTTACTGCCATCATTGAATATGATCAATGAATGTGGTAATTATTGGCATGGTGAGTAAAATAGCCTGCTTATTTAGGAAAGAATGAGACCCTTCATTAATCATCAGCAATAAACAGTGATAATAATATGCCGATCCTCACCGATCTATTGTATTCTTCTCTGACTGACAAAGGATTTTACACATGCACCAATCACCTCCAGTAATGACATGGCCCATTCTTTGGACTACAGGGTGTCTTGAAAAAACGCAATCACTTAAATAAGCAGAACATTAATACAGCTCTAAAGCGCAATAGATACGCACCTCTGGAAATTGAAAATGGCTCTTAATCCTTAATTTAAAATGCTAAAAGTCATTTTAGCTGAACTATGGTGCAAACCCGAACAATATTAATATTCTTGCATATTTAAGTGTTCGCGTTTTTTTTGAGACACCCTGTACAGTAGTGTCAACCACGCGCTTTAGTATAAAAAGTCACACCCAGTTTACCGTGCTGATTCAGTGAATCAATTTAATCAGACGATATTCGATTCATGTCTTCGCGAAGAAATAATCCGGCCGTTATTGGCTACATCCACAACCTGTCACCTTTGAAAAAAGGCAAACTGAATGGTGCGACTTCGAACTCCAAATGCAAGACAAACGGGTACAACTATTAGCACTAGTTATTCTGCCAGCAAAATCCATGATACCACTCAGATGACAAAGACAGAGCGGTAGTCACATGTACGCGCTGCGTACCTATTTTTTATCTCATCTTTGCAGGCTATCGCCTAATGTGGTGCAAAAGACGATCTATGTCACAATCAAACCACAAACAATTTGCACCAAATAACACGCCCCTTGGACGTCCACATCCGGCAGGAATTTGAACAGTTCACAAATACGATGAAGCGTTTGATTTCCTGTTTAATATCAAACTTAACGAGTGAAGGAAAATGCCACTTTATACGTTGATCAAGGTTTGTGCTCTTGTTCTCTTTGCCCACTTTGCAACTGTTGAATGTGGAGGTAAGTGATGTTTACATACGGTAGATTACGTCGCTGATTCTTTAAATTTTTATCATTTCACTTAGCTGCTAGTTGTACTCAAATTGTGTTGTGCAGAACATTTAGTCTGGGCAGCTGATTAGGAAATTTGCAAGTCGCACTACCACCGCTTACACCATTTCGGCTAAAAATATAAGAGATCTTATGATTGGAGTCATATTGGACTTCATGGTGAACGCCAAACTGCGAATAACTGTGCAGCAATGTCGTTACATCGACATGAAGCTCGTTTTATTCAGCATTGATGTAAGAAAGCAATAGCCACTGCTGTACTAGCATTGCATTAAGCTTTGCATTATCTGTTTGTCGTTTTCTTTAGAAAGTTTAACGCCTGAACGAATACATACACTCTCAGCCGTTAAGACATTATTTAATAGTAAACGTTTTTGACTTGACAATGTTGTGGCACTTTATGAGAGTGTACACGCGTAAAAAATAATTATCATGACTGGAGTTGTTTAAAAGAAGAGTTAACAATGTTGTACTGCACCTTGTGAACAACATTATTCCCAAACAGTTGTTTAATAAACTTATTGATCCATCAACTGTTGTTGCGAACTTGCTAATAATCATGCAGAAGCAAGGATGCATGTCGAGCAAGATTTTAACAACACATATTTATGGGCTAGAGCACAACATTGTTCACTCCTGAAGCGACAACATGATATTGATTTTGCCGTGTTGCAGTTCGTCAGCAGTTTGCCGGCATAATTTGTAAACGAAAATCTCTAGCGCATGTCATAGTTGTAACCTACATCAAAACGTAAATACTAATAACAGAGTAACGGTGCACTACGCTATATGATTCGAACACATGTACAGTGGGAATGCAGCCTTGAAGGATCGATCTTTATAGAAGCATGTGATTCAGTGATTGCATGTGATTCAGTGATTGCATGTGATTCAGTGATTGCATGTGATTCAGTGATTACATGTGATTCAGTGATTGCATGTGATTCAGTGATTGCACATGCTAGTGGTATGTCGCAATCGGCGGGCAGGTATTCGGGTAAACCAGATTTGCAGGCTATCGTGTTGTGACGAAAATGGCAGGTTGTGTTCCAAAATCAGTATGTCGGAATGGCTGTGTTCAAAAATCAGTAATCGGAATGAAATTTAATGCCTGAACGGTTGGTTGAGTGTACGGAGTCGTTCATGCATTAGCCAAATTTTGCACGGCGACAGACAAACATGCAGATATACTGCAAAGGCTGAATTTACTGCTTTGCGAAGTACTATTATTATGTGGAGCGAAGCATACAATTTACACCATCAATTCCATCAAAGTCACGACACTATACTTTCTTTGGCTAAATACATCAGTCAAAGGGGTTTTGCTTTCTTGTATCTCTTGCTGATGTCCTTGCTGGGATTATAAATACCTTTTTAATAGTTATGCCTAAGTTACAACTAGTTTCTTTATATAATATATTTGTTATTAATTCGTTTTCTTTCGTCTACGTCGAAGTTAAAGACTACAGCTGGTATTATCAAATTTTAGTTGTTGAGCATAAGACTTAATGGAATGCGATTTAGCGTGACGAAATAGCGGGAATACACGCAAATTTTAGGTAATCAGCATGCATGCAAGGTGCATCAGTTTTGCGATGTATTTGTAACGAAAGTATATAACATGCAGCCGTGCATGTGATTTGCATGTTTGAGATCAATATTCAGTATCTTGCTAGTTCGACTACGGCGACGGAGATTTATTGATGTCTTATATATATACATATATTTAGCATATTTTTGACTGTAAGAAATTGCCAGGGCAGCAGAATTATATATATAGAATGCTGTATTCTACAGCGTAAACGCGCACTTATGCGTAAGCAAAATGGAATTCGATGATGTTAATGGTGATGTGTAAGTGTAAGACAGGAAAGTTGATTATGAAAACCCGTCTGAGGGGCTGTTTGTATGATAGTCGGGCATGTTCGTTGTTTGTATGACAGTCGCAGAGGCGGAAAAAGGCGGTAGATTCTACTCAATAAGGGCACCGCTAGTACAATATAAAATTATTTTCTTAAGTCTCACTTCAGCTTTTTATCACAATCGGTGGGTCCGGAAGGTTGTTAAGTAGGAGGCTAATATAATCATTATTCTTGTTAATATAAAAAAACAATCAATTTGAAAAGATAGTGAAGGCCAAAATAAATAAGACGCGATTTTGTAACGGCCGTAACGCACGTCGCAATTATTCTAAATTTTTGAGGTTCTAATAATTCGTTCAAATACATGTAAATTATAACCTAGCATTAACGATAATACATTTTGACTGCTCTGCATGCCTCCACAGATTCCAATCAGATTATTACACTATTCGGCTCTCTTTCTGAATTTTTTAAAACTTTTCTTGCCGCCATTAGCGCTTTCGTTTTAAGAATTAGCCTATTGCATTTTAGTATTAATTTTTATGTTCAAGTTTTCAACTTGTTTGATGAAATCTTGGATGAAATCTTGGACTACTTCCCAAAAGGTGGCGGGGAAATTTCAAAAACTACAATTGCTAATCCGTGTCTGAATTCGGTCAGTGTTTATACTTCATAATGTTCAAGGCTAGTTATCAGAGCTCGAGTGCTACCCAAAACCCCCGCCCTAATTAATGACTTCCCGCGGCCACTCAAATTACACAAATTATCTCTCCAAGCCGCCAGACCCTTCGTGTGGCGAAGTTTGCAAAAAATATTATTACCAACCGTTAGACTCAATGGTAGAAAAATAATGTGGAAGGTCCGACAAAGCTTCAATTGCCCTTTTGTGATATTCCTGATACATTACCATTACCAACAATTTTAACTATTACAAACTATTACCTCGTTTGAAACGAGGGTCCTAATTTTGTGGGTGTTTTTTTTTGTTAAAACATATTCAATGTTATGATTTGAACAAGAGCAAGATCGATCAAACGATAATTAAATATATTTTTAAATTAGAAAATATTTTCTAACGTTCAGTGGCGTGATTATAAATGCCAACTTCGGACTGTCTGACTTGTGAAATCGACTTTCATTGCCATCATTTTAGATTTGTCTGTCAGGTTGCGAGGACCATCCAGGCTAAATGGTACTGGTCGTGTGGAAATCTTATATTCAGGAAGATGGGGAACAATTTGTGATGATGCATGGGACATAAATGATGCCCGCGTTACATGTCGTCAACTTGGTTATCGGAATGCTCTTAGAGCTCTTCAAGGGTGGGAAGTTCCTTCTGGTTCAGGACAGATTTGGTTGGATGAAGTTGGTTGTACTGGAATTGAACAAAAGCTAGAAAGTTGTCCTCACAACGATGATGAAGGATGGGGAAGTCATGACTGCGGTCATTCGGAAGATGCTGGAGTGGAATGTACTTTTGGAAGTACGTTTATTTTTCACGTGTTTTAATTTTAACCTCAGTATGATTATCTTACGCAGCTTTACAATTTCAACGTTGTTATGGAGTTGCGAATTTATCTTCTTTATTACAATCTCTAACTTTATTAAATCTAATCTAAAGTTTCTAACTCAGCGAGAATATCTTGTAGATTTTGTTTTTAGTCTTTCATTGTTGTTTATAGATGTCGAATATTGCTCATTGGGATTGCACAACTGTGAACGTAATTCTCAATGCATCGACACTGACAATGGCTTTACATGCAGATGTAATCAAGGCTTTACTGGGCACGGCGTTACTTGCTCTGGTGAGTGAAATATCTTTAATATACAAGTCTAAGACATGGATGGTTAAGAATTATTCTGCCAAAGAAAGAATTGATCGGAAGCATTTGTCGTATACCAGGTTCGACTTATTGGCCATCTTCAAAATCGTTTTATACCATTTCGCGCCAAGATTGGCGGAAGCTCCCAAGTCTGAGCTCGGCTGTCCTAAGAAATGATAATGTAAACATATTCGGTTAATATCATCAAAATCCTCCGGTGCCGAGCAAATTCTAAAAAAATATTTTTGCTCCGATTACCCCAGTTCTCTTTTTTCGTTATTGTTCAGCAGTAACTGTTTCAATATTTGTTTTCTTGATGTCACACGACTAGCTTGTTTCATTTCTTGCTGTTTCCGGAAGTCAGAGAATACTCACAAAGCGATGTTAAATATTCACGACGCTTGCTAGCGAAACCAAAATTGTTGCCAAAATGCCTCTTATAAGTTATTTCTTTTCATTTCTGAAATTAGGGTCTTACACTTCATCTCGGTTCTCTGGGTATAGTGTAAGCAGGTAATTCTTCTCCAATAGAGGAAGTAGGATGGCGTTAGTGCATGGGATATAAACATGTGTAATTATTATGATGCTTCATAAGTTTCGAAATATTTTCCTATCATGAATAGACCTCTTAACTTTAAAGCGCGCGCAGTGCGTGATGGTAGTTGATTATTAAGGTCAACTTGAGTTGTGATTTCGCCTTTTTCAGAAGCGATTCCTTTTAAAAAAGAATTAAAAAGAATCAGCAAGGTATGCTTTAAAACAAAATTGCTTCTAAACAGAGATATATCGTGACACAAATGTTCTTGTTAATCAACAAACGTCACGTATTGCGAAAGGAAAAGGTAACGATCTATTATGAACCGAATTAATCTCATCGTCTAATTAAAATAGCCGTTGATCGCTATTTCCTCAGATTTTCCTGCAACAAAGCGTCGTTGAGTTTAAAAGCGGGATCAATTTACACAGCTCTAATAATTGTAAATTTTATGAACCAGGTATCAGTTTGAACCATTTCAACGATAGGCAAATATATGACCTTAAATTAACGAGACAAAGTTTCAGGCAGGCACTGTACCTTAACATCAACATTCAGATAATTTCATTAAACTTTTTTTCTCTAGACATTGATGAATGTTCATCAGTAAACAACTGTCATTCGAATGCTGTTTGCACAAACACTTATGGATCCTACCGATGCACATGTAATGGTGGATTTACTGGAAATGGTACCTTCTGCCAAGGTATTTGTTGATTATTCCTCCTACCAAATTAAATTTTCCTTGGTCACACAATGCATTCCGGACGAACATCGAGGAATACAGCTTTGCCGTAAGTAAAATTTTTGTTTAGACAAAGATGAATGTTCTGATTTACCACACCACTGTCCTTTAAAGACAAACTGCACGAATACAAATGGATCCTACCAATGCTGTGGAATAGAAAGTTCTGGAAATGGTTCCATTTGTAGAGGTGACACATCTTAAGGTCTGTTCAAACGATCCAATTTTGTAGGATCCAATTCACTTCTGACCTATGGAAATGTAGTCTGTTATTGATAAAGCAGTACTGCAATGGCTTCAGTGCATTTGGTGCCCATAAATATTATAAGACAAGAAAATATAAAACATCCATCAGAAGTGAATTGGATCCAACAAAATTGGATCGTGTGAACAGACCTTTCGGCGCTCTTACATGATTTTGGGTAGTACCGATGGACACCTTATTCTCCAAGCCACCTTGATAGGCGTTCATTTATGTTTTATATTGCGGCCATTTCCAAAACTGTAGATAAAGCCAGTGCCCGTCATTATGACCATGTTTACACAATGAGTCAATTTCTAAAGATGTCAAAATATACTGGAGAATATTTCGGGTGGACGTTTCGGGCTGCACAGATTAAACACCGCAAAGTTTTTTCGGAACGAACTTTTCCTGGACCAAATGAGGAATAGAATAATTTCATTTAAAATATTTCTGTTTGGGTGAAAGAATCACAAAGGTAAAAAATCTTGCAATCTGACATTTTCTTTCCGGTGTATAAATGCATTTCAAGAAGAGGAAAAGAAAAAATAATCCATTGGTATAATTCTACTATAGTATATATTGTTCCAAATCATGACCTGCTGCATTTTCTAACTTTCGCTCCCACAATTTTAGATGCGACTCTCAGATTACAAGGACCATTAAGGCTAAATGGCACTGGTCGTGTGGAAATATTATATTCCGGAAAATGGGGAACAATTTGTGAAGATGGTTGGGACATAAATGATGCTCGCGTTGCATGTCGTCAACTTGGTTATCGGAATGCTCGTAGAGTTCTTCGTGGATGGCAAGTTCCTGATGGTTCAGGAAAGATTTGGTTGAACCAGGTTCGTTGTACTGGAACTGAACAAAATCTAGAAAGTTGTCCTCACCACTATTGGGGATGGGGAAAAAATAACTGCGGACATTATAACGATGCTGGAGTGACATGTACTTCACAAGGTAAAAGAGAAGATTATCTTGTTGTTGAAGTTGCCGAAATGAACCACATATATATGAAATTTAAAATATTTATGGCAAAAGTGTTGATTGCACCAGAAAATCTAAACAAATTTCAGCCCCAAAATTTCGTTACTGCAAGTCGTGACTGCAGACATTATCAAGATGCTAGAATGGAATACATTTCCCAAGGCTGAAGTGATTGTCGTTTAGATCAGTTGTTTACATAATTTTTCCTATGATCTTTGAAAATGATTTCCAAAACTGAATTTAACTGTGAGAAAAACATTGATCCGGGATCACAAGTTTACCTCCATGCATGCAGTGGCGTAGCCAGCCTGACGATTAAGTCATGCTATATGCAATTTCATGTTACTATCATTATTTGTATATATTTTTTAAATTATATTAAATAATTATGACAAATATTCATATATTATTTTCATGCACAGTCAATGAACACCAAAATATTTGCATTGGCATTGCATGACTAAATCGTCGCGATGGCTACGCCACTGCCGTGCATGTGTTGCACACGAGCGGGAATTAATTTTTTTCATTTCTCCGAGGGACTTCATGCCCGTTGGTATGCTTAGCTTAGTATGTTAGACAAGGGCCGCGAGGGCGAGATAACAATAATTATTGTGGGAAAGACATATATACAATCACCTACTTCTGGCTGACAGATTTCTATCCGAAGTTATTTCAATTACAAAAAAAATCCGTCGAGCGGGATCGACTAATTTTAATTATATTAATAATCGTTTTAATTAATATTCAATAATAATTAATAATCAATTATCGTTTTAATTACGACGAAGGGGAGGGGTGCAACAAGCACCAAAAATTTGCATCAAGCTAATAGTACACTACATGAAGTAAATCGTGTATAGCTAGTTATAGTAACTTATGATTGCCAAATCAGTGCAAAAGAGTTCTCTCGTATGATAAACATACATTATGTGATTCTCTCTTTAGTCTTCTCTGTTTTCGTTTTTTCTATAGATGTAAATTATTGCTCATGGGGGTTGCACGACTGCGTGGAAGATTCTCACTGTATTGCCACTGACAATGGCTTTACATGCAGGTGTAAGAAAGGTTTTCGGGGAAATGGCGTTGCTTGCTATGGTGAGTAATGCAATTGAAAAATGTTGAGTTATCAAGGCCATTATGTCATAGGCCTTGAAGCCCTTGAGCGTTTTTGTATGTTATGCTAATGCGCGGGTTTAAGACGATTAATTTTAAATGACCCTGTTAACAACGCAAAAATCGACACTCAGATATAAGTTACCCGCGTACTCAGACAGCAGGCGCCGGAAGAAACGTACGTGGAGAAGGAGAGTCGTTCATATTAAGGTCCCGCTTAATTTAAGGCAAAAGTTTTAAATGATATGAGAACAAAAGTTGAGATAACTCGTAATTATTTTGTGTGTCATACCGACCACCAGAAACCTTCAATCCTGAAAACAATGAACTGGTCAAATTGATCAATTCTTGACCATAATAACCACGGTCTTAATTTGATCCACATAATAATGGTTTCAAATTTTGATCTCCTTATTAGAGTGATATTAATAACACCATAATTAATACCAGTCTCACTTACAATCTAGCTGTATAACTTGGATAACTTTAGGTATAATTACAAAGGTGATTGTTGAAAATTTCTGGCCTCTGATTGGCCGAGTGAGGACAATTACGCGATAATCACCCAAGCGAGGATAATTGCGCGATAATCACCTAAGCGAGGATAATTACGCGATAATCGCCTAAGCGAGGATAATTGCGCGATAATCACCTAAGCGAGGATAATTGTGCGATAATCACCTAAGCGAGAATAATTACGAGATAATCACCTAAGCGAGGTTAATTATGCGATAATTACCTAAGCGAGGATAATTACGCGATTATCACCTAAGCGTGGATAATTACGCGATAATCACCCAAGCGAGGATAATTGCGCGATAATCACCTAAGCGAGGATAATTACGCGATAATCACCTAAGCGAGGATAATTACGCGATAATCACCTAAGCGAGAATAATTGCGCGATAATCACCTAAGCGAGGTTAATTGCGCGATGATCACCTAAGCGAGGATAATTGCGCGATAATCACCTAAACGAGGATAATTACGCGATAATCACCTAAGCGAGGATAATTACGCGATAATCACCCAAGCGAGGATAATTGTGCGATAATCACCTAAGCGAGGATAATTACGCGATAATCACCTAAGCGAGGATAATTACGCGATAATCACCTAAGCGAGAATAATTGCGCGATAATCACCTAAGCGAGGTTAATTGCGCGATGATCACCTAAGCGAGGTTAATTGCGCGATGATCACCTAAGCGAGGATAATTGCGCGATAATCACCTAAGCGAGGTTAATTGCGCGATAATCACCTAAGCGAGGATAATTACGCGATAATCACCTAAGCGAGGATAATTACGCGATAATCACCCAAGCGAGGATAATTGCGCGATAATCACCTAAGCGAGGATAATTACGCGATAATCACCTAAGCGAGGATAATTACGCGATAATCACCTAAGCGAGAATAATTGCGCGATAATCACCTAAGCGAGGTTAATTGCGCGATGATCACCTAAGCGAGGATAATTACGCAGTAAGTAAGTAAGTAAAAACTTTATTTGACTACGCTAACCCCTACAGCATACGCTGGTTTCCCAGGGGGGCGTAGGTTAAAAATGTTACAAATAATTAGCTTACAACAGAGATTACAGATATAAACGAAATTAAAAATTACAATTACACATTACACTTACATCTACTAATTACAAATTATTAATTAACACATATATTACTAAATTAGTTTAGTCTACTGGCCAGGTGTCGCACACTTGAGTTAAATAGATTAAATGATTGTATATTTCTTACTTCATCTGGAAGGCTATTCCACAACTTTGCTCCTCTATAACTAAGACTTTTCTTAAGATATTCTGTCTTAGGTTTAGGCAATTGGAGCTGCGTGGTAGAACCTCGTAGATTATAATGCTGAGAGGAAGGCGTCTTATGAAAAAGATCGGTTAATTGCTTGGGCGCTATTTCATGAGTTATTTTATACATGAGACTTGCTGAAAATTGAATTCTACGTTCTTTCAAAGTAGTCAAAGTAGTAGTGTTTCTGTCAAAGTGAAAAAATACGTTACTTTTACAAAAATACAGTACCTTAAAGCAGAGAAGGAGTAAAAAATTAGGCATACAATTATTTCCAAAGTAAAAACTACTTTGTAGGCCACTATTCAACTTTATTTAGCGAAAACTTTGTTTTTTGTCGGTATAAAACTGTTAAAATAAATGTTCACGTTTGTAACGCGATATTTTCTACAACAGTTTCATTTTTTTAAAAAAATCACCTTTGTAGTTAAACAAATACTAAAACAATTATTCACCTCAGGCTCGATGAATATCTCTGACTTCGACTTCGTCTCGAATTTATTATGCGATATTTCACCTCGTTTTTGGCAATTAATTGTTAAATATGAATAAGCACGTCTTTATTTGAGATTAAATCAACTGGCTAGTCCGAAATGAACTACAAATTTCTATTAGAGCAGTGACGAGTGATAATATCTTATCTAGACATCAATGAATGTTCAACAGGAAACAACTGTCATTCCGAAGCTTTTTGCACGAACACTTATGGGTCTTATCGATGCACATGTAATGGTGGATTTACTGGAAATGGTACCTTCTGCCAAGGTATTTGCACGATTATTTCCACAAAAATTTTCTTTCCTCAGCAAAAATTCAGGACAAGCGTCGAAATATTCCGTCTTTTTCCCAAGTAAATGTATCAGTTTTGAAAGGCACATATCAATTTTTTTCTTAGATGAAGATGAATGTTCTGATTCAACACACCGCTGTCCTCCAGAGACAAATTGCACCAATACTAAAGGATCCTATCAATGCTGTAGAACACAAAAGTTTAGAAATAGTTATATTTGCAGAGGTGAGCGTAAACGATTGAAGAGTTATTTAGGTCCTGGGAGATGATTATGACCTTATGACCTCAGATAGCATCTCACCATCCCGAATACTATTAACATTGTCGCAATTAACTTCTGAGAAATTTTAGTGATAAATCTCAGTTGCTTCATTATCGATTAAGCATCGGATGTGTAATGGTAACAATAGATGCGGAAATGCGCCATAACACCAAAACGAGGCTCACGTTTTAGCCCCTGAACAATGAACATCGTTCCAATGTTATGGCTTATTTGCACATTAATTGTTCAAAATGAAAAATTATTTCTTACTCATTTTAAAAGAAGGGTGTTTTACATGGTTTGCGCATATCGCTCGCCGGAAATTTTATCTCCGGTGTGTAAATGCAGCTCGTTGACATAATTATACGTTTCATTCATGCTATTATATAATGTTCGAAACCATGGCCTACTGTATTTTCTGAATCGAAGACAACGATTGAGAAAAAATAAGTGACTCGCAAAACGAGTCTTATATAAAATGAGGTCGAGAATCGAGATATTCTAGGAAAGCTTGTAAATGAACGGAGAATAAAAGGAATATGACTAAACATTTCCTTACGAATATTACCAATGAGTACCTTTAGAGAAGCTCTCCTGACGAAGGCCCTCAGGTCAAAACGTCGAGAAGTGTTTTGTCTATTTTAGGCAGTTGTCATACCACATTTGATACTAAGTTGTTTGAAGACGCTGCCACGCTGCTCCTGGGTTTGGGAATTTTTTTTTTTAACTTTCATTCCCACAATTTTTAGACAGAACTCTCAGGTTACAAGGACCATTAAAGATAAATGGCACTGGCCGTGTGGAAATATTACATTCCGGAAAATGGGGAACAATCTGTGACGAAGATTGGGATATAAATGATGCCCGCGTTGCATGTCGTCAACTTGGTTATCGGAATGCTCTCAGGGCTCTTCGGGGACGGGAAGTTCCTGATGGTTACGGAGAGATTTGGTTACTGCAAGTTGGTTGTGCTGGAAATGAGAAAAATCTAGAAAATTGCCCTCACCAGATGTGGAGATGGCGAAATCATGGCTGCAGACATTATAGAGATGCTGGGGTGGAGTGTACTTCTCAAGGTAAAAGAGATTATCACTCAGATTAATTATGCCTTTATTTATAGGATCAAGCAGAAAATCATTTCCAAAACTAAATTTTCGACTTCAACTACCATACCGAAGCTTGACTTGAGAATGCAATTTTGTTATATTCAAAAATGTCGTCAATCATAGAGAAAGTGTCAATTGATTTTGATCCATTTGTTACGTATGATGTATCACATTAAATCATTGAGACATTGGTATCATGTAACACATTGAATCCACGGAATTATGAGCTTCGAAAAGGAGACCTTCATCTTGACGTTCACGGCAAAGCCAACAATGCTAATAAACTTTGTTCTTAACTCAACTATCTTTAAGTGTGCGGCAATTTCGCCTAAATAATACAAACGTTCTACCAAATAATCTTGTGATGTTCCGCAGTAAATACTGTAGGAAAGAAATGAACTATTTCTTGTGTATTTAGCAATGAAAGCAGCAAATCTCAGCTCCGTATGTGTTTTATGTTCGCTGTATGTATTTACCACTGAGAACGTTTTTAATTTAGCGAAATTGTTTCTCACTTCAAGATAGTGGAGTTAAAACACAGTTTTATTAGCAGCCTAGCCGTTTTCCTCAGACGTCACCGTAAAAGTCTATATTATGAATTTCTACTTCTTTGGCTGATTTTTTTCTGTATTATAAATTTAAACGCCGTAGTGAGCGCGCATTAGCGTGGAAAAACAGTGATCTTGAATCACAAGTGTATGTGCATGTGATCCACACTCGGGAATAAATTTGATCTTTTCCCTCACGATTATGCTTAGCAACTTCCCCTTATGTGGGAGGGAAAGTAGCGTAACCATGCATCATATCAATTGGGGTGTTGATATAATTATCTAGTCCTGGCCGACAGCCAGATTATAATTCTTAGAATTCTGTTCTAAGCTAAGCTATATATACAAAGTTCATTTCTGCCTGTCAGGGCAATGATAAGCATGTGATAAACATACATTATGAGATCATTATCTCTTTATTCTTCAGTCTCTTCTGTGTTTTTGGTTTTTTTAGCTGTCGATTATTGCTCCTTGGGATTGCACAACTGTGGACGTAATTCTAAATGTATCAGCACTAACAATGGTTTTACATGCAGATGTAAGAAAGGTTTTACCGGCCGGAACGACCTTTCCTGCTATGGTGAGTGATGTATAATGGTAATAGAACGAGTAGAAGCGCTATTAAATCAAAATACGCGTACGGCTACAAAAGATCTGGAGCGAGCATGGAAGAGTGAGAAATAACTGAAAAATTATATTTTTTATCAGCAATTTGCAATAAAAGTACTTCTTTTAATTGACAAATTCAACTTTGAACAACGAATTCATCCTTTCTAGATAGATCTGAGCAATCTGCAACACCTAACAGTAAAACTGGTGAGGTACCAGCATTTAAGAAAATTTGACGGGCCGAAAAAAACTTTGCCTTCAACTACAGAAAAAATAATAGGGCTAAACCTTTCCACCTTAGAGAAACATGCTTCTAGTAAAATTTATGTGCCACTACTTTGTTTTGAGCCTTCATTTTTGTTCAGATGATTTTTTGTGTATAAAAACCAGCGTTGTTTTGGTGTGCAATTTCAACTCTCGGTCTTCATGACGGCCTTGAATTAGCTAGGCTTCAAAGATGGCGGCCAAGTTATTGTTCCAGTATTTTTAGAGTTCACTGGTGGTAGCTACGCAACGCCGCATTTTTTATACCATAAATTTTGATATCATGAATTAAATTATCAATAAAATGAACTACAAATTTCTATTAGAGCAATGACGTGTGGTAATATCTTATATCTAGACAAAGATGAATGTTCAACAGGAAACAACTGTCATTCGGATGCCTTTTGCACGAACACTTATGGGTCTTATCGATGCACATGTAATGCTGGATTTACTGGAAATGGAACCATTTGCCAAGGTATTTGCGTGATTATTTCCGGAGAAATTTTCTTTTCTCAGCAAAAAAACTCCGGACAATTATCGAGGTGTACAGGTTTGGTCTGCATGGCAACTGAACATTTAACATATTTGCTTATTAGACAAAGATGAATGTTCTGAGTCAAGACACAACTGTCCTTCAAGGACAATTTGCGCCAATACTAAAGGATCCTATCTATGCTGTAGAACACAAAATTCTGGAAATGGTTTGATTTGCAGAGGTGATTGTACATGCAATACCTATATCTGTCTTTGTAGTAATGATGTAAATAAAGGCAGTCCATTATGACTACCCATGTCTGTACTGGAACACCTTTTTTGACGATATAGAAATGGAATTAAGTGTAAAAAAAAGCCTGGATGAAGCTGCTACTAAAATCGTTGATTGTTGCATTTGCGCAATTTTACTTTGAAAATTGCTGGTGGAAGATCAAAGTTGCGATACGACAGATTAAAGAATTAAGGCAAAAAAGTTCTTAAATTTCTGCAAAGTTCTTAATTTTGCCATAATATATTATAAAATTTCGTTCATGGGGTTAATTGTGGTAGTTATTTAGTGGGAGGTGTGTTTTCCGCAGTATTTTCTAACTTTCATTGCCACAGTTTTAGATAAGTCAATTAGGTTACGAGGACCATCCAGGCTAAATGGTACTGGCCGTGTGGAAATCTTATATTTGGGAATATGGGGAACAATTTGTGATGATAATTGGGACATAAATGACGCTCGAGTTGCATGTCGTCAACTTGGTTATTGGAATGCTCTTAGAGCTCTTCGAGGACGAGATGTTCCTTCTGGTTCAGGACAGATTTGGTTGGACGAAGTTGGTTGTACTGGGACTGAACAAAACCTAGAAAGTTGTCCTCACAACGATGATGTAGGATGGGGAAGTCATGACTGCGATCATTCGGAAGATGCTGGAGTGGGATGTACTTCTGGAGGTACGTTTATTTTTCACGTGTTTTAATTTTAACCTTAGTGTGATTATCTTACGCAGTATTACAATTCCAACAACTCAAGTTCAATGTTTTGATGGAATTGCGAATTCATCTTCTTTTTTACAATCTCTAAATTTGTTTAATCGAATTTAAACCTCTTTCGGGGATGGGGACTTTGTGGATTATTGACTTAAGCTACAATACCATAACTAAGCAAGAAGGCTTCCAAGTAAAATATTTTGTCCATTTTACGATTAAATACACGCAAATTTAAGCTTTAAAAATAATTATGTATTTCAATTTATTAATCTTATCACCTTTGTTCTGCATGATTAGTTTGAATGACATTTCATGTTTTTATTATATAGTCTTTAAAACATTTATTGCCTCCTTCAAAAAGCTTTGAATTTAACAGGGTATTTGCACATAATCTATATAGTTGATTCTCAGTTCGATCGTTAACCAGTCGGTAGAGCCTGCATTGGTAGTTTTATGTCTTTTTCTCACATGTTTCAAAACTCGCCTCTTAAAAATATTTCTTTAAAGATATTTTAACTTTATAATTTAAAGTTTTTGGACATAATGTTTGAAATCAGTGCTGACTTGTAAATAAACAAAGGAATTAAGAGAAGTTTTTTTTCTTGCGGTCCGAATTCATATTTTAGCATTTCCTGCAATCTGATTGGCTACGCAAGCGGTCTGAATGAAGCCGTACGGACCGCGCGAGATTTAAAAGCACAGAGCCCTAAATATGAATTCTAAAATAGCCCAGAACTCTAAAATATGAATTCGGACCGCGATAAAGAAATAAATCTATTATTTACCAGTTTAGTCCCTCCATATATATATATATATATAAATTATATTTATATATATATATATATATATATATATATATATATATATATATATATATATATATATATATATATATATATATATATATATGTATATATATATATTAGCTCATATCTGTCTAGTAGAGAAAGTAAACAAAATGGCGGAAAGATTTGGGGAGTTGAATGAAATAGAAATCCAAGTCTAGTAGATAATAGCACACCAAAATGCACCGAGAGGGCGACATATATATATTGTCGTTTGGTGTTTTGCAATCACAAATATAGTTCCAAACTAAGTTCACCGGCAACACAATCTTAAGAATAAAAGTAAAATAAATTATTTTGAGTGGTATGCAGAAATGATTTTGTGTTCCAGCCAAAATACACGAGATAAAAAATCATAAAAAAAATTTCCTCTTAAAACAAAGGGAACTTTCAGCTTTATATTGAGTATGTAAGTCAAGAATGAGGCAAATGGTTGACAATAATTTATAATTAAACCAGAGGTCAGCGGTGCACCCTTGTTATGCGAAAAAGATCTCAAGTATATTGTATTTACATTACTGCTAATCAAACCTTTGTAATTGTTTGAAAAATTTGGTCGAATTTTGTTTTTAAGTGATCTGATTTTTAATAATGTAATCATATTATTGTAGTCAATGCAGTGATAAACGTACAAAGTGAGATTCCTCTGAAATTTTCATTATTGTTTATAGATCTCGATTATTGCTCCTTGGGATTGTACCAATGTGGGATGAATTTCCAATGTGTTAACACTGACAATGGTGTTAAATGCATATGTGATCAAGGTTTTACCGGGGACGACTTTACATGTTCCGGTTAGTCATATACAGTTTGGGTCAAAAGTCTGAGTTCAGTCGATAATTTTTCTCATATTTCAATAATTTACAATAAATTATATCTTGTGAGTTGGAGATTGGATATGTTCATCTGAACTTGCGTATGTATAATTATGGAATGTATAAATGTAGCACTGCATGATTAATTTTCGATAGAAGTCGTATCGGGTTACACTATGCAACTTTCATTGCACCTTGCAATGCAATTCTACTCTTGAGGCATCTAAAGTTTTCAACACTGTTTAAAAATTAGAATCCTTCAAAAATTAATTATAAATAAATTACAATTTGCAAGGGAATTGCATAGCCTAGCTATAACAGCGTCTTTAAGCCAGGTTGTATTGAATCGCTATATCCTGCCATGTGGGAATATTTTATGACCTTTTCAGTTTGCAATATTTCTGAATGAGTAACAGGTAAAGTTTTTGTTCAAAGAAATTCAAAATCTACGAAATTTGAACAAATTCTAAACCATGGAGTCCCCTGATATGAGCAGAACGTTACAGATGCGCAGAAGCCGCTGTAACCCGTCTTTAAATGTGAACGATTGTAATGCAGAAATGCAATAAGTTATCGTCTCTTGTTCGAAATGGTCGCGGGCTAAATTTTACTTTGAGGGCGCTGAATTTAAGAAAAAAAGTCATAAAAAGTATGATAAATTGTTAACCATACTAACCATGCAGTGTTAGGAATTAAACTCCATTATCTCATAGGCTATGCTTGGTCCTTGCTCCCAGTTTACCCACCGTGAACAAACCGAAAAACAGTTTCTCAGTTAAATTCTTAATTATAATGTTCTATTTTAATTTTTTGGCTGTTAGTATAAAAATTCTTCATGTAGTGGTAATTCCAAGGATTTACTTAAGATCCAAAAGCCGAACATATCATGTTCTTACAGCACATAGTTAAAAATAGTCCAACATAAAAATCGCCTCGCATTTAAATATATGTTTTATTACCAATTTTTTCGGTTCGGTGGCCGTGAGCCTGCGATTTTTTAATGCAGCGTCGACCAAAAGTCCCCTCTGTTTAAACAAATGACTATAAGCGATGTTTCGTCGTACAATTAGTAATTAACACATTAGAAAGCAAGAAAAACTCATATTGGTGTATTGTATTACATTCCCATCATGCCATTCTGGTAATTTCATTATAATATGTTTCCCTAGACATCAATGAGTGTTCAACAGTAAACAACTGTCATTCCGAAGCTTTTTGCACGAACACTCAAGGGTCTTATCGATGCACATGTAATGGTGGATTTACTGGAAATGGAACCAATTGCCAAGGTATTTGCATTATTATTCTTTCTAGCAAATTAGATTTCCTTTGTTCTTTAATAAAAATAATTTTGTTTGTTCGTAGACGTCGATGAATGTTCTGATTCAACTCACAAGTGTCCTTCAGAGACGAATTGCACCAACACAAATGGATCCTATCAATGCTGTAGAACAAAAAATTCTGGAAATAGTTCTATTTGCAGAGGTGACCGTAAATTGTTATTGATTTATTTCAGGGTCTTAAACTTACAATTTTATTATTCAGAATTTGGTAAATTTTAAAATTACCTGTACCAGGAACTACGTTATAAAAATCCCAATAATGTTTTTATTCCAAGAAAATTGAAAAAACCTAGGTCTTATTCTCCCAACTAGGTGAAATGAAAGACCGTCGTTTTCTAATAACTATGTTTATATATAAGTCAACTTGAAGGCAAAATGACGAAACATCGAATTATGGAACGTAGTAAAAAACATCTAAACACAAAAATAAAAATAATCAGTCTATGTCTATATTGTAAAACAAGTAAGCTTTTTATTAAGATATTGCCAAAATGGTTGGTTGTTGAATTTGTTTCGCCAAGCCCACTTCAAAATTCGCCATGGCAAAGGCGTGTAGTAAGACAACTGACGCGCAGGGCGGGAAAAAGCAGTGAAATAAATTTATCAGCTCAATATTATGCACTAAAATATGTTGTTGTAAACATATTTGTATTCAAGTCAAAAAAAAATTTTTGCCTGATATCTACTTTAAACCTAAACACCGCTTAAGGCTTGATACAACAGCATCGTAGCTATCGTCCTTGCGGCGTGTGTTGTCCCAAATAATTGTTGAAATATTCTATTCAGGAAAATGGGGAAAAATTTGTTATAATAATTGGGACATAGATGATGCTCGCGTTGCATGTCGTCAGCTTGGTTATAGGTTTTGTAATAACATAATTATACTTGTTTGCTCTCATAGAGACTTATTTCAATACCTCAAAATCATCTCACACGTTTAATCCCGGGTAACTGAAATCATGTAAACGGCTACTCAGATATTGCACGAAAGTGCCAAAAAACTGTGCAATGTTCTTATCTAGTTGTCTCTATTTTCAATGAAGTGAATATTATTGACAGTAGTGTATTTTATATTACTGGTAATCAAACATCTGTAATAGCTTTCAAAATTTGGTGATTTTTTTAAATAGTCTCTGATTTTTAATAAACTAATTTGATATTTCTGCCGAGAAGAATGTCGTATGATAAACATACAAAGTGAGTTTCCTCTTTTTAGTCTTCTACATTTTCATTATTGTTTATAGATGTTGATTATTGCTCCTTGGGATTGCACAACTGTAGCGGTAACTCTCGATGTATTAAAACTGACAGTGGTTTTACATGCAGATGTAATCAAGGTTTTACCGGCGCCTCTTGTGATGGTGAGTCGCATAAATCATCTTAAATGAAGGACTGCATGGTTTATTTTCGTTAAAAGTTGCAGAAATTAACAATGACCTAGCTTACGGTTCATCAAATCACAACCGGAATGTAAAGGCAAACGTTTGTTTTCCACAATGTTTCAATGCAGGAATAAAATAGGTCAGTCGCCTGGCCATTGCGGCGGGTCATATTTTCACATATTAAACAGCAGAGGTATACGTGGCACTAAAACGCATACGTATATGTTTTCTTTATTTATGTCTGCATGCATGCATGCATGTAGGTTAGATAAACGTCCAGGCTGAAAACCCACCAGTTGTTAACTTATAAAAAATGTCGTATTTGGCCGCGAAGATTATCATTTATTTTGCGTGAAAACAGATCTGGCTTTTTACCAAGTTAACCTACCTTGCATCACCAGCAATGCTGTAAACTGCTTGTGTTGTTTCCATTAACAACGGAAGATCTTGGCTGTTAAATGTTTTTTGAATTTTACCCAAATTATAACGTTAACTTTCTCCCTCATGTATTATTTATAGGGAATATTAATTTCCAGTATACATCCCTAGATATGAATGAATGCTTGTCGCCTGACAGCTGTCATCCAAATGCCAGTTGCGTCAATAATTACGGATCTTATCGATGCACATGCAATGTTGGATATACTGGGAATGGAACCATTTGCCAAGGTTTGAGGTTACCTTCATAATTATACACCCTCAGATCATAGTGTCTATATCTAAGCTCAACCCAGGTGAATATCTAACGTGAACATAAATTCAAACTTCTTTATCTGGTATAGACATCAATGAGTGCTCTCAGTCTACTGCCAGGTGTCCTTCAGTCGAATATTGCTCCAACATCCCAGGATCTTTTCTATGCTGTATTGGTGAACCTGGAAGAAACGAATCGACTTGCAAAGGTAAATAAAACTTCAATATGAAATGTATGTTGTGATATATATATTTGTGATATTGCTACTCTGAGTCACCAACCGGGTAAACTTAAGGATCAGCTTATCGGTGGGAATCGAAACCGCAACCTTTGGTTTGCTAGTCCCATGCTCTTCCAACTGAGCAACTAGGTCAAGACGGTTCGAGCAGTTGATGTTTCGGAACTCAGTCTAGTTCCTTCTATATATAGATCTGTGTTCCTCTTAAAGTTATAGTAATAATGCAAAGACCCTATTTCTTGTCTCGTGACTTCCATTTTCTTAAGAAAACATTTTCTAACATATTTCTCAAACAAAGAGAATATTTCCTAAAATAAGAAATTCATTTTTGCCGCGTAGTGTCTTAGCCCATGCACTGTACGGTCTTACTAAATTAATAGGAAAGCTTTTTTATTTTTTACATTTATCCGGCATTACTCGAACCATCAGAACCCTCGATAAAGTTAGAAGGACCATTAATTTCAAATAATACTGGCCGTGTTGAAGTATACCATGATGGACAATGGGGAACAATCTGTGATATTAATTGGGATATACATGATGCTCAAGTAGTATGTCGTCAACTTGGTTTCCCTGGTGCTATTCGAACATTGCCCCGTCATGAAGTGCCCGATGGTTTTGGTAAGATATGGTTAAACAAGCTTGAATGCACAGGTCGTGAGAATAATTTATCTAGTTGTCCTGGTATTGACTGGGTCGCACGTAAAGTTTACTGTCACCATTATAAAGATGCCGGAGTAGAGTGTGGTGTAAAAGGTAAGATTAACAATCAGTACTTATATAAATAGTATAATAGGTGTATGGTGCCGGTGTATATCAAGCCCGTTTAGCTTAAAAGGAGGCTAAGTTCAAAATAGAAAGCAATTCTATCGTTTTATTTAACGGGCATATCAAATTAATTTTTTTAACCTTAATGATTTATATACTGTTTACAATAATTATATGATATACAGTTTACAACTACATATTCAGTGCATAATTATAATATTGAAGTTGACTCATTTAAGGAAGATGTAAGAGTGTTATTTAACTATCAATCGTTTAAGCTAAACAGGTTTGATAAAACCTGGTCGCAATGTTTGAAATATATTTCTTTCAACTTTTGCATTCAATATTGTATTCAGGTGTTGATTATTGTTCCACCGGATTGCACAGCTGTCATAGAAATGCTGAGTGTATTACAACTGTTGATGGTGGCTTCTCGTGCAAATGTAATCAAGGTTATACTGGAACTGGCTTTTCTTGCAATGGTTTGTGATGTATACAGCTATAAAATAATAATTCTGTCTTGACGGTTGCTAATAATTAAGGGTTGGAGACTGTTGTGAGTGTTTTGTTCACAAAAAACGCACGCGCGGAACACAAAATAAACAAAAAAAATTAAAATTAATATTGAGGCCTTAGGCCGAGTGCGATATTGAAATTTCGAGTTCATTGTATGACATGCAAGTGCATATTTGTAAACAAAACAGGAGTATAAATTCTCCAACATATTTAATCTGTGTTCATTGATTGCTGCATTCAAGATCCAAGCTTCGCTGCAGGCTGTCATTTAAAGACTTTGTGAGTGTTTTGTTGACATGCAAATAAAGGCACGCGCGCTGACCATACAATGAACGAGAAATTTCGGGACATTGCGCAGTGTTCGAAAGCTTTCGTCCAATTCGAGAAAATTAATCCTTTGCTATGCTTTCTACGACGCTACGTCGCTATTGTTTAAAACAAAGTTTCGCGAACTGAGAGAATAGCGAGTGATTTAATTTCCAACCTGTCTATATTATCGATTTTGTGCATTTTAATGGAAAACTCGCTTTTCGAAGAATGGGATAAGAAGAAGGACGACGAACAAAGCAGCTAGCGTGCTGAGTTTGGCATTGCCCGTCAACTTGACGTAACAATTGAATTCTTATGTATAGATCTGACTATTACGAAAATATTGGATCCAGTTGCTTTATCAACAATATGGGACGTATAGATAAACACTGCGAAACTTTGTTTTAAACAAGGGCGACGTTGCGTTGCAGATTTCGTGTTTTCAAACTAGCTAAACTGTACATGCATGCAAACTGATTTTGAATGAGATATATGTTCAACGAGAACATGTTGAATACGAGAAAGTTAGCCTAAACTTTTTTATTATGATAATTAGCAGATTTATAAATTTAACCTAAAGATATCAATGAATGCTCATCACCTCACATCTGTTATTCGAACGCTCTTTGCATCAACACTCCTGGATCTTACCAATGCACATGTAAAGGTGGATTTATTGCAAATGGGACTGTTTGCGAAGGTATTTCGACTTTTCAGATAAAAAAAACAATACAACAGGAATCTGTATGCAGTTTCCGCCACTTTTGAATAGTTTATTTTTGGATCACGATGAAGTAGAAACGTTTATGATAATTTCAATAATAATCTGCCAAATGCTTCTTAGATTATGACGAGTGTTCTAATTCCGCGCACTACTGTCGTGCAACAGCAACTTGCAGAAACATTGTTGGCTCATATGAATGTTGCTTGAGACAATCTGGTGGAAGTAATGTGACTTGCCGAGGTAAATAAAACAATGCCTAAACATATACTCTCTTTACCATAATTATACCGTCTTTTAAACCTACATATGCGAAAATCTGTGCCTGGGGTCTTAAGAACCAAAATTATTTTAGTGAAAGGTGAATATTGACACGTTCATGCACTATATTAGGGCGATCTAGCACGAGGACGTGAACGTCAATGACGACGTGAAAATGGCAAGTAAATGCTGCATGTGGCCTGTCCATATTGGGGCGCTTTACGCCATTTATTTGTTATCTCGACGTCGTTTTTGACGTTAACGTCCTCGTGCTAAATCGCCCTATTTACTCGTGTATTACTTAAGAAAAACAGAATCATGCGAATTCATCTTTTAGTTCAGTTTTCATACTTTCTGAGATTGTGCGCCAGAGCAGATGGCTGCAGGGGCAGCTGCACGGCGTGACCTTAATTTGCCACCAGGGGTTTTTCATTTTAACGATTACATTCACCAGTCATCTTAAGTATATGTATACCGCCGACGAGTATCAAGAATAGCACAATCGTCTGATGAAAATTTATCCTGAGGGGCGGATTTAGGATTTTTTCAAACGTATTTTTCAAAGTCCAGATTGAGAAAATTTGAAAAAAATTAACTAGGCAGATCGGAATTTTGATTATTTTGGCTAATTTTATGTTTCATCGCTATGCCCATTAAGGAGACACTAGATCCCGCTTAAAAATACCGTATTAAAAGAACTGGCGAGGGTCAGATTTCAAAACTCACAACTCCGTACTCCTAGGATCTCCTTATGATAGCATGCAGTAATTGACTTAACACAAATCAGACATTATCCTCAAATAAAACGAACCGAAATATTTCATTTGCACCGATTAAAATACACACATACGTACAAAGAACTTCGCAAAATCGTGCTAATCATAACAAAAATAATGATTACGCATATTGTAAAATGCATTGCAAACTTCAATATAATGCAAATTGTCAAACTCTCCAGTCCAAACGTAAATTCAAACTGAACATTCCCAATGCAAGAAATGGACTGATTTGACTCCCTTGAAAGGTGCAAACCAGTCTGGCTCTTCCACAAATCAGTCGAGATAGGTCCCAATGCCTTATCCATGAGCCGGCTGATCCACTCGATTCTGCAAGTTTTTTCAGTTTTCGCTTTACCGCTGCTCTGGATAAAAAATATTGTTTTTAATTCTGAAACTGAACCCTTTAAACTGGACTATGACACTTTAAACTGGACTATGCAATTCTTATTCCAACCTTGAAAGATGTTATTCATATTTGAAGATAATTTTGAGTATCTAAAAATACGTAAGGCGCGCGACTGACTGCATGGACTTACCCCAGGTCCGCCCTGCTAATAAACAAATGTAAATGGAAACGACGAAAAAGCGAAACTAAACCTGCTCCGCTTTTCCTCTGCATCTTCCCGCCATCCCTGTGAAAAAGAAAAGCCAGTCCAAGATGTGAAATAGTTAGGTTATATTTTCGTTTTCTTCTTTGTTTATATCTAAAATGAGACGTGGTTTGCTTCATGTCGATGCCAATATTTTTAGAGATTACTGTCAGATTGCGAGGACCGTTAAGATTCAATGGTACTGGTCGTGTGGAAGTGCGCCATAACGGAGATTGGGCGACAATCTGTGGTTATAATTGGGAAATAAATGATGCTCGCGTTGCATGTCGTCAACTTGGTTATCCGGGTGCTCTCAGAGCTCTTCGAGGATGGCAAGTTCCTGATGGCTCAGGACAGATTTTGTTTGAAGAGCTGCATTGTACTGGAAACGAGAAAAATTTGGAAAGTTGTCCACGTCGCCATAACGCATGGTATAGCGATTACTGCAGTCATATTCACGATGTTGGAGTGCAATGTTCTTACGAAGGTAAAAAATAATTCAACGGTGAAAGGGTGGTAGGATTTCTTAAAAGTTTCATTTTAAATTAAAAGCTTTTCATTGACCCAACGTTACTGCGACTTATTTCTAATGTCAAGAAATTTGCCAAACAGTGAAATGACCGGTTTTCGATTGTATTAAATTTATTGCACCCGTACTGAATTAACTTTCTACGTTTCCTTATCTTCATGGAATTCGAATTATTTTAATTATAATATTTATAGATGTTGATTACTGTTCATCGGGACTGCACAACTGTAATTCTCGTGCTCAATGCATTAACGAAACTGATGGTTTTTCATGCAGATGTAATCCAGGCTATACCGGCAACGGTGTTTCTTGCAATGGTTAGTGACAATTAAGTACCTTTAGATTTCAATTTAATCACGCAACGAAGATGGATAATTTTATTATAAGTCAAATTCAAATTGTCTAATCGAAAAACGTTTTTGAGATTTTTGTGGTATTGCATTCCATTCCCCTATTTCCGATCTTGTAAATGATCGGTCTGTGGCAGACCTCTTACAATTTATATTTGACATTTTCAAATGACATAATCTTTAAGCTGGTTTTTGCTTTTTAATACTTTTTTCAGTTCTATCGTTAAAATCGCATGCGAGTTGCTTACGTCATGCAGAACAAATCGCTTTAAAATATATTCAAACGAATGAATATATCGGATTTAATCTAATGTTTCTTAATGTTCGATAGAAAGAAGTCAAAGAACATTTGTATTCCATAAGGTACTGACGAATTCAAAGACCAACCCTGTGCGAGGATCAATTCAGAAACGTTTTATTTCAACTAATTTAAAATGTTAGCTACACACCTCTCGTAACACCCGAAAAAAAATTAAAGTGACGACAGATTTTTTAGTCATAATGCGCCCAGCATACTTATAAAAAATGCTTCAAGGCCTTTTGAGTTACAGGGTAAAACTGCGAAAAAAACACATCAATCCTTTCTCAAAATTCATGAAATTTAGACGAGATATTTCCAAATTAAAACCAAACAGAGCATATTTAAAAAAAGTGTGTTTCGAATCGTTTACAAACTAAGAAATATTTTGCAGAAAAAAGTATGAAAAGAACGGGTTTAAAAAGGGTCATATTGCAGCCATGATATCCAAGAATCATCTCAATTTCAATTATTCATAATTCACCAAAAAAAAAATTTTAACATATCTTTGTTAAAAAGGTGGCGACGATTAATCCAGCTTTGAAATTTGGTACCCACGAAAGTTGTTAAAAGACGAGGACAAAAAATGTGGGATATATCTTCTCTCAATTACGCTTTTTAACCGTCAATGTACAAAATCCCATTGTCATAGTTATATTTTAGTCATATATCCAGTAAATGCATTTTCACATCGAAAAATGCCACATCGAAATCAAGACCTGCCAAAATGTCAAGTTTTTGCATATTTCAACAAAAAAACGCTCGCCTCATATTTATCCTAGATATCAATGAATGTTCATTTGCAAACATGTGTGATTCAAACGCTCTCTGCACCAACACTCTTGGATCTTACCAATGCTATTGTAAAAGTGGATTCATTAAAAATGGAAGTGTTTGCCAAGGTACTTGTATACTTCGATCGTTATCAAATAATAGAATTAAACATTTTATGTTGCGCAAGTGTGAACAAAAACAGATTTGATTTTTTTATTTTTACCATGTTTAGATGTAGTTGAAGGTTCAGATTAGTAAACATGATTGTAGATTAACATTCCATGGGGAGTAATAGTATGAGTGATATTATTTTAAAATTTCACTCCTACTGTATTAATTAGTTATTAATTGTACGAGCACTGCACTGCATGCACTGTATTCTAGTACATTATTTTACACGCTGGTCCAACTTAGCTAAGTTTCTCCCACTCGTGCAGGCTCATATTGTCAGCGGACAACTTACATAAAATTGAGAGCAAGGCGTAAAACGAAAAGCTTTTAATTTTTTATGCGAAGACCGCTGAAAAACTGAGCCCTCTTTACCGGGAGAAAATTTGCCGAATATGACCAACGTGTTACACTGTACTACCTCACCCACTGCACTTCACTTCCCTGCTCTGCACTGCACTAGCCACACGGAATGGTTACGCGCCCCTTTACTTGCATCCGCTGTAGCTTCTACCTGACCCGCACTAAAAATAATAGACTCTCCCTCTATCACCCCTTTTAGATGCCGACGAATGCTCTGGGGCGATTTATAACTGTCCTGCAAACGCCATCTGTGCCAATACAGTTGGAACTTATCTTTGTTGTGAAGATTCGGTTTGTAAAGGTACTTATAGAAATTTTTTTGAATACACACAAACAATAGCTTGAAAACGAGGCCAGCAATGTAATCTATTGTTTGTTGGGTTGTTTTCATTGCCCGAGAACAAATTCCGGAAGAGTTTAAACATGTCTGAAAGTAAAAAGAACGCGTGCTTAAAGACGGTTAGAATTTCTACGACAGTTAGATTTATTGCCAGTTGGCGACGACTTTGCATTAAATATAATGACGCAGTGGCCCTAGGGTGGGTTGCCAAACGCTTACACAGCGCATTCAAAGCTCTCCCAATTTTTACATTTAAAACAAGAAATTATATCGGTAAGAGCTGGCAACCTGTGAAATGTATTAAGGCGATTTTTCATCACATCGGCTCAGCCTTTGTTTTTCAGGCCCGTCACGATCACATGGGCGGATTTTCAAAGGCCGCTTCGCTCGCACCGGTAATCGAGAATCGCTTTCAAACTGATATAATTCAACGAACGTCTAGCGTCCAATTCAATAAATCTGATCCTATGAAAGAAATATAAATTAACTCGTACTCGGTGACTACAAATTTTGGCTGATGGCGTAAGCAAAGAATTCCAAGACGCGAGAATAGAGAGGTTAAAGCCCCGTTTACACTACACTCGATTTATTGGCACGGCACGGCTAAAATGGGTTACCGTGCTCATTTTATCTGTACTCGGCCTTTGTTTTGGTAGCCTGAATACTAACAAAACTGGGTACGGGTACCCATTTTAGCCGTGCCGTGCCGATAAATTGAGTGTAGTGTAAACGGGGCTTTAGATACCCCGGTTCCGGTATACGGGTGCGGGTAGCCATAATTTGTTCATTGGAATTTCTTGTTTTTTGCACGTTTCATGATACAAATTCAAGAGGCTAAAGTCTACTGGAAAAGAATTGTCGAATTAACCTTCGAAAAAATTGAGAAACACTGATGGAAATTCGTAGAGCAAAACAAGGCTACCCGTACACCGGAACCAGGGTATCTTAACCTGTGCATTAAAGCTCCATATTACCGTAAAATTGGTCCGAGGGTTTATTAAACTAACCTGTTCTCAAATTTCTCCAAATTATTTTGTCGAAATCATTAGAGCCACACATCAGGTTACAAGGTCCGTTAATTTCAAATGGCACTGGTCGTGTGGAAATATTACATGCTGGACAATGGGGAGCAATCTGTGGTAATAATTGGGATATAAGAGATGCTCAAGTGGCCTGTCGTCAACTTGGTTATCCGGGTGCTCTTAGAGCTCTTCAGGCGTTCAATGGCCAATTTACACCTGGTAAAAGACGGATATGGCTAGACAAGGTTAATTGCGCTGGGAATGAGCAAGAACTGTCCAGTTGTTTTTCTGGAGGGTGGGGTCACCATGACTGCTTTCATTATAAAGATGCTGGAGTAATGTGTTCGTTTGAAGGTGCTTTACGTTATTCTTATAAACTGGTCAATCTATTTTGCTAATTAACGTTCAGTTTTTCTAGTCATAACAAAGAAATTCCACATTTATTGTTGTTTATAGATGTTGATTATTGCTCCTTGGGATTGCACAACTGTGGGAGTAATTTTCAATGTATTGTCGACGCTTACACTGGTTTTACATGCAGATGTAAACAAGGTTTTACCGGGAACGGGTTTACTTGCTTTGGTGAGTGACATACCGGGTGTATAAAAAAAACGCAACCATAATAATCTTCCCACAGGCCTACATGCATGATATTTTGTTTTTGAATAGAAGTGAGAGTATGTGAATATTAGCTAAGGGGTAACACTTTTAGCAAAAATGACAAAGCTTGCAGCGGTGAATTAAGTTGCAAAACCCCAAAAGTGGTTATACGGGAAATTAATCATCATAAGCCCTCTAATGCATGGTTGACCGGAGAGCGGGTTTTCTGTGCAAAAGAATACACAGACACATTTTTGTGGGAGAAGGGATTTGGAGGAAGCACTGCTATAGCATATTATTCTATGTGGTCAATCTTTCATCCCAAAGACTCGTGCTTAAATGGCCTTTAAGGTATTGTGATAGAACATAACGGAATCCAAAGTTGCCTAAATCCTGTCATGAACAGCCTTGTACCCATGCGCTTTAATAGTGAAATATATAACGTTTTAATATACCAGCGTCTGTGTATTTTTTATTATTATTATAACAAAACAGTTTTTTAGAAATATTTTTCATGTTGACCACATGTTGTATCATCGCTTTTCATAATGGCGCAATCGCAAATACAACACCATGCATATTATAGTATAAATTATAAAACATTTTATTTTCAAATTTATCCCTAGATATCAATGAATGTCTATCATATCAAGCAAATTCGGGAAGTGTCTATTATGTTAAATATTTTATTTTTAAATTTATCCCCAGATATCAATGAATGTGAATCATCTCACAACTGTTCTTCGGACGCTTTCTGCACCAATACCATCGGATCGTATCAATGTGTATGCAAAAATGGATACACCGGAAATGGAACTGTATGTGACGGTGAGCACTTGTTTTGACTTGTGAAATAACTTTAATAAAAACCTAACACTAAGAAATAAAATTAAATTGTTTTTTGAAAATATTGAAGATGAGGTGGTGGTTTGATAAAATCAAAACTCTGCCAATTTAGATGTCGATGAATGTTCTCTAAATATATATACCTGTCCGTCAACTTCAAAGTGCAAAAACACCGTTGGATCTTATCAATGCTGTTCTAATCAAACAGGGATTTGCCGACCAGGTGTGTAAGTTATATTAAAGAAAAAGGAATAATATTACGCATTACAAGTTTAACATGACTTTTGTATAAACATTTCTACTCAGTTTTAACATTTCAGCTAGAAAGATCTAAAACCATGCACTTGCTTCCTCAAAAAAGTTTGTTTTTAAAACAAAAGAAATAATTTCGATTTCCCAGTGGATATAAGGTTTTCGATCGTCGTATGATATCATGATTTTCACCTCACTGCTTACTTTATAGTTGCCGCTGCGATTACGAAAATCTTCAAAATATTATAGGCTACTAGCTATAGATCTTTGGAAACAGTTAATTTTGGACAAAAATAATACCCTGAGACATAATATGGAATAATCCAGTATTTTTTGCATATTTGAGGCATTTTCTGAGCGTTTAATTTTTTTTTAATTTTATACTATATGCATACAAACTTTATTCCAAATTTGGAATGGTGTTTCGAACTATTCCTAGTTTTTAAATTTAGTTTAATAGAAGAATAGTCCAATCCAGATTGAATGATCCAGATTCCATTTCTCTATAATACGTGGTAACGTTCTGTTCAATTTTTTTGCAGTATACAATTAGCAGTGTTGATAAATTTTTCAAAGTTAAAAGTATCACGTTCCTTCCAGATATTAACGAGTGTATCGAACAAGAGGTGTCATGTGATTCAAATGCGGATTGTTTAAACACAAATGGATCGTTTGAGTGCAGATGCAAAGAGGGCTTCACAGGAGATGGGTATAATTGTAAAGGTATCTATTTTTAACAATCATAGTAAATATTATATAATAATGGAGAATAGTATTACCGTACATTTAGTGTAGCTATTAGTACACTTAGTGTAGCTATTTGTCGGGATATGGATGTATAAATTTTAAAAGGTATTTTATTACTGTATTCAAAAAAATCAAAATTCTTTGGACGTTACCATATGATCTTAATAGCACAAGAGTAATTAAGCATTTGAAATAAACAACAAAATTTTCAATAGCAAACACGCTTCGACTTAACCATAAGCCATCTTCAGTTTGAATGAGTTATTTACATTGTGAAATTTATTAAGTAGACGTTATTCATTGAGTATCATCTTGCATGTATCATATTCATAATTACTTACAACAATGATTGACAACATAACCGGATACAAGATATGCATAATATATAGAGTAACACGACAGAAAAAAATAACTGAAAAATAGTATCAAAATACTGAACCTGTTTGTGTTTGCATATGGGCCTTCATAATGTCCACTACTTTATTACCAGCAGAAAAAGAAATTCTCAACAGGAAATCAGGATCACCGGAAAACAAATTTTTGTCCTTCCCGAACTTGGCTTATATCATTGTTGGTCTATTTTTATTGCTTGGAATAATACTGCTGGTAATATTGATACGAAGACGACGTAGACGATCACAAAGAACATTCCATGATAATGAAAACTTGCAGTTGGTGTCAAAAGACGATTTACATTCTGGAATTGGTGACGACAATAAGAATCAAGGTTCAGCTGTTAGCAAAACTGTCAAAGAGAGTGATGAAAGATGTGAGCTAATAGATCAAGGTGAACTCAATAAAGTCACTGAATGCTAGAGCATTTGAGGTTATGAAAAAGTGATTTTTGACAACAGTCATTTTACAATTCATTATGCATGTTTAACTATAATAAGTCTAGTAATTTATTTTTTTTAGTTTACTTTTTAGTATCACTCAGCTTGTTATCGTAGTTTCTAATTTCAGGAAAATTGTATTTTTCAAATTTGGGTAAATAAAGAATCCGTAGTTTTAGGAGCCTGAAATCAGGTAGTGAGACTGTTTCTAAAATCAAGCATATAATTTTGCACTTTGCTGACAGGAAGCTTTGACTTTCAGCTTCGTACCATCACGGTGAACTGCTTGATAATTCTTTATATATTTATCATGCCTACGTTTATTCAAAAATTGTCGGTGAAATGAAACGTTCATTTACAAAAATCCTACGTCGGTGTTTCATGAGATTATGTCGACTCTAATACAAGGTGTATCAAAAAAGGTATTCAAACTTTGGCGTGCTATTGTGCGTGAACTACTCATTCTATTAACGAAATTTTTTCACATTCGGAAAGTTTAGGCTTTTAACTATTGAATGACGTACGTCTTTTTAGTACCAAATGGTGAAAAATGAGCAAAAAGGAGGCTGATGAAAAGTGTTAGTCAAAATCGCATATTTTCACCTCTAAGAGTTAAGATTAAAATGATTGAAAATTAACTCCCTTTGGGACATGAATGTCATCTGATAGTTAAAAGCCTGATCTTTCTGAATGTCCAAAAAATTTGCTCATAGGCTGAGCAATTCACGTACAGTAGTGTGTTGAAGTTAGATTACCTTTTTGGACGAGGAACTGGTCCCCACACGCGGCTAATCTTCTTGTTGTTATTGTTGTTGTTGTTAGGGGGTGACGCTCTTTAAAAAAGCCTAAGGCTCCATCAATTCGCATCAGATCGCAATTAAACTTCGCACAACTATCCTTAGCGATATTCCCCATCGATTGACGGAGTTATAATTTTGATTTTTTTATTTTAAAGAAATTTAGAAGCAACTCAAAATTGTAGCGTAGTAATGCGTATAGATTATATTCAATATTAGTATGCATAACTGAAGCAAGTTCGAATGGCTAAGGCTGCGTCATTTCGCACCAGATCGTGATCAATCTTCACACAACCATCTTAAAGGTTATTCTTTATCGACTTACGGAGTTAAATTGTTTGTGCTTGTATTCTGCAGAAAATTTGCAAGCCATGTCAGGTTGTGACGGGAGGCAAATTTTAATATTATTAATATTCATATACTATGAGTTCAAGCCAGAAGGTCGTGTATTTTCTTTGTTTTGTACACAATATATATTCATGATTATACAGGGTGTATCAAAAAAAGGGTGTATCAAAAAAAACGCAACCACTTAATATTCTAAAATTCATATTGTTTATAAGCTCAATAGATTTTATGCCCCTGGGATTTTAAAATGGCTTCTAATCGTACAGTTCAACTGCTAATGGTCAAATCAGCTAAACTAATAATGGTGCAGCTAACAACCGAACAACGATTTTTATTGTCGTGCATGATAACTTGAGTGCTAACTGCCGACCTTGTAAGATTCATTGTAAATAAAATTTTACTCGTTAAATACTTTCAATTCAGCTCATTGGTTTACGCACCCGACTTTGTTTACCAACGATTGTGCCGCTAGAATATGATTACAAGCTTTCTCGCATTCCAGGGGCCAAACGTCTTTTGTGTTGTAGAACAAAGAGGATATTCATGAATATTAAGTGGTTGCGTTTTTTTTTATACACCCTGTAGAACCATTGCGTTAAATGCGTTTCTCTCTAGGGCATTTCTTATTTTTTATTTATTTGTTTAGGGTTTGCCCAGCATACATATACATAAAAACGACTATAATGACAGTGGCACGGTGCACGCAACGCTAGCTTCTCGCCAGCTACAGCGGCATAGATTAGGACATAGATGTGCAACTCGGCATAACATAGGACATAGATGTGCAACTCGGCAAGTGTCTTTGTATTGAAAGTAGATGAAAAATGTAGAAAAGCGATAATTTTAACTATTGCAAGATTGCCTAGGTTCATAAATATTTGAAATTTCATCCTGGAGAGAAAGATTGAATCTATACTTCACCAGTTCCAGGTCCAATAGAACGATCGTACTTGTTTTTTATACACCCTCTATAATTTAGAATCAGTAAGATCTATATAGTTCACTGGTTAAAATTCAGCCTGTTCGCAGATAGGAATTGCCTGACGAAAGGCCCATTATGAGGAAGGGCCAGAAATTTGAACACTTGTGAGAAAGAATATTTGTTGATTATTGCGAATATGTCAATTGTATCCTACATATTTCTTTATGCACCGATAAAGATACATGCACACGTCCAGGAATGGTCCTTTAATCGGAAAATAAGCAATATATCGGCGGAAATCGGTGGTACCGGTATTTTAAGAAGTGAGTATCATGGCCATGTTGCTTAATATATTAAATAATTATGAAAACATACCCCATGTGCTTGTTTATACTATGATCATTTCTAACGTATCAATAAGGCCGAATAAGGTCTTCATTGACCTCTATACCACCTATTGTAAATATAATACAAGCTAGGGTAGCCATAAATTCTCACGGTAGCCATAAATTCTCACGGTAGCTATAAATTATGTCTTGCAATCCTCGTGGTAAGTATTTTACAGTCTGGAATTCCTCGTGGTATAGGTGTTTTATAGCTTGGGATTCCTCGTGGTGCTGTAGGTAAAATATGGCCTGGAGTTCTTTAGGCTTAGCCTAGCTAAAATAATCTTAGATTTCATCATGCTTACGACACCAGTGTACATTGTGTTTGAAATACACTATCTTAGACAGTGCATGAAAAAATTTCGTTACATCCTAAAGACCTAAACCGGCGTTCTGCATAAAAGTCCTGATACTCAGCATTTATGTAAGAAAGGAAAGACCTCTACAGTTTTATTTAGCAAAGTCGTTCATCGTGCATGATTGTTCGAGCGTCATCTGCAAACCTTTTAAGAGCTGTTTTCGACTTCAATCGTGGCGTAACGAAGCGTATTTCTTTGTTTCCCAAGTATTCGACCAGAACTAAAGACTTTAAAACAATGAGAAACGCTACGTTTCGCTACTATACGGTTGAAGAGGAAAACGGCCAAATTTTGTCTAGCTTAGGCCCTTAGCGATACTAATTAGGAAACTAAGCCCTAACAACTATATAAGAATTATGTGCATGGATGCAAGGCTTTTGCATAATCAATGTAAAGGGAAAATTGCTAATCTTATATACGAAGAACGACGTAAGTCCTTTGTTAAAATATTTCAATATGACGAGACGAGGGCATATCTCGTTGAACGATTTTAGCCTTTTAACTAATTTTTATATAATCTTGCCTAAATTATAAACCATCGTTTGAAGGTCGGAAACGTGAATCGAACTGACGTTGCTCTCAGGGAATTATCATGACATATAATTATTATGGCAATCATATTCTTATGATATAAAAAATAAGATATGTGATCAGCCCGTTTTGATTAATAGTATCCTGTCCCCAGAGTTTTTACCATATAAATGTTTAGGAGTTTCCTTAGAAGATAAAATCTTGGGACGTCCATATAGAAATGATCTGTAAAAGCGTGGCTGTTAGGATTGTCGTCCTTCGGCGTGTCATCAGTACAGGTCATCTATAATGCTTTAACTCAACCCCGTTTTGACCGTCTCTGAGGAGTAACATATCCAGGGATGGAAAAATGGCAATTTCTGTCGGTTCCTTTCGAAGGCTCGCTCAACTTTAGGCTCGCAAAAATTCGCTTTAAAAAAGAAAAAAATATATTTTTAAATAGTTGTAGATACTTAAAAATGTTATGATTGTTAAATTATTTCTTTGCACGCCCCCCAATGCATGAAATCAGCTTTCGTGATTGGGGCTAGCGTTTTGAAATAAAGTTTTTAATGCATTTCTTTATGTTTGTATGAATGTTATTGAACCATCAACTGTTGTTGGAACTTGTTAATAATCATGCAGCAACATTGAGGGTTTGAAAAGATTCAACCGCAATTTACTTTATTTTATAGCATTTATTATCTTTCTCTTGTTGGAAAACAATATAATAGACATGTGATTTATATGATGAGTCAATAAATTATTCAGTATCATGCTAGTTTAGCTACGGCGACGGAGATTTATTAATGTACTCTATATAACATTGTTTACTGAAAGAAATACCAGGGCAGCAGAATTATATATAGACGCGGAGTTCATACCCAAATTATTAAGCGTAATACAAATAGACTACGGTAAGCAAAATAGACCCGATTATATTGGTGGTGTGTTGTTTTTGAATTCCGTTTGCATGGACATACGGCCTGATATTAGCCGAATTCATATTAGGGACAGGAATGTTGACTGTAAAGATCCGTCTGAGGGGCTGTTTGTATGATGTCGAATTTGTACATAACCTTATTTGGTTATCAATATAGTTATGTTACTGATTTTGTGTATGAACCTTATATAAGAACAAATGTTTGTTGATAAATGGTATTGAAAATTGTTGAGTGAGAATGAAAAATACATTTATGTTATTGACTAGCTGCAAATGCTATTGTTCGCTCGATACAGCAGTTGAGTGTTTATGCATATCATTTTGTTGTAATGCATGATTGTCTTTAGCGGAAGGAAAACGTCGTGTAATGTTTTTGGAAGTATATTTACTTTTTTAATTCAACATTTGACACAAATGGTTGACCGACTATTGTAAATCAAGAGTAGAAGGTGTATTAGGAAATCAACTGTTCTTGCGACTTAATTGTTAAATGATTCTGCTATTTACTTACTTATCGTTTGGGTTGTTTATCTATATCTGCGTCCGCCGGTCCGCATCCCCGGCCGCCCTTCCGCGTCCACGCCCGCTATTTACACACAAAAATAAGAGGTTATGAGTACTGTTTCAAAAAAAGGAGGAATTGTTTTAGGTATGTTTCATTTGATCAGAGCCCGCCCCTTATATTAATGACTATATCCGGCAGGGACTTGAACAGATCATAAAATATGATGTAGCCTTTGATTTCAAGTTCATTGTTCAATGTAACGGCTGAAGGAAAATGCCACTGAATATGTTTATCAAACTTTGTGCGTTTGTTTTATCTACTCATTTTGCAACCTCTGAAAGTACAAGTAAGTAATATTTGCATAGGTACATTACGTCGCTGACTTCTTACATTTTTTATCATTTCACTTCGCTGCTAGCTGTAATCAAATTATGTTGTGCAAAACATTCAGTCTGGGCAGCTGATTAGGGGATGTGCGCGCGATCGCTAATGTTAACACAATTTCGGCACAATTTGGCTAGACGTGACCTTATGGTAAACGCCAAACTTCGAAGAACTTTGTGAGCTACACTATCTCAAAGTGTGCAGCAATTTCGATACATCGTTAACGTTCAACATGAAACTCGTGATATTCAATATTGATTTAATTAGGCCGGGACCACTGTAGTAGTGTTTAGCAAAGCAGCAAATTAAGCTTTACATTATCTGTTTGTCGTTGGCTGTAGAAAATTTAATGCCTGGACGACTGCATACACTCTCTGTCTTTAAAGCATTAATTAACAGTAAATTTTTATGGCTTAACGATGTTGTGGCACTTTATGAGAGTGTCTAAAACGAGTTGCTGCTAATTGTTTAAGGAAATGTATGAATAGTGTTTTACTGCACTCTGTGAACAACATTATCACTAAGTAGTTGCTGAGTGTGATTGAACCATCAACTGTTGTTGCAACTGAGTACAGCAACATTGATGGCTCGAAAAGGTTCAAAAGGCAACAGCATTGTTAACAACACATGTTCATGGGCTGTGGCACAATATTGTTCAGTCCTGGTGCGACAAGTCGAGAGCCTGATATTTTTTCCGTATGGTAGTGCGTCATGTAATAGTTGTAACCTGTATCAAAAATTAAACACTGAAGTCGTTAGTAACAGAATACTGGTACACTACGCTATGATTCGAGCACTGTGGGAGGGCAACCTAAAACAATCGATCTTTATAGACGAGCAGTATTCAGGTAAACTATAGATTTTGCAGGCTATTGTGTGATGATGCTGATTGAAAGTGGCAGGCTGTGTTCGTAAAATTAGTATTTGTCACGTTTACCAGTGTAAATTTTTTATGCCTGAACGGCTGATTGAGTGTATGTAGTCGTTGAGTCATGCACAGCATTAGACAAACGGATATAGACCAAGCTGAATTTACTGTCTTGCTAAATATTAACTAATGCAGAATATCATTAGTTTTATGTCGAATTCTTTTAAAAGGGCAGTTATTCACGCATCACCATTAAAAACGTAAACCTGATACATAATTAATATACATATGTCTAAATATTTTATCTTTTTCTTGTTGGAAAACAATATAATAGCCAGTGATTTACATGATGAGTGTTAGTTTAACTACGGCGACAAAGGTTTTTTTATGTACTGTATTTAACATGGTTTACGGAAAGAAAATACCAGGGCAATATATAGACGCGGAGTTCATACCCATAATTATCATTAGCTTAAGCGTAATTGCATGGAATAGACGTAATTAAGTAAAATAGATGTGATGATATTGGTGGTGTTTATAAGTGTAAATTTCCGTTTGCATGCTCATACTGTCTGATATTATGTTTCACTAAATTCATATTATGGACGGGAAAGTTTCTTGTAAAAACCCGTCTGAGGGGCTATTTGTATGAGATTCGTTTAGGTTATTAATTATCTGCGTCCGCCGGTTCGCGTCCGCCGATCCACGTCCGCCGGTCCGCATCCGCCGGTCCGCGTCCGCCGGTCTGCGCAATTTTACCTAAAAGCATTAGTGCTTTTAGGTGTGTTTCATTTGATCCGAGCCCGCCCCTTATATCCGGCAGGGACTTGAACAGATCACATTTAAAATTTTGCTAGTTTAAGTTTTCAAAAAGCGTGCATTATGCCCATTGCCAAACAATTCACGCGCGTTAGGGAATGAAATTGCACGTATATTACACTTACTAGAAATACATGCATGCAGCAACCCCTCGCTATTTCAAACCAAGTACACAATTTCCTGAGTTAACCTGATCTAAACTTATATTATGAAATGACACAAAACTCAAATCAGTCTTAAAGTTTCCATCATTCAATACAAAAATAATCACAAAGCTAGTGTAAACATTGCCCTGCATTATACCATGCCAGCAATTAAGTAACGGTTTAAAATCGAAGTTTCAAACGATTAAAACAGTACAAAATCTTCACAGACAAAGAAAAAACTTCAAATGTTTTATTCAATTTTTTATTCTGTAATTGCAGTCAACGCCGGCGGCTAAAAGTTTCAGTATACTTTATAAATATAGTGTGTATTTTTGATACCAAAATTCAAATTACACTTTCAAAAACAATTTTTGAAGTTAAAGCAAAGGTGTAATAGCCCTTCACAGGTTTATGCGTTTGCAGAAAAACTGAAAATTTAACAAATGAACGGCATACAAAGCTGAAAAGTATACAAATACGGCTCATTCTTACCGCGAAACAAGTACGAGATAAACAAAATAAACACGTACCCTTTGTCTTTGAAAACATTTATAAGCTTGCAGATTATGAATTATTCCTCTTACACGGCTGTTTTTTTTTTGACTGTATCCACGTTCATCTTTGCTATCTGTCATGCTTCATATATCTTGTTTCTTCTCGTTTTACTTTCTTTGCACAAAGTTTATGAAACGCTTTTACAAAAATGTTTACGAAATGACAGTTAAATTGCTGACGTTCTCATTGAATTACAAACTTTCTGTCTTAGCCAATCAGAACGTTCGTTGATTACCAGTCTACACTCGTTCGCATTTCACGCATGCGCACAAGTACCATGACCATTGAACGTCCACGGTCCACGGTCCACGACATAGAATTTGAGCAACTTTGGATTCCGCTATGTTCTGTCAGAATACCCGGGTGTAATAAATCTCCCAGCGGAATTAGTACCCTCGCACGGCGCTTCGCGCCGGCTCGGGGATAACATTTATAATAATTTATAAACTGAAAACTGAATCATTGTCTGAATTCGGTCTACTTTGTGTCTACTTTCATAATGCTGAACGCGAATTTTTAGAGTATTAACCCCCCTGAATGACCTTCCGCGGCCACTCAATAAAATCAAATCTGTCAGGAGTTGTGTTGAATGACTTCGGAAACAAAACTTATTGAAATCGCCTCAATTCAAATTACCTCTCCAAGCTCGTATTCGGTAGCTAGGTAGATTTCAAAAACTATGTTTGCAAAAGGTTAAATTCAATGCTAGAAAAAAATAATTTTAATCTGGAAGGTCCAACCAAGTTTAAATTGCCTTTTAAAGAATAGAACGTCAAAATCAAGGATTATTGTTAAATATTGAAAATAATTTTCTAACGTTCAGTTTAATAAACCGTTTATAAAGTTAGCATTTCACTCAGGGTATTTGACCTCTTGAATTTAATCTCATTTAAAAAAAAATTTAGATAAGACGCTCAGGTTGCGAGGACGATCCACGTTAAATGGGATTGGTCGTGTGGAAATATTACATCGGGGAAGATGGGGAACAATTTGTCATGATGATTGGGACATAAATGATGCCCGCGTTGCATGTCGTCAACTTGGTTATCGGAATGCTCTTAGAGCTCTTCAAGGACGAAATGTTCCTTCTGGTTCAGGACAGATTTGGTTGGACGAAGTTGGTTGCACTGGGAGTGAGAAAAATCTAAAAAGTTGTCCTCACAACGATGATGAAGGATGGGGAAGTCATGACTGCGATCATTCGGAAGTTGCTGGTGTGGAATGTACTGCTGAAGGTACGTTTATTTTTTACGTGTTTTAATTTTAACCACAGTATGATTATCTTACGCAGTATTACATTCTATAAGAACTTAAGTTCAACGTTGTTATGGAATTGCGAATTTGTCTTCTTTATTACAATCTCCAACTCTATTTAATCTAATTTAAAGTTGCCAATTGCAACTCAGTGAGAATATCTTGTAGATTTTGTTTTTAGTGTTTCATTGTTGTTTATAGATGTCGATTATTGCTCCATGGGATTGCACAACTGTGGACGGAGTTCTCAATGTATCGACACCGACAATGGTTTTACATGCAGATGTAATCAAGGTTTCACCGGGAACGGAATTATTTGTTCTGGTTAGTAAAATATCTCTAACTGGTTAGTAAAATAACATAACTCTAAGACCTGACTGGTTGGGAATTATTCAGACAAAGAAGGAATTAATCGGAAGCATCGGTCGTGACGAGGTATACCGGAATCAACAATGATTTATTTGCAATCTGTACAAGCGTATAGTGTTTTATCTATGGTGTTTATATGCGTACTATTTTGCGCCATGATAGACGGAAGTATCATAGTGGGAGTGCGTCAATGTTTTTCGACCTATGTCTGAGCACAGCTGTCCCAAGAAACGATAAAGTAAACATATTAAGTTAATATAAAGAACTTTCTCCATGCCATGCGAATTCTAAAAATCTATTTTTGGCTCTGATTACCGCAGCTCTCTAAACTCGTGATGGTTAACTGTAGCATTGTTTACTGAAAGAAAATACCGGGGTAGCAGAATTATAAATTATTTGGACGCGGAGTTCATTAGCTTAAGCGTAATAGGAATAGACGTAAGCAAAATGGTGATGATATTGGTGGTGTTTATACGTGTAAATTTCCGTTTGCATGCGCATACAGTCTGATATTTAACTATTCGCATCCGCTAGTCCACGTCCGCCTGTCCGCGCCATTTACCCATTTACCATTAGCGCTTTTAGATATGATTCATTTGATCCGATCCCGCCCCTTATATCCGGCAGGGACTTGAGTTGATCACAATTAAAATTTAACTAGTTTGAATTTTCCGTATTACCGCAATTCTCTTAACTCGTGATGCTTTTAAGTAATTGTTTCAATATTTGTTTCCTCGATATCACTCGACTGGTCTAGTTTCTTGCAGTTGTCTGCTTGCGGTATTCCTCGGAGAAGTTCTTCTATGATTGCTAATAATTATTTCCATTTTATAATCTGGACCATGACTAGCTCACCTTTTTTGTCGTTTTTAGTCTTTTCCCTGCTTCTGTGACACTCACAAAGCGATGTTAAATATTCATGACGCCAGCGAAACCAAATTTGTTGCCAAAATGCTGCTTGGAAGTTACTTATTTTCATTTTCGAAGTTAGGGTCTTAAAGTGGCGTACGGGAGACGATAATCAGGAGGGAGCACATATTCATATATTCCTGTTAACAGACCTGGCAATGAATTTGAAATTAAATTCATCTTGCACAACATGAATATAATTTATGAATATATGTGCATGTCCCCCCAATTATTGTTTCCCGTACGCCACTGCGTTACGCTACGATATGGTTGAAGTGGGAAATAGACGTTATTCTTTTATGAACTTTAACACATATAGGCATGGGTGATGTAATAATATTTTTCCGTAGACATCGATGAATGTTCAACATTAAACAACTGTCATCCTGAAGCTTTTTGCACGAACAGTCCTGGTTCTTATCGATGCACGTGTAATGGTGGATTTACTGGTAATGGAACCTTATGTCAAGGTATTTGCATCATTATTCTTCACACAAAATTATGATTTTCTTTGCTTTTACAATGTATTCCGGACAAACATCGAGGAATACAATTAAAAATATTTTTGCTTAGATGAAGATGAATGTGCTGATTCAACACACCGCTGTCCTTCGGAGACAAATTGCACCAACACTAATGGATCCTATCAATGCTGTAGAAAAGAAAATTCTGAAAATGGTTCTATTTGCAGAGGTAAGTCAGGTGACCGTAAATTAAACATATATTGCGCCATCAACCAACATTGAAGAATGATTTAAGTCCCAGAGATGCAATCTCTGATTTCCGATTGCGGCCAACAACCCCGAATATTATTAACGTCGTCGAAATTAACTTTAGACAAATCTTAGTGATAAATCTTGAATCTTTAATTATTTTCGATTGTTTGTCACGAAGAAATAATTTTTACTCTATTACTCACAGCATGTTAAATTTCAGACTTACCTGTAGCCAATAACTTAATTGTTTAAAAAATTGAGTTGAAAACACAAGCAGTGGTTATTGTTAACAAACTCGCCATTAGGATGGCCTAGTGACTATACAGCACAAGTGCTTTTTTTTAGACTTCCTGTTTCTAGATTTTTGTATTTTTTATAAGATTTCTTGTCTTGTCTTGCCAAACGACCTCGAAAGATGGCAATTACCACAAAATATAAATAAAAATTTATTTTAAAAAAATTCTAACTCAAAGAACTTCATAATGCATTCGCGCGGACATCTCCATAACTGTAGTTATAAAGCCAGTCATTATGACCATGCATGTCTAAAAAACACGAAAATTTTTGAAAGATGTAGAATTTATACTGCAGAAGAAAAAGCCAACATTAAGATACTGCAAAAACGCCTGTCGTTCTGCATTTACGCTTTTTTCTTTCGCCCAGCTTCATTTTGATATACTCGCATACTCATACTATATTATTGCAGATACGTTGGTAGTAGTTTTATCGGAATTTCCGTTTGGGAATGAAGAGGCGGGCTAAAACAGATTCAAGCTGTTTTATACCAAAATTCAGGGAATTATTGTTAATGTATTGTTCCAAATCATTACCTGCTACATTTTCTAACTTTCGGTCCCACAATTTTAGATATGACTCTCAGGTTAGAAGGACCATTAAGGTTAAATGGCACTGGTCGTGTGGAAATATTATATTCAGGAAAATGGGGAACAATTTGTCATGATGCATGGGACATAAATGATGCTCGGGTTGCATGTCGTCAACTTGGTTATCGGAATGCTCTTAGAGCTCTTCGAGGATGGCAAGTTCCTTCTGGTTCAGGACAGATTTGGTTGGACGAAGTTGGTTGTACTGGAAATGAACAAAATCTAGAAAGTTGTCCTCACCGCCCTTGGGCATTTCATGACTGCGGACATTATGAAGATGCTGGAGTGGAATGTACTTCAAAAGGTAAAAAAGATTGTCGCTCAGGTTTGCAATTTAGATCATTTTATAAATATAATCAAAGAGGGAATGATGTCTAAAAATATATTTTCATAATTTATTATCTAGTTCTGGCAACGGAAATAATTATATTCTAAGTTATTCCACTGTGAAAAAGTTCGTCAAGCAGAAGTGAATAAATAAAAATCGCTTCTAAAGTTTTATAGCGCTAAACATGCAGCAATAATTTGGAAAGTTTGCATGGAGTGTATTATCTAAATGAGAGAATAAATATCATGGTAAATTAATCAATTGGAAACCATATTTCGGACATGGTTAAATGTACTGGAAAAATACAGCTAGGTGGATGAATACTAAAGAACTCTACGTAATAAGAAGTAAATGATGGAGCTAAAGTAACTTGATATTTCAATATAAACCAGTGGAAAAAGGTTTCTCGTATGATAAACATACATTATGAGATTCTCTATTTTACTCTTCGGTGTTTTTGTGTTTTTTTTATAGATGTCAATTATTGCTCATTGGGATTGGACAATTGTGCCCATCATTCACAATGTATTAGCATTAACAACGGTTTTACATGCAGATGTAATCATGGTTTCACTGGGAACGGCTTTTCATGCTATGGTGAGTGCTTTTATAATATAGCTTTGCAAAAATTTTTCCCGTTAATTTCCACCAACATTAATAGCGTTAAGGCTCATATGAGCCCGAGGAGCAAATGCAAAATTGAAGTGGTGTTTATTCATATGTTCAGTTCTGCCCGATGGATTTCATTTGTATGCTTACGTCACTTTTTTGAATAAACCCATAATTATAGGGATTAATCAACAGGCTGGCTCGATGAACTCTTATACATATAGCTTGAACGATAACTCCATATATAAACTCAAAAGAGAATAATAACATGGCCATGGTTGCTTGGAAATATGTAATTTCTACAGTCAACCAAGTAGTTTGCATTTTCCCTTCATGCAAGAGCCCGGTTACCGAACATTTTCAACAAAGCGTGATGCAACTTTTGGTTCTGAAATATAAGTCTCTCTGAGACCAAACAATCACATGCTGCTACTGTAGGGATTACTTTACGACAGCTGGGATCTATAAGCGGGATCTTTTAGGGGCGGTTTACATGAGCCCGGTTACCCGAGATTCAATGAAGCGTGAGAGGACTTTGAGGTATTGAAATAAGTCTTTATGACACCAAACAAACACATGTTATTGTTATGGTGATTATACGACTCCTAGGATCATGTTATCTGGTCATTTCAATACCTCAAAATCATCTCACGCTTCGTTGAATCTCGGGTAACTGGGCTCATGTACAGCCCCTTAAACACTCTATATAATTATAATAAGTGTAGCAAAGTTATTCCAGCTACAACGTATAATTGGTTCAACCTGCCGAAAGCGAACGCTCCGTGTGTTTTCGATACATTAAATTAACGAACGAAAAAGATTATTACAGCAGGGAGTGTCCTTAGCATCGACATTTAGGTGATTTAATAATATTTACCTCTAGACATCGATGAATGTTCAACAATAAACAACTGTCATTCCGAAGCATTTTGCACGAACAGTCCTGGGTCTTATCGATGCACATGTAATGATGGATTTACTGGAAATGGAACCTTATGTCAAGGTATTTGCATGATTATTCTCAGAGTAAATTTTCTTTCTTCAGCAAAAAACTTCAGGGCAAACGTCGAAATTTCTCATATTTTTCGTGAATAAATATTTTCAGTTTTCAAATGTATATATTAAATTTTTGCTTAGATGAAGATGAATGTTCTGACTCAACACACCGCTGTCCTTCAGAGACAAATTGCACCAATACTAACGGATCCTATCAATGCTGTGAAAGTTCAGGAAATTGCAAAGGTGACATAAACCATTCATATGAAATGTTGCGACATCAACTAATGTTGAAGAGTTATTTAAGTCCCAGATGCAAGTTATGACTTCAGATAGCGGCCTGACCTTCCCGAATATTATTAACATCGTCGCAATTAACTTTAGACAAATCTTAGTGATAAATCTCGCATGTTTAATTATCGATTGTTTTGTTACCAAGAAAGATATTTCTCTTTTACTCAACGCATGATAAATTTTAGACTTACCTGTAGCCAATAGCTTAGCTGTTTAGAAATCATGTCAGTGAAAACACATGTAGTTTATTACCTACAATCTCGCTAATACCGTGGCCTAGGAACACTTAAGCTAGAAAGAGGGCATGGTAATTTTAATTCCAGAAATACTCGCCTGTTTCAAAGCTAGTCAAGAAATCTAGCTATAACTTTCCCTTGTGTTCGTAAATCTACCTTTCACTTCCAAAATTTTTAGATATGACTCTCAGGTTACAAGGACCATCCAGGTTAAATGGTACTGGTCGTGTGGAAATATTACATTCGGGAAAATGGGGAACAATTTGTGATGATAATTGGGACATAGATGATGCTCGCGTTGCATGTCGTCAACTTGGTTATCGGAATGCTCTTAGAGCTCTTCGAGGGTGGGAAGTTCCTTCTGGTTCAGGACAGATTTGGTTGGACGAAGTTCGGTGTACTGGGACTGAACAAAATCTAGAAAGTTGTCCTCACCACATATTCGGATGGGGAAGACATGACTGCGGACATTATCAAGATGCTGGAGTGGAATGTACTTCACAAGGTAATATAATTAACATTAAAAACGGACGTAAGTATGAGCTCCAAAAATAGAGACCTTATTTATCTTTAAGTTAACGGCGTTTGCTAAGCTGCCAATAAACTTCGTTTTTAAACTCCACTATTTTCAAGTGTGCAGCAATTTCACTATTTTACAAACGTTCTACAAAAAAATCTCGTGATGTTCATCGGTAATGTAAGAAAGCAATCCACTATGTCTCATGTATTTAGCAAAGAAAGAAGCAAATTTAGCGTGCACGCTCAAGGTCTCTATTGTGTATTTCCACTTCTTGTTAATTATAGATGTCGACTATTGCTCTATGGGATTACCGAAATGTAGGCGTTATTCTCATTGTGTTAACACTGAAAATGGCTATACATGCAGATGTAATAAAGGTTTTATCGGGAACGGGGTCTTCTGCTCTGGTGAGTGATATATAATGCTAATAGAACGAAAATGAGTGCAAATGAGGCAAAACACGCTTCAAAAGAACTGGGGAGAGCATGGAGGAGTAAGAAATTTTTAAAAAATTTATTTTTTAGGAAAAATTTGCCATAAACTGGCTTACATTGTTTAATAAATCAATTCAAATTTGAACAACGAATTTACCATTTCTACCCAGAGATCTAAGTAATCCGTATGATCTAACTGTGCGAAAAACCGGCGATGTCGGTACCATCTTTATATACATGAAAAATTTAAAGAATGTGAACGGTCCAAAAAAGAACTTCGTCTTCAACTACCAAAAGCAGGGGCGTAGGAAGGGGAGAGGGGGTTATGGGAGGGGCAAATAACTTTCTGCCCCCCCAATATCACAGTAGTTTTAATGAAAACGCTTTGAAATTCAAACTGAGTAATAATGGGAAATTGTATGTAGGTTGTGGTAACAAACACATGCAAGATGTCATCAATTTTCATGCATAAAAGTTTTCGTTAATCAGAGTATAGTTTTAGTGTTATGAGTTTTGGTGTTTCATAGGTTGAAGAAAGACAACGACGATTGCTTCGGAAAATGTTATCGTCTGGCGCAATTGCTCTCAAAAAACTTTGAAAGCAAGGATCTAAAGCAATAAATTCAAAAAAAAAATTCTTCCATGATGAACCCATTCCCCCGAATCTTAAATATTCGTACGCCCCTGGCAAAAATATAGATCTAGACCTTTCCACGTTCAAGAAACTGGTCCTCTTTTAAATTTATTTGTTACTACTCGTTTTAAGCTTTCATTTTCACTCAGATGATGTGAGTTTGCGTATAAAAACCGGCGTTGTTTTGCTGTGCAATTTTTTGGTAGTGGAATCTTTTGACCTTCATGACGGCCTTCCATTAGACTTCAAAGATGGCGATCAAATTATTGTTCCAATATTTTTTAGAGTTCACTGGAGCTAGCTCCGCATCTGCGCGTATTTTTCATAACATAAATTTTGATATCGTCAAATAAATGACCAATAAAATAAACTACAAATTTTATTAGAGCAATGACGAGTGGTAATATCTTATCTAGACAAAAATGAATGTTTAACAGAACACAACTGCCATTCGGATGCCTATTGCACGAACACTTTTGGGTCTTATCGATGCACATGTAATGCTGGATTTACTGGGAATGGGACTTTCTGTCAAGGTATTGGTTTGATTATGATGATTTTAAATTAAATTTTCTTTAATCACCAATAAATCCAGGACAAATATTGAGGGATACAGGTTTGTTCTGCATAGGTAACTGTTCTCAGTTTTGAAAGGTGAATATTTAACATTTTTGCTTATTAGATATAGATGAATGTTCTGATTCAACACACCGCTGTCCTTCAGGGACAAGTTGCAACAATATTAAAGGATCATATCAATGCTGTAGAACACAAACTTCTGGAAATGGTTCTGTTTGCGGAGGTGAACGTAAATAAAATTTCCTTATTGCGGTGAATTCCCAACAGCCAATGTTGCAATTTAATTTTTGTCAACATGTTAAATGATTTCAAACGTACGTACTGCAACTTTCAAAATTACCAGTGGATTAAAACCCACTTACGTTGTTACCATCCCGAATCTCGCTACTTATCAACTCTCCTGACGAAAGCCCTCAGGTCGAAACGTCGAAAATTGTTTTGTCTATTTTAGGCAGTTGTTATAACACTTTGGATGCTAATTTATTCGAAACGCTTCCACGCTGCTCCCTGGTTATACTGGGAAGTGGAAAGTACTGTGTTTTACTTCAAGAAATGTTCTGGCGCATCGCGGGCATGTCTGCAATTTCTATAGATTTTTCAGATAACTTACTCGTCCAAATTACCGGCAATAAATGAAAATTAAACATGACCGAAATGTTTTTTTTTCTAAAAATCCTTAAAGTGAATCTTAAAGTGAAATGAGCGACCAGTGTTTTGTAATAACCCTGTTTATTATTTGCGACTTGATAGCAGAATATTGCCATATGTAGAACCGGAATTTATCAAACGTACTAAAAAATTCCTAACCACAAAAATAGAAGTAATCAGATTATTAGAAAATTATTTTTTATCCACGCGTCAACCTCATTCACGCAGCCCTTTGCTGCAAATAATTACGTAGATAAAGGTAGTCATATGACCACCCATGTTGAAATGTAATGGAGAGTGATTAGGCAGGATTAAGATACTCCTAAGTCATTGGTTGTTGCATTTGCGCAATTTTGCTTTTGCTTAACTCAACTTTTAAATTCTTCTTCACTGAGTTATCTGCAGTGATTTAGATCAAAATTGCTGGTTGAAGTTAAGAGGCGCGATAACACAGATTAATAGTAAAGTTTGAGTCATGGGGTTAATAATGGTAATTGCACAGAGTGGAATGCAATTTGGTTTGAAATCAAACGCATGATTACAATCAAAAGTTTGATTTCACATCAAAATTGCACGACACGAAGTGCAATTTCCACTTTATTATATTCATTTTGAAATCATACAAAAAATTAAACAATATTGCCAGAAAGAACCGTAAACGGGTGTAAAATTTGAGTAATTTTCATTTAATTTTATCAAGAAATTTTGGAGAGCATTTAAAAATTCAAAAGAATAAAATTTTGTACCATTTTACCCTGTTATTTGATTGGATAGTTACACTGAAATACTAAATCAGATTGGTTATTGTGGTGCAGAGCTTCAATCTTATTGGCTTATAAATGATGTGATTAATGCTCAAAAATAGTGTGATTTGGGAATTAATCACACTATTTTTAACCAATCAGATTGCAAGAAACACCATTGATTTCAAAATGACTATAATAAATTTGGGTATTTAGTGCGCCGTATATCGTTCCAAAACCATCGTCTGCTGTATTTTCTAACTCCCATTGTCACAATCGTAGATGCGACTCTCAGGTTACAAGGACCATCATGGTTAAATGGCACTGATCGTGTGGATATATTTCGTTGGGGAATGTGGGAAATATATTGCGATGATAATTGGGACATAAATGATGCCCGCATTGCGTGTCGTCAACTTGGTTATCGGAATGTTCTCAGGACTCTTCGAGGACGAGAAATTCCTTCTGGTATAGGAAAGATTATGTTCGACATTGATGCTTGTATTGGATATCATCAAAGTCAATATCCAGAATTTTGTCGTCTCTTCTCGAGGAGATGGGGCGGACATGACTGTAGTCACTTGGAAGATGTTGGAATGGCATGCACTTCAGAAGGTTGGTTTGATTTCCATCATGTTTTAATTTTAACCACTGTATAACGGACTGTCTTACACAGCATTAAATTCCAACAACCCATGCAAGGTCAAGGTTATCATGAAATTGTAAAGATTATAATGTTAATCACAACTTGGCACAAATTTCAGGTCTGACAAAAAAAACTAAAAAATTATTTTATTTTGAAAAATATTAAAATCTCTTCATGACATATTGCAAGGCAATTTGCTCTGTGTGAAAAAAGACTTGTTTGAATCTTCAATCACTATAGTTATCCAGACCAGACACACCAAATGTTGGAAAATAGATGATTTTTGCGAAAACGATAACAAACTAGGTTTCAACGCTAGAACGACGGAATTGGTTTTATTTAGTTCTCAATATTTTCCCTCGAAGCTGTAAAATAATATAAAACTTCTACGATCTGTCTAAAATAAACAGTCGCTTTTTTACTTATAGATTGAGCAGAATACAACACTTTTAGGTTCACGTTTGGGCCGATTGTCTTTAAGTCAAGCATTTACATTATCGCGTTCTTTATATATAATAAAAAATATACATGATCGATGACGGAGCTCACATCTCAAGAAAATATAAATCCTGATTTTCTATGCTCTACCAACTTAAGCTCTAAAATTATGTATTTCAACTTATTAATTTTATTACCTTTGTTCTGCATGATTGGTATAAATAATATTTAATGTTTTTATTTTATTTAGAACAATACTAATCTATAGTTAATTCTTGTTCGTTAATTACTTAGTCAGCAGTGGCGGCATTAGTTGTTTTATGCCCAGTTCGTTTTACTTGTTACAAAATCCTACCCCTTAAAAACAATCTTATGCGGAAAAGGTCGAATCTATGTTGTATTTTACTTTACTGGTAATCAAACCTCTGTAATTGTTTCAAACATTTGGTCGAATTTTGTTTCGAAGAATCTCCGATTTTTAATAATGTGATATTACAACTCAGAGGAATGGGGTTGAGAGGTATGATAAACATCCAAATGAGATCCCTCTTTTTAGTCTTCTAAGTTTTTATTATTGTTTATAGATGTCGATTATTGCTCCTTGAAATTGGACAACTGTGGGAAAAATTTTCAATGTATTACAACAAAAAATGGCTTAACATGCATATGTAGTCAAGGTTTTACCGAGAACGGCCTTTCTTGTACCGGTAAGTGGCATAACTTTAACGTAGCACTGAATGAATAATTTCTATAGAAGTTGCATGCATTAAAGGCGGTGTTACACTATGCAACTTTCCTAGGAACTTTAATACAATTCTACTCCTGGGACATCTAAAGTTGTCGACATGTACACTCTTTACAAATTAACATTCCTCAAAAATCAATTATAATTACATTGCAAGTTGGAAGCAAAATGGCGTAGTGTTACAGAACCTTGAAGGCAGGTTATAGTCGGGAATGATGAATCCCTATTATCCCTTAAAGTATCCTGTCCTGTCGGAATATTTATTACCATTTCAGTTCACAATATTTCTAAGTGGACAAGAGATAGAGTTTGTGTTCAAAGAAATTTAAAGACTTCGAAATTTGGGCAACTCCTACATCATTGCACGAGTCCCCCAATGTTATGAGCAGAACCAATGCGTGGAGGCCGCTGTAACCTTCCAATTTGTAACTGTAACTGTATTTTATGCCATTTCGGTAATTTCAATATAATATTTTGCCCTAGACATCAATGAATGTGTAACAGTAAACAACTGTCACTGGGATGCTTTTTGCACGAACACTTATGGGTCTTATCGATGCACATGTAATGGTGGATTTACTGGAAACGGAACCTTCTGCCAAGGTATTTGCATGTGCGATTATTCTTCATACAAAATTATCATTTTTCTTTGTCTTACAATGCATCCAAGAGGGACTTGAAGGAATACGGGTTTTCCGTAGATATTTTTGTTTAGATGTCGATGAATGGAAATATTTTTGTTTAGACGTCGATGAATGTACTAAATCAACACACAATTGTCCCTCAGAGACAAACTGCACCAATACTAATGGATCCTATCAATGCTGTAGAACAGAAAATTCTGGAAATACTTCTATTTGCAGAGGTAACTTTAAATTATTGATTTATTGAAAAAAAGTTTTGCTTGCATCTTGCTGAAGGGCCTGGTAAACTTCAAACTTACCAGTACCCAGGTATGTTTTTTTTTCTAAATTACCCGCAATAAATCTAAACTAAACATTGGCGAGCTGCGTTTTTTTCAACGTTTTAAAGTAAATTGTAAAAAAGTCTAAATTTTCGTTTTACTATCAACATTAGGTGAAATGAGTGTCCGGAGTTTTCTAACAGCCCTGCAGCATGTTTATATAAGCCAAACTGGAGGCAGAATTTGGCCAATTGACGAACCATTGAATTATCGAACGTATTAAAGAGTATCCAAAAAATGTAAATAATCAGACAAAGCAAAAAATTAATTTTATCCACATGGCAACCGAAAAAAGAATTCGCGCGTCCATTTTTAAAGCCTCCAGATAAAGTTAGTCATTATGACCAGCCATGTCTATACTATTATACAACAAGTACGTTTTTTGAAGATGTAGAAATGCCCTGGGGCCGGTTGTATCAAGCCCGTTTAGCTTAAACGGTGGATAAGTCAAAATTAAATAGCAATTTTTACATATCTCTTGAATGAGTCAACTTCAATATTATGCACTGAGTATGAAGTTTTATAAACATTCTCTTTTCTTAATTTAAAGTTAAAAACATCTAGTTTGCTTTTTAAATAAAACGATAGACTTGCTTTCTGTCCCTGTCCTAGGGGCCGGTTGTATCAAGCCCGTTTAGCTTAAACGGTGGATAAGTCAAAATTAAATAACACTCTTACATCTCTCTTGAATGAGTCAACTTGAATATTATGCACTGAATATGTAGTTTTAAACAGTATCTTTGTATTAAGGTTAAAAACATTTAGTTCCCTTGTTGAATAAAACGATAGACTTGCTTTCTATTTTGAACTTAACCACCGTTTAAGCTAAACGGGCTTGATACAACCGGCCCCAGGAGAATAAAAAGCCAGGATTAACATACTGCCAAAGTGGTTAGTTGTTCTATTTACGCTTTTCCAGTTTTTCGAAGCCCAGTTCTATACTCTCCTTCGCAGAGGCGTGTAGTGAGATACTGAGTAAGAAACGCGAAGAATGAGAACATGAAATGAAGTTAATGGCATAATTAAGTTTCGTTCATAGGGTTGAGTATCGTATTGTCCTTGCGGTGTGTATTGTTCCAATTCATGCTTTTCTCTATTTTCTAACTTTTATTCTCACCATCTTAGATAATTCAATCAGGTTACAAGGCCCATCCCGGTTACAAGGCATTGGTCGTGTTGAAATATTCTATTCAGGAAAATGGGGAACAATTTGTGGTAATAATTGGGACATAAATGATGCCCGCGTTGCCTGTCGTCAACTTGGTTATCTGAATGCCCGTAGAGCTCTACGAAGATGGCAAGTTCCTTCTGGTTCAGGACAGATTTGGTTGGACGAAGTTGGTTGTACTGGAAATGAACAAAATTTAGAAAGTTGTCCTCTCCACAATGGGGGATGGGGAAGTCGTAATTGTAGTCATGTTGAAGATGCTGGAGTGGATTGTACTTCACAAGGTAAAGGTTGAAGGTAAACATTTTTTAAAAACTGGGACACATGAATTAATCAGACTGTCAGTGGAATTTCAAATTCATGCTTGCAATTTCAATCGAGCAGTGAAATTGGTAATGTTTTTATTATAGTCTTTCGAAGATTAACTATGCCTACCCGTTTAAAAACCTTGAATTAATCAGGGCATTTTCATAAAATTTATGGCAGATTTTGCGATGGTTGGTTTAATGTAATTAGATCTTACCCCCAAGAAACTTTTTGACCCCAACTACCTCCCCCCACTCATTACAAACTGGAGCCGCTACTGCTTGCCGGTTTACAGGATCTTACTCCCCCCCCCCATTTCTGCATGAGAACGGTCCTATGGAACGATCTTTTTAAATGAAACATTAAGTGAAATGTAATATTTTTAATGCAGTTTTTCTGCTCTAACTCTATTTCCGTGAGTCGGTTTGTCGGTCAGTCCGTGGTTTAACTGTTCATTTACATAGAATGTTCATGTTAATAGAACCAACCTATGACTTTCTTATCATATGCAGGTGTATAAAAGAATTTTCCAGAAACACGCAATTTTTCAGAACAGAGCAAAATAATGCTGATGTGCAGTCCGGCGTTGATAAATATTCTAAAGTTTTTCTGAAAAACCAAAACATTGTGCCATACACGAACCAAGCGTCAAAAAGTTAAAACATGCTGCAGGAATTTAATTTCATACATAAATACCCTTATTTATAATTTTTTATAAATACCCAAAAATTTTATAAAATAAAAAGAGTTTAATAAAATTAAATGTTTTCTTAAACATAAAATAGTCCATAGTCGCATACCTCGTAGTCTATGCTCTTCGTTTACCAAGACAAAGATAAACACGTGCTCAGTGAAATACTTATGCAATACTTTATCGGAATTTTTTAGCTTGTTACGATGAAATAATTAAGTCGCGCCAATGATGATAAAATCATAATCGTGATTAACAAATCAATTCCCTCTACGCGGTCGGTTGATTTGGTAATCGTTCGGGTGATTTTGCCATAATTAGCACTCCTATTCATTCTATTACCATTTTAAATTTTTCCGTAGACATCGATGAATGTTCAACAGTAAACTGTCATTCCGATGCTTTTTGCACGACCACTCACGGATCTTATCGATGCAAATGTAAGGATGGATTTACTGGAAATGGGACCTTCTGCCAAGGTAGTTTCTTGACTACTCTTCATAGCAAATTTAATCTTCTTTCTTCCTACACTGGGTTCCCGACAAACGTCGAGGAATAACAGCTTTGCCGTAGCCAAAAATATTTTTGTTTAGACGAAGATGAATGTTCACATTCAAAATACAACTGTCCTTTAAAGACAAACTGCACCAATACTAAAGGATCCTATTTATGCTGTGAAACACAAAGTTCTGGAATTGGTTCTATTTGCAAAGGTGACCATAGGTTTTGTTTGTTCGTTTATGGTTTGTAATATGTCGCATTTGGTTCCCCTCGAATGCAAATAAAACAATATATAATGAATTAATCAACCTCATTTAGTGTCATTATCGTTTCATTATTCCAATTGTTTGAATTACATGTCTAAAATGCGAAATATAAACTAGGTCTAAACCTCTACGCCGTATTTACCACGCCTGTATTTCAAAAACTTGCAGCGTTATGCGAATAAAATTGTCTCCAAACATAAAATCTTTCAAGATATTACACGTCGATCATTAAATTCAAAGCTGCTTCTCCACGATACTAAGATTATTCTAAGAGAGTTAGCGTTTGCATTAGGTAAAACAAGTTGTCAGTCATTGTGCTTCTCATGCTGTAATTATTTCTCAACACTGAATAAAAATTATGTGCTTTGTGTATTGTTCTAAAAGACATGGCTTGCAGTATTTTAAAACTCTGGTTGCTATAATTTCAGATGCCACTCTCAGGCTACAAGGACCGAATAGGTTGCGTGGTATTGGTCGTGTGGAGATACTATATTCAGGAAAATGGGGAACAATTTGTCATAATAATTGGGACATAAATGATGCCCGCGTTGCATGTCGTCAACTTGGTTATCGCAATGCTCGTAGAGCTCTTCGAGGATGGCAGGTTCCTTCTGGTTCGGGACAGATTTGGTTGGACAACGTTCGCTGTACTGGAAATGAACAAAATTTGGAAAGTTGCCCTCGCCTCAATTGGGGACGGACAAATTATTACTGTAGATATTATAAAGACGCTGGAGTGGAATGTACTTCACAAGGTAAAAGAGATTGTCGCTTAGGTTTGCAGTTTAAATCGCTGAACTGAATTGAAACTTTTATTTAATCGCGGTAGACTAATCAGGATTTACAACATTAAAGTAAAATACAAGAAAAAAGTACACACATAAAATACTGCTGATATGGTTACACACGCCGTTACTACACGAGAACGGCCTTATGGCACAATCTTTTCAAATAAACTTTCAGTAAAATATAAGCAATTTTTAGTGTTGTTTTTAAACTCTATTTCAGTCAGTGGGTCTGTCTGTGTTACTTTAGATTTTATAACATTTGATCAGTCTTATCATGTGCGGGGCAGATAGCATCATTCACAATAATGTATTAATCTGTAATTTATTTTTAAATTACTGATAATGAAACCTTTGTTATCGTTTGCAAAATTTGGTGGATTTTTTTAATCGTCTCTTTTGATAGTTTACTTTGACACTGCAGCTCAGACGAATGGGGTTAAGTGGTACGATAAACATACAAAGTGAGATAACCTCTTTTTCATTATTTTTTATAGATGTGGATTATTGCTCCTTGGGATTGCACGATTGTAGGGGTAGCTCTCAATGTATCAACACTGACAGTGGTTTCACATGCAGATGTAATCAAGGTTTTACGGGCGCCTCTTGCTCTGGTGAGTAATAATATATCTTCAATGAAAGACTGCATAATTACATTTTGTTTAAAATGGCACAAATCAATAGTGACCTAGCTCACGATTCATAAAAGAACAACGTTGATATGAAGCCAAACTTTTCGTTTTCCACAAAGTTTCAAAGCAGGGAATAAAATAGGTGACTTCTGGCCTTTGCAGTGCGCAATATTTCACATTATTAAACCATTGACCATATTATTATCTCCAAGCCAGTGCGGAGCACCATGCATGCGAGGGACTAATCCGCTCGGAGATTAGGAATTACACCCGGGTATTGATACATAACATAGCGCAGTCAAAAATTGTCAAAATTCTATGTCATGGACGAAGGATGGCTTTGACAGTTATGCGCATACGCAAAATTTAAAAAAGTGCAAACCGTTAATCAGCAACTTTTTGATTGACTGAGTCAGAAGTTTGAATTTCAATATTAACGTCCGCAATTTAACTGCAAATTCGTTAATTTTTTAATAAAACTGTTTATAAGAATTACACGAAATAAATGGGAAAAATTAATAACAACAGATTCAATGAAAATCTTCAAGAAACATTTATCAAAAACAAAAGGGTTACTCATCACGATTAAAAAGGGAAAAGGAACGATTTATACTCGATAAAGCTTTAAAATGTTTTGACCGGTACGTGTGTAAATTTAGTATAGTTTTTTTATACAATTATGTGTTTGCTGTATGAAGAAGTATGCAGTTTATTTATATTTAAATGAGCTTAATACGTCGTTTTCCAATGTCATATTGCAATGGGCAATGAGCGGTTTTTACACCATCTTCATAATTTCAAAAAGGGTTTTTTGAAACGGAAATTTATATTCTAATGTAAACTGTCGCATCAAAATGAACGGAAACTTATACATTCAACGGCATATATATTATATTTGAAAAATATTGAAGGTTCTGTACTTAAAGTTTTTGTACTTCGATGTTTTTCTGAAACCTCAAATATTGAAATTTTAACGCCCGGGGCCAGTTGTTCAAAGCTAGGTTAGCGCTATAACCCTGAGTTAAATTCTAAATACGACCAACAAAATACGACTTTTTATTGCGTAAAACAGACCTGGCTTTTTACCAACCGAACCTACCCTGCATCATCAGCATTGCTATAATACTAAACATCTTGTGTTGTTACCATAATCACGGAAAACCTGGGACATTGTTTTTTTAATTTTATAGCATTTAACGTTCTGGGCCCTAACTTATTGCTTATAAAGATTATTAATTTCCAGTATACATCCCTAGATATCAATGAATGCTTGTCGCCTGACAGCTGTCATCCAAACGCTACTTGCGTCAATAATTACGGATCTTACCAATGCGCATGCAATGGTGGATATACTGGGAATGGAACCATTTGCCAAGGTTTGAAGTTAGCCTCACAATTATACACCCTCAGATCATAGCGTTTATAGCCTACCTAAACTCAACCTAGGTTAATATCTAACATGAACATAAATTCAAACCTCTGTATCTCGTATGTAATTATAGACATCAATGAATGCTCTCAGTCTACTGCCAGGTGTCCTTCAGTCTCCGAATATTGCTCCAACATTCCAGGATCTTTTCTATGCTGTATTGGCGAACCTGGTGGAAACGAATCGACTTGCAAAGGTAAATAAAACGTTTCGATAATATTTAGATATTTCGGTCAAAATGTGATAAAAAAATTCCAGGACGACGGGGGGTGAAACTAACCACGGTGATCATATTCGGCAAATTTTCTCCCAGTGCAGAGGGATCCAGTGGTCTTCGCATTTCGTTTTAAGCATTGCTCTCAATTTCATGTAAGTTTACTGCTGGCAATATATAGGAGCCCGCAGGAGTGGGGGAGACTAACTAATTTGGACCAGCTGGAGCTTGATAGTTTGGGGTGGTAGGTGAAAAGTCATATAATTATTCTGTTTTGCCCGATAAAAATGTATATACGTACAAAAAGTATCTGACGAGTATATGCACATGGACCCCTACGAATTAGCAATGTTTACAAGACGTGAGGTCGTTTTGTATTGAATATACAATTTCACAATTTGTGAAATGAGTTTGTAATCAATAAAGACAGGTATTTTTCGGACACAACTACTAGTGTTTGTAACTGATTTGCATATGGGACATGCGCAGGGCATGCATGTGACCTAATTCACGAAATTTTCGTAATGAGGGCAAGAAATTATTTTATAAATTCGAAAATAGGAAAAAGAAATACTTTTGTGTCTCATCACGTCGATTTTATTAAGAAAATAATTCCCAAAGTGAGAAACATATTTCTTCAACAAAGAGAATATTTGCTTAAAAATTAATACATAAATGTGTGCTGTGTAATGTCTTCGCTCTCAGTGTGGTCTTACACTCTTCTAAATATGAATACGTTTCTATTATAAATTTATCATTACTGAACCATCAGAACCGTCTATAAAGTTAGAAGGACCATTAATTATTTCAAACAACACTGGCCGTGTTGAAATATTCCACGATGGGCAATGGGGAAGAATCTGTAGCGATAATTGGGATATACGTGATGCTCAAGTGGCATGTCGTCAACTTGGTTTTCCTGGTGCTATTCGAGCATTGTCCCTTGATGAAGTACCCCGTGGCTACGGAAAAACATGGTTAGACCAGCTTGATTGTACTGGTCGTGAGACTAATTTATCTAGTTGTCCTGGTATTGACTGGGGATATCATAACTGCTACAATTATCATGAAGATGCAGGGGTAGAATGTGCTGTAAGAGGTAAGTATAATAATTATAACAATCAGTAAAATATATTACTTATTATATATGGCTATATAGCGCTCGTAATATACATTGTAATAAGTCTGGTCGCTGGCCTTTGAATTCAATGTTGATACAGGGGCACTGGAACCCGGGGGCGAGCGGGGGCTGCCCTGTGCCCTTTCCTACAACGTAATAGTATCATACATGATACATATCATACATTAATGGTGCCAACTCTTCGCATTAGAACGAACCGGTAATATTATTCTACTGAAATATGTGTTCTCGCGTGGATTTGCAGTTTCGCAAGTACTTGTAAATTTAAGTTTCCTATTCTTGTGGTCATCAAAGTAAAATTAATGTGCCCTTTTCTAAAATTCTGCCCCGCCGCCCTGCACTGCCTCCGGCGCCTTGTTAATATAGCTCTTAATATTTGAAATACATTGCTTTCAAAATTTTACATTGCTTTCAATCTTGTTTTTAGGTGTTGATTATTGTTCCACCGGATTACACAGCTGTGATAGAAATGCTCAATGTATTACAGCTATTGGAGGTGGCTTCTCGTGCAAATGTAATCAAGGTTATACGGACACCGTCTATTTTTGCGCTGGTTGGTAATGTATACAGCTATAAAATAATCATTCTTTCTTCATGGTTGGAAAATAGGTTTATAAAACGCATAAAATCAGAATGCTAAAATACTTCACGAATTGAACATTTCTACAAGAGTGAGTAACACTGCACAAAAAAAGCCAAAATCGTTCACGTTTACAGAGCTTATTCAAAGAAATTCCCTGTCCTGAATTCCCTGCTTACTGGTAATTGGCAGTTTTATGAATTTTAACCTAGACATCAATGAATGTTCATCTGCAAACATCTGTGATTCAAACGCTCTTTGCATCAACACCGCAGGATCCTACCAATGCACATGTAAAACTGGATTTATTGGAAATGGAACAGTTTGCGAAGGTATTTCGATGTTTCAGATAAGATGATCCTTTTTAATACTATACAGTAATCCGTATGCAGTTATCGCCACTTTGAATAGTTTATTTTTGGTCCACGATGAAGTAGAAAAATTTACAGCAATAATTTATAATAATTTGTGTAATGCTTTTTAGATTATGATGAGTGCTCTCATACCGCGCACCGCTGTCGTGCAAACACAACTTGCAGAAACATTGCTGGCTCGTATGAATGTTGTTTAAGACAATCTGATGGAAGTAATGTGACTTGCCAAGGTAAATACCTTCTTCGCCATTATTTTATACTCCGTTCTATACATAATTATGCGAAAACCTGTGCCTGTGGCCCTAAGAACCAAAATTATTTTATCGGAACGGGAATAATAATATTGACATTTTCATGCACTATTATTCGCGTACTACGCAAGAAAAAAGACTCGTTCGAATGCAGTTTCCATATTTTAGTTCATTTTGCATACGGTCTGAGAGAGCAAGGACGGCTGAGACGGCAAGCAGGCCGGGGCAGCTGCACGCTGTGTCTTTTACCAGCAGGGGCTATTTATTTTAATCATCGCATTTCATCTATAGCTTAAGTAGAAGTATCGCCAACGAGCATCAAGACAGGGGTTATTCTAAGGAAATTTTACAATTCCAGTAAACTACAAAATGCTACGTCTGTCAGTATATTAAATATGTCCTTACTGTCTGCTCAGTGTTCACTCACTTCACTGTTCTCACTTACTGTTGTGACAAACGATATGACAAATGACATAAGACAAAAGATGCAAAATATTCATACCAAACAAGCATACAAAATACAATGAAATGAAATGGAATGACTGTATCAGTGTAATCGGCAATTCGTAAATGTATGGTCACAAATTTCACTAAGAAGGTTGAAGACCGCTCAAAAACTATGTTGTAGTTTTCTCTACAACGGTAGTATTTGTCAATTCCAATAATTTTCATTTCCAACTCTACAAATATTTTCACAACTCCAAGAAGTGGCAGCAAATCCAGCTTAGAATAACCCCTGCATCAAGAACAACACAATCGTCTATAGTGAAAATTTATCTTCGAAACGACGACGAAAACAAATTCAACAGACAATGTTTAGCAAACAATTCTTTTTATGCGCCGCTACAAAATTGCTTTTCACGAAAACCTGCCCCTATTTGCGTTGGCGTCGATTCCGGCGTCCCTATGAAAAAGAAAAGCCGGTCCGCCATGAGAAATGATTAGGCTATAATTTCCAGTTCTCGTTTGCGTATAACAAAAATGAGACGTGGTTTGCGTGATGTAAATGCCAATATTTTCAGAAATGACTGTCAGATTAAAAGGACCGTTAAGATTCAATGGTTCTGGCCGTGTGGAACTGCGTCGTAACGGAGAATGGGGAACAATCTGTGGTTTTCGTTGGAATATAAATAATGCTCGAGTAGTTTGTCGTCAACTTGGTTATCGGAATGCTCTCAGAGTTCTTCCAGGATCGCAAGTTCCTGATGGTTCCGGACGGATTTGGTCAGACGAAGTTCGTTGCGTTGGAAACGAAAAAAATCTGGAAGGTTGTCCACGTCGCTATCCGGGATGGTATAGCCGTTACTGCAATCATTTTCACGATGTTGGGGTGCAATGTTCTTACGAAGGTAAAAAATAATTAAACGGTGAAAGGGTGGTAGAATTATATTATTTCTAACTAGGGTTAAGCATAACAGATACCTGGACAAGATTACTCGGCTTATATTACAGAGTTTTTAAAAAATATTTTAAAACTCTGTTTCAAAGTCGGTAGATCAAAAAAGATTCAGTTTTCCATTGGCCCAACGTTACCGCGACTTATGTTTTATCGCAAGCAATTTCCAAACAGTGAAATAACGAGTTTTAGATTCTATTTAAGAATATGAAGTTTATTGCACCCAAATTAAACTTCGAATTCAGAACTAGTTATGTCGCAGTACTCAACTTTTCCTTCTACTTTTCCATCTCTTTAAGGAATTCGATTTATTTATATTTAATGTTTATAGATGTTGATTATTGCTCATTGGGACTGCACAACTGTAATTCTCGTGCTCAATGCATTAACGAAACTAATGGTTTTTCATGCAGATGTAATCCAGGCTATACAGGCAACGGTGTTTCTTGCAATGGTTAGTGACAACTATCTTTAGATTTCAATTTAACCACACAGGGAATACAATTCATATTATACGACAAATTGCCCAATTAAAAAAAAATTTTTCGAGAGTTTTCGCGGTATCGCAATCCATTCCTTTCCCCTATTTCCGCACTAGGCGTGTGACATTAAATTTATCACACTGTGCTATTAAATAATAATAATATCTCGCGCGTCGTCTCGCGAGGACTGCCTGCAGCCACTGAAAAGAATACACTGAATAGTGTTGATTTTTGGCCACCTGACATTTTTAACCTTCTCAGGGTTATTCCAGATGGCCATTACCTATTAAATATTTCAATAAGTTATACTTTATAAAACAAAATGTAAAAAAAGGGTTAAAAAAAAATAAAAAAAAAATTGTTTGGAAACAATAAATTAGTGATTCTGACAAGAGATTTGAGAAAACACGAAAAGTTTAAGTAATGGTAAAATATTAATATTAATTTCCTTTCATATTGTTTTAATGACAGAACAGAAATTCTGGATGATTTTACAATGGAATGTTCATATTTTTTCTTCTTTCAAAAAATATATACTTATATTTATCCTAGATTTTAATGAATGTTTATTTCCAAACTACTGTGATTCAAACGCTCTTTGCACCAACTCTCCTGGATCTTACCAATGCACATGTAAAAGTGGATTTATTCTTAATGATAAAAATGGAACTGTTTGCCAAGGTACCTGTTTACTAGCTTCGTTATCAAATAATAGAATTAAACATTTTATGTTGTACAAGTGTGAAAAAACTGATTTGATTTTTATTACCTCGTTTAGACAAAAGGTAAATGTTTTTTTATTAGTAAACAAGATTGTAGATTAACATTCGATGGAAAGTACAATTTTGGAGTAATTTTGGTATTTCAAAATTTGCGAAATTGCATACCCTGTATTATTTTGTTTACACTATCTATGCATGGAAGACAAAGTTTCTCAATTTTTTACAATTGTAGTTACACGGTACAAATAATTGATCCTTTTGTGGTTGGGACTGAAAAAGGTTCTTACCGTTGGGCTGACACACTAGTCTGCATGTAGTTACAAGTTACAGTTACTGTCCCAAAAACGTTTTTGAGACCGAGGGAAATATTTTCTTCGGAAGGGAATTATTTTCAAAATAACTTCTTCCCGAGCACAGTAGTGCATGAAGATTAATAATCAAAACGCTTAGGATATTCGTAAATGTAAACTTCTCTATTCATGTTGCTAGATATTCTTATCCTTATATAATTATACACTTCTTTCCACCCTAATTTCAAACGCTTTACAATTGAATTTTGAAATGCAAAGAAGTGTAATAAACCATTTAATGATAAAAATAATAAACACCCCTTTTAGATGTCGATGAGTGCTCTGATGGAATTTATAACTGCCCTCCAAATGCAAGTTGTACTAATACAGATGGAACTTTTCTTTGTTGTGAAGGTTCGGTTTGTAAAGGTATGGATAAAATTTAATATACAGGGAGTGGTAAAAAATAACCCCCTTCCCCCAAAAAATTGACCGACCTTCAATTGTTACCAATTTTATGAGAAGGAGGTACTGACAAATCAGGTCCGTGTGTCTTTATTCGATCGGTTTAAAATTTCTTTAATAAAATTTGTGATTTTGAGCAATAGGATGGGGGAGATATTACACGATTTGTTTTCTAGACTTAAACCCAAGATTGGTGCTTTTTAGTAGAGATTCGCTGAAAAAATAATTTTGCTGCTTATCATAAAACAGTTTAAATTATCGTAGTCAAGGCGTATTTCCTTTGGGATTACACCTTGCCTTAGTAGTGTATTTATAAAATCACATTACATAAATTTCTTATTTCCTTCGTAAATATTTTGTTTTCCGATTTATTAGAGCCACGGATCAGGTTACAAGGTCCGTTAATTTTAAATGGCACTGGTCGTGTGGAAGTATTGCATGCTGGACAATGGGGAACAATCTGTGATAATGATTGGGGTATAAGAGATGCTCGAGTGGCATGTCGCCAACTTGGTTATCCGGGTGCTCTTCGGGCTCTTAGCCTTCGGGCTCTTCGCAATTTCAAAGACCAATTTGCACCTGGTTCCCAAAAAGTATGGCTAGACTGGGTTGAATGCGTCGGGAATGAGCAAGAACTGTCCAGGTGTTCTTCTACAGGGTGGGGACGACATGAATGCTATTATAAAGATGCTGGAGTAGTGTGTTCCTTTGAAGGTGCTTTCGTTATTCTTTATACCCTGGTCACGCCATTTTGCAACTAATTGACGTTAATTTTTCTATTGTTACAATTATAGCAAAGATGACAAACAAATTTTACATTATTGTTTATAGATGTCGATTATTGCTCCTTGCGATTGCACGACTGTTGGGGAAACTCTCGATGTATTGCCGACCCTGACAATGGTTTTACATGCAGATGTGAACCAGGTTTTACCGGGAACGGCGTTTTTTGTCGTGGTAAGTGACAAACAAGGTGTATATAAAAAATCGAAACCATTATAATCTTCCCAGTGACTGTGCTATATAGCCAGTAGCATTTCTTCAATCCTATAGATGATGTACATGATATTTGCAAACTTTTTACCATGACAATTTTCCAAGTGTTGGGGAAACTATTAGCCTGTTTAATTTCGCATTTTTTCGATTTTATTGTATAAAACTAGAAATGCATGCATGTAGTAGCCCCTCGCCAATTTAATCAAAACAAACAATTTCCTGAGCTAGTGAAATCTAAGCTTATATTATGGCATGACTTAAATGAGTCGATAACTGATTTACTATTATTTGGAATCAAATGTATACTCAAATATGTAGTCATAAAACTGAATTTAAGTTGGCTCCCTAGAATATTAAGAATATTGAACACTTGGGATTTAGATTTAGAATTTTAGCAGGAGATTTCTTGCTAAAGGAAAAGAAATTTCCCAGATACATTAACCAATATTTTAATAGCAAGAATTGTCCATAAGTATGACGTCATTGCCATTGTCATTGTAACAATGGCGACTCAATATGGCTGACACTTAACATTTTCACGCATTTCACTCGAAAACAAGTTCGGTTACCCCCATTTTTTATTTTATAAAAACTTTTATTACAATAAAATGGAGGCAATATTATTTAAAATAAAAAAAGCATGATTTTACGTCATCAAGATTTTTTGGCTCTACAGAATTTTTTAAACTTGCTGAAATCTCCTATTTTCTTCAGAAAACGTTTCATAAAATAAAAAAATAGGGGTAACGGAACTTATTTTCGAGTTAAATGTTTGAGTAGGTAAAATGACGTCCATATTGATTCCCCATTGTGAATGCTATTTCTGACTGTGACCGCAATTTCTGACTGTTAGAATGTTGGTTAATATAATCTGGAAAATTCCATTTCCTAAAAGCAAGAAATCTCCTGCCAAAATTTAAATCAATATCATTAGTTTCCATTATTATCATTAGTTTAGTATTCCTAAAATTATAGGGAGCCACCTTAACATAACGTTTTTTCTGCTTTTTCAAGCTGGAAATTTATCATTCTACACCTTAGTTACGACTTATGGTTGTGTACCATAACCAAAAAAAATAAAATTGCAAACACACTCCCCTATTTATGATTGGAAGTGTTATATACTTTTTTCATGCATAGTTCCAAACGTCAACCATAAGGCTATGATATACTAAATATAACTCTGTTCACTTATCGTTCTCTTCTGCTACGTCACTGATCTGAATTCTCGCTACCTCTGCTGCATTTCGTCTAAGTCTAAATAAAGACTGACGTTTCTGGATTGCAATTCGTCACTCTTCTTTCTCTGTTGCAGCTGAGCTTCAGCAGGTAAAGAAGCTGAATCGGTCGTTAAAAGTTTTTCCTGCTCGCACAAGGCTAGAAGATCTTCCACAATACCCAATTTCCATTGATTTCTGTCTTTCTCGTCTCCCTTCATAAATACAACTTCACCTTCCTTGATAATTCCTGCCGATCTCTTGTATTTAAGATAATGTCTTTCATGCAAACCGCGTAAATATCCAGTGCCAACGGACTTTTCGATTTTCGTTAAAACCCATCGATTGGTTGCTGGGGCGTCAATCTTCAATATGGCGACGCGGATTGTGTCCTCATTCTTATTCCACATAGAAGACCACAGTTAACATTGTTCACCTGCTTCATTTGATGTTTTGCAAAGGTTTCCTCCGCGAATTCTGTGTCAGATTGGTTGCATTCTAATGTAGCTTTGTTCGAATGCCACTTGTGCAACTGGAAGGTACCGTCCTCAAATATTTCAGTAGCTACGGATTTCAGTAACTTGGCGCCCTCGGTTGGTTTCCGCGCCTGAGATCATATCGTCAACAGAGAGTCATCTGTATATCAATTTCAAGGACTGCCTCTGGGTTCATGTCACGCCACACTTCCTACTTGTTGTTTGATCACCCCACCTAATAGGAACGGAGATGGTGCTATTCTGAATAATGCTCTGGTAAATCTAAAAGTTTCCATTTCGTTCGAATTTAAATCTTTCAATCAATGTAATCTTAAGGCATCGCTGTCCTCTTCCACAGATTCGGACCTGTAAGAAGGCTTGCTTGAGGTCTGCAGTGGGGCTGTCTACAGTGTAAAACCTTTCTCTTACGAGCACGTTCCAAAGATGGTTCCGAAGGGGGGCAGGATTTAGGCATTCGTTGAGCGACGGAGCGATGGGAGCGTTGTCTATAGCTGTTACCCGCATCGAAGCATCATATACAATTCGAACCTTCGTACTTTCTTCCATCTCCTTGAAGGCAGCTTTGTGTGGAATATAGCATTCTTGCCCGATTACTGTGTTTGGGGCAGGCTCGATTATACCTTGGTCAAGCTGGTCCGTCATGATTGAATCATCATCCTTGAAATTCCCTGCTTTTTCGAGTTTGCGTTCTAAAGTGCTTAGTCTACGCAAACTAGCTTCTTTCCCATATGGCAGAGGTGGATTGTCACCTTTCCATGGCTTGTACCATCCCTTGACATGTTTGGTACCATCCCTTCTCGTTTCTTTGCAATTGTTCCTTGAATTCTTTTTGAACGCATCATTTTGGTCGCAGGGAGATGAATCCGCAAGACCCAGAATATCTAACTTGCAAAGTTCCTCGTAGTCAACTTGTGCTGTTTGTGTGAGCAACATTGCTGAAACATCAAACTCTTGACCTGGTGAGGTGATGGTCCAACCCAACTTCGTGAAAGTTCCGACTAAATCCCATTCTTCCCCAATACGCGTCGGTTCTGCAGTGCTTACTTTAGTGCATTCATTTATTCCCGAGGTTAAATGGACATGTAAGTCGGCCCTCTTATCTTTGTCATCCATGACTACTCCATCTAGATTAAGATATATTTCCAAGAGGTTCTGGTAACCAGGGTTCTTTAAACTCATAAGCTGAGGTTTCTCCACCTTGATAACTTGGTGACGTTGATATACGTTGTAAAGGATTTACTAAGCGAGTTGACATTGATGTTGTAAATGTTCATCCTCTTTGTTGTAGTGCTTATAACATCATTTCGATCTGTCGCATTCATGAGATAGTGCGTTTGATTCCACCTTCTCGAGTAAGCTGGTGGTAGTACCTTCACTAAATGAGACCATTCAGTCAAATATAATAAACTGAATGAAACATCTGTTAAAAATAGTCTTAAAAATAAAAAAATAATACATGGTTGCGCAGAAATATGGAGTTTTGTTTCCAGTGCTACGGCTCATAAAAGAAATTCCATACTTTCAAGCATCTATGTATTGTTTTTTTTATGATAACAAAACTATTTTTTACAGATTTTCACCCCATCCGGGCCTAGCACATGTTGTTTAGTCGCTTTTCATAATGGGGGATTCGCGAATAAAGCACTGCAATATATATTATTATTTTATTTTTAAATTTATCCCTAGATATCAATGAATGTCTATCATTTAACTGTTCTTCGGAAGGTTTTTGCACCAATACCCCCGGATCCTATCGATGTACATGCAATAATGGATACACAGGAAATGGAATTGTTTGTGACGGTCAGCACTTGTTTTGAATTTTAAGGCAACTTATAAAAATGTAAATCCTTAGAAAAAAACTGAAACATTAAAAATAGGCGACTGTTTCATAAAATCGAAATTCTTTCATTCAGATATCGATGAATGTTATGGAAATATTAATATCTGTCCTCCAAGTTCAAACTGCCAAAACACCGTTGGATCTTTCCAATGCTGTTCTAATCAAAGTGGGATTTGCCGACCAGGTATGTAAGTTATAATAAAGAAAAAATAAAAATTTTATTATAAGTTTCAAATTTAATATTTTGAACATTGTTTGAACATTTCTACTCAATTCAGCTAGACCTACAACCATGCACTTGCCACATCAGTATTTCCAAAATAAAAAAAAAAGTTTACCCTATAGTAGCCTCCGCGATTACGAAAATCCTCAAAATAATCAGCTACTAGAACTTTGGAAACATCTAATATTGATCAAGAATAAGACCCTAAAACTTAATAAGGAATACTCCAGTACGTTTGGCGTGTTTCAAAAATTTTCTAAGCCTTTAATATTTGTTTTATCCTATACTATATACATACAAAACTTTATTTATCGCGCTAGCCTCAACAGCCAATAGTTGGCTGACTTCCATGAAGGCGTGGATTTCAAAGCTGAACTATTTACAATGAATAAGAATAAAAGGTACGGGAAAGAAGACAGAACACGATTATGATCAAGTTTCAAGCCAATCTTTGTTTTAAAATAGATTTTAAGGAAATCATGGATTCAGCAATTTTTGCCTCTCATGGAATATTCTTCCAATCTAGGCTGCATTATAATTGAATCACCTCTTACCAAATTCTTTTTTCGGCATGGTTGGTGAAGATTAGTTTCACTTTGTCTAAGATTGTACATAATATCTCTCTCATAGTTCAGATGAACTTTTTTAATGTTCGTTGCGGTGTGGCCATTTAAAACTTATAGACAAAAATAGATTTTAGGTAAATCCTCCTTGCTTCAAGAGGTTGCCAATTTAAACTTGGAAGTAATTTAGAAAACCGATGGTTGTTTTCGTTTTTTCCATTGAGAGCTGGTGAGCCTCACTGAATTACATAGCCTCGCTTAACTTCTTTACCATAACACGCTAGGGAAAGTTATCAGGTTACAAGGACCATTTAGTTCAAATGGTACTGGTCGTGTGGAAGTATTTCATAATGGACAATGGGGAACGGTTTGTGATATCATGTGGGGTATACGTGAAGCTCGTGTTGCATGTCGTCAACTTGGTTACATCAATGCTCTCAGAGCTCTTCACGGTGGCCAAGTTTTACGTGGGACTGGACGGATATGGTTAGACAATGTTAACTGCGCTGGATTTGAGGAAAGTCTGCCCAGTTGTTTTCATTACGGATGGGGGAACCATTTCTGCAGCCATGGTAAAGAAGCTGGAGTTATATGTTTATTAAGAGGTAAATAACACCTGGTGTAACTTACTCTCACAAACGAAGACGTCTGGAAAAGATATCTATGCCTATCATGCTCCTATGTTTTTTGAAAATGTACATATTCCACGAAAAGAATATTAGACGACATTTCGGGTTTTGCTGTAACAACGAATGCATAAATGTGGCTTGATATATTTCAATTTCTAAAAACTGATCGTTTGAAACATGGTTTATGTTGGATAACTTCTTAATTTAAATCATAAAGATATATAAAAGGTGGTTTCTAAACTGTAGTAAAGTGTTTAAATGTAGTAGACTAAAATAGTTTTTTATTATATATTTTTTGATTCTATGTTTTTATACAGGTGTTGATTACTGCTCTCCAGGATTGAATAATTGTCACAAACACGCTCGTTGTAATAGATTGAAAACTGCTGACAGGTTTTCATGCTCATGTAAGCCAGGCTTTCGCGGAAACGGGATTGATTGCTTTGGTGAGTGATCTGTACACGTCATCGTCTAGTATCATCATGTCCTATTAAAGGTCTTCTATAACTATAACTGAGGAGCAAAAGCCCGTCCCCGCTAGGCCCTTCTTCAGCCCTCGGGCAATTCTATTATTGAACAACCTCTTGGTTTCATGCGTCAATAGCCATTATTATCCCTAGATATCAATGAATGTCCATCCATTACCTGTGGTTCAAATTCTCGATGCGTAAATTCTTTTGGATCTTTTCATTGCACATGCAATAGTGGATACACTAGAAATGGGGCTGTTTGCCAAGGTATTAACTCACAAAGATAAAATACGATTGGAGAGGTCCTAAAATACGATTGGAGAGGTCCAAAGACTTTTCTGAAAATTAATATTAATGTGCTTTAGTAGAGAAAACACACCACGAACTCCATGGGTGGTATATAATTTGTGTTCATTCAAATCAATCTGATAACTAAATCATCGGCCATATACGACGAAAGCCAGTGCATGGCATACGTATAATTGTTTCATAATATAGACAGTTACAATTAATACCATTTTATAAATGAAATAAATGCCCTTTTGTTGTTGGTACTCACAGTATATAAGCTAAGATACGGTTGGCATTTTGGCTAATAATGCAGATACGAATAGATCATAATTATTATACAGTGAGCAGCTATATTATAATTAAAACGTTTTTACTATTTTCTTTAGATATAGATGAATGTTCCCTTTCAACTCACAACTGTCTTCCCTACTTGAACTGCACCAACACTGATGGATCTTATCTCTGTACTTGTGACGATCAACAATCTGGAAATGGCCAAAACTGCAAAGGTAAATTAAACATATTTAAACTGATAGTATTTAATACTCGAAATAATTATTTCAAAACTATCCTCATGTCTTCACCACAGTCTACAGCATGTTAGAAGCGGATGTTTGCTCGTAGGTTGCATTATCCACTTTTTGCATTTCTGTTCGATCTTCTAAAGGTAAAAATGAGTGAGAATAATGCTCCAGTGATCTTTGTTTTATGGATTTTAAACCAGAAAGTTTAAATCTTCCGGAGTCTGTTGTTACAAAAATATTTACCTAAAGCCGAAATTTCCGATCCATGTTTTGAATTTATTTTAACACAAATTCAATCTCTTATCCATTTAAAAATATAGTGAGCTGAAATGGTGATAAATATTCCGATACTCAGGATAACGATTCAATATGTAAACAAAGCGTTTGTTTAAATCACTGAAAATAACCTTGTTTTAAACGATGGATAAACCATAGAAAAATAGTCTCATGACTGAACATACATTTTATACATTCAATATGCAGTTACATTCAAAATTTAACTATGTCTAATCAAAATATTTTAGCTCAAAAAACTTATTTATAAAAAACTATAAAGAACTTATTTACTGAGAACTCAGAAAACATTATGTCTTGTGGACCCTCGGGTTCACAAAACATAACGTTTCCTTCGTTTACAGTAAATAAGTGTTGATTAGTACATTCCCAAGCAACTGCGTACAATATTGAGAAAGTGTAGCAAAAGAACTGAACCGGACGTCAAAAGATATAATTATTTTTTCAAAATATTTTAGCTCAGTTGTTTTGTTTTCCATTATCCTGTTATCCACTGTTTTAAAGTGCACTGCAGAGGGGACTGGGCTATTTAGAATAAATTATGTAATACCATGCCCCGAATGCTCTTATCCTGGGTGCTTTCCTCTGGGCATGGTATTCCAGAAGAGCTTGGAGATTCTGCAAGCTCTTCTTCTTTCGCAGCAAATATAGCGGAATCCACACGTCAATACTTTTACCGACCTTCTTATGTTTTGCTATTCTTTTTCGGTATAGTATATCATGCACTTAGGTTATACACCTTACGCTTGGGGGATTCAGCGAAATATTTCCCTCAGTAATGATAGTTCGCCGAGTCCCCTCACTTGAGGTCTATAAATGATACGTAATAATCTAACGTTGAATCCGTCGCTTTGTCAAGGACAGATATGAACTGCATGTTGAGATTGCATCTGCATCAAATTACTTCTTTTGCGAATCAATCTCACGTTTCAGGAAATGGCGATTATGATTACCATTGCTATCATTATTTGCAGGTTATTCCAAAAGCGTAAGACTACAAGGACCGTCCAGTTTAAATGGTCTTGGACGTGTTGAAGTACTCCATAATGGAACCTGGGGAACAATTTGTGACGATGGTTGGGATATAAAGGATGCCAAGGTTGTATGCCGTGAGCTTGGCTATCTCAATTCTCTCAGAGCTATTCCAGGGAGTGAAACTATTTCTGGTTCTGGACCAATATGGTTAGACGGAGTTGAATGTAATGGCCGGGAAAAAAATCTGTCCAGTTGTTCTCTTCCAAACTGGGGAGTAAATGACTGCACTCACAGTAACGATGCTGGAGTCGAATGTACTTTGGAAGGTAAAAATATATTACGTAATTTTAGGCTTTGGGAAATTCAATACTGGGAAAAATTTTCCGCTATTTTGTGCGATGTGTAGATCAATTTCACCGAATAAACATGTTTGTGTTTCGAGAATGATTGAAATTATTGGACAAAATTGGCCGACCGCCCGAGACTAGATCTCCTCGCTACAGGAGATTCCTCCCGCAAACTGAGGAAGGTTTACTAAACCTCCCGAGGCGTAAGTGTACATTTGATCACTAATATTCCTCAAAGCATGCATTTAGTTATTACTAACATGGTCACCGGGGAAAAAACAATGGTTGAGATATTTTTGCTTAGCAAGATCTCTTTTCGAAATGGTTCAGGGATTAGAACATTTATAGCCACTTTTGAAGTTCAAAGCTATGTGTTTATTTTGTGATAAGACGATGAGCGGGGGAATAAGGAATTGTGAATCTGAATTCTGTCATTGAATTGATTCAGCGAACTAAGAATAAAACGATTGAAAGTTGTGTGTAATTGAATTCGTTTTTTAAGTTTATTTTTAATGTTTCAGTTGTGAACGTCCCTATAATGAGGTACATTTAGAACTAAATATCCCCCATCCCTGTACTTGGGGTACTTACGTTATTTAACGTCCCTGTTGAAACAAAAGAAACCGAGGAGAACCTTATTCCTTTTGCACATTAATGATTATTACACTTAGTAATTTCTTTTGAAACACCCTGCAGATCAAGGGTAATAGTACAGTAACGGTGTGATAGACAGGTTAAGATAACCCCGGTTCCGGTGTACGGGTACGGGTAGCCTTATTTTGCTCGATAAATTTTCATCAGTGTTTCTCAATTTTTTCGAAGAATAACTCGACAATTATTTTTTAGTAGACTAAAGCCTCCTGAGGTAAGCATTATTTGAATCTTGAATCGTGCAAACAACAAGAAATTTCAATGAGCAAAATAGCTATTGCCAGCCGCATCCGTACCGTATACCAAAACTAGGGTATCTTGACCTCCCTAATATTAGGTGATGTAGTAGTATATGGATTGTAATAAAACACAATACATGTATCGAGGTAAATAGGTATCAATACATCATCTATAAGCCACAGTAATATTAACAAGAAACTACCACCATATTTTTATTGTAGTTGACAACTTAATGAGAATTTGTATGATAATTTTTTTCCTATAATTATCCATGGGAAAATTCGATTGCCTATTGTCAGTATACAGAGTTATCTCTCTCACTTTAGATATCGATGAATGCGCCTTAGAAAGTCACACGTGTGGCAGGAATTCACGATGTGAAAGAAGAGTTTGGGGTCATTTATGTTTATGTAATCCAGGTTATACAAGAGAACATGGAATTGTACTGGTGAGTTCATAATAGCTAATTTTGTTTGGTTTTTCTTAATTATTTTTATTCACACATTAACATACTGTATTTCACTTTATACTTGTGTATTTGGTATTTCACCGTCTTTTTGCAAAAATTCTGTACGCAGAACTCGATTTTTTTCAATTATTTCTAATTCTCACCAAAAAGGTGCATGCAATACGAGTGTAAACATTACTAGCAACTAATGTAATCAGTAGCGTAACCAGCCTGTCGATTTCTCCCGCTATGGTAATATTTTAGTGTTCACTGACTTTGAAAACAATAGATTTCTAAAGGCATGAGTAATTATAATAGCTCGAAATTTACATAGCGGGACAAAATCGTCAGGCTGGCTACGCCACTGAATGTAATGTTTCAACATACGAGTAAGTGTGATTACAGGTAATCAGGTCTGGGATTACAGAGAAAATTTCAACGTTCTGTGTACTCTAAATTTAACTGATAACTGATTTAAGTAATGATTAAATCCTATAGATATCGACGAGTGCTCAACTCTTAACAACAACTGTGATTTGAAAGCTTTCTGCATTAACACAATGGGTTCTTTTTGGTGCACGTGTAATGTGGGATACACTGGAAATGGAATATTGTGTGAAGGTATTTAATCATCCTTAGTATAATTGTTTTACTGATTATCATATAAATATTTTTTAGTATATTTATTCAAATTCTGACCACTGATTGATAGATTTTTCAAATGGCAGATAATTTTTGTCAAAATGACAGTTGAAGAAACGAGTAATTTATAATAAGTTTTTTAAGTACGCAGCTGTACCTAAAATGGCGAAAGAAATCGCCGTTGTCATTGCCATTGCATGCAATTGGAACCATATCTCGCTTCCGCACGAAAAAACCCCGCCATGTTTATCGCTTCATTTAACTTAATGCATCCGTGAAGTAACGGATATAATAAACGACACAAAAGTTTCGTAGTTGCCAACTTTACATCTCTCAAAAGTAGGATTACATTACATGTTGCAAGAAAATGATCATTATCCAACACGGTTTTTTCCTGCATTTGAGTCCTTAGCGTACATCGCTGAAACTATTTCAGTCTATGGGATCAAATTGAGAATTGCGTGAAAAACTATTCAAATAATAAAGAAAATTCTCCTGAATGTCTTTAGATATTGATGAATGTGCTTTGTCTGCTCACAATTGTCTACAAGGTTCAAATTGTAGCAATACCGACGGATCTTATTTGTGCACATGCGATGATCAACATGCTGGAAATGGATCAACTTGCCAGGGTAGGTCAAAAATTGTGATTAATTTTGTCGAATTATAACTTTCAATGTTCAATATTATTAGAAAATACTGTTATTTTGCAACCAAATGTTTCTCTTTTTCACAGTTCAGTCAGGAAACATTAGGTTACAAGGTCCGTTAAGTTCAAAAGGTGTTGGACGCATTGAAGTTTTCCGCAATGGGACCTGGGGGACAGTCTGTGATGACGGATGGGATTTTAATGATGCCAGGGTTGCATGTCGAGAACTTGGTTATCTCAACGCTGTTAGAGCTCTTCAAGGCAAACATGTTTCATCAGGGTCTGGTCAGATATGGCTAAACAAGGTTGACTGTACTGGTGAAGAACCAAATCTGAATAGTTGTGCTCATCAATTGGCACTGGGAGACAGTTACTGTGGCCATTCCAGAGATGCTGGAGTAGAATGTACTACAACAGGTAAATATCAATGTAACCAGGGAGCAGAGTGGCAGCGTCTTCAAACAACTTAGCATCAAATGTACCAAAACAACTGCCTAAAAAAGACACTTCTCGACGTTTTGACCTGGGACCTTCGTCAGGAGAGCTAGTATGGAGAATACATGTTTTGTAAGGGGGCAAAACTCGTGGTAAAATTGGGCTAATAGAAAAAAAAATTGGAATGCACTTCATTGCCAAGGAGACGCCTGATTTGGGGCGGAGTATAGCCCGCAATGAGAGAAGCCTGATCAGCAATTAAAATAATATACGACTTCTATTTCTTTTTTTACATAAAAGCTGGTTGTAATACGTTGTTGTCATCTTGCAACAAAAGGAAGAAATTTAAAGAGGTTCAAGGGAAGTGATATTCAATTACATTAACGGTTTTTCGTCAGTTTCTTTTTTTTTAATTATTAGCAATGTCTGTCAGGTTACAAGGGCCATCAAGTTTTAATGGTTCTGGTCTCGTGGAGGTTTTCTACGATGGACTTTGGGGACCAGTTTGTGGTGATGGCTGGGATAGGAATGCTGCTGAGGTTGTGTGTCGAGAACTTGGTTATGCTCATGTTTTAAACGTTCTTAAAAGACAAACACTGCATAATGTTTCAACAGCTATGTGGTTGGAGAAAATATCTTGTACTGGTACTGAAAAAAATACAACCAGTTGTTCACACGACGGCTGGACAAACCATACTTGTAGTAATTCCAAATTCGCCGCTGTGGAATGTCTAAAAGGTATAAAAGTACTTTGTCGTTTCCTATTCAACCTTTTTTTTCAATGTTTCATTCAATGCAAATTAAAAGAATATGTTCTACTCTTTTATATTTACAAAGATATAGATGAATGTTCTCGTGGTTTGGGTAATTGCGGTGTTAATTCTCATTGTATTAACACAGTGGGAAGTTTTGAGTGTATATGTAATCATGGTTACACTGGAGACGGAGTTAGTTGCGAAGGTTAGATTTTTACAAGTGTAAATCTGCTACCAAGGGCTGTCGGTGCACGGCGCAGGGGTCACAGATTCCCTCTAGAAAAAGAGCTGATGCAGGGTCAGGAAGGTTTCATACGGCAACTCCGTTTCAAGTCTTAATGTCTATCCTTAAAAAGTTGTATATCGATGTGTTGCTCTGATAGACAGTGAAATGATTTACTGACGTTCTTAATAAAATGCAAAAATTCTGCCATAGTCAATCAGACGTTTCTGACTACTGGTCTTTATCTGTTTGAATTTCGGCATGCGTTCAATTAACAAAACCACATCCAACATCCATGACATAGAAGTAAGTCATTGATGGGACATTGCATTGCATTATCTAATTTTCTACGAACAAGAGAATAATGTGCACAATTTTTGCTAATAAATTTTTTCAATGTTAAAATTATCACATTTTTTCCAGATATTAATGAGTGTATCGCACAAGGGGTGTCTTGTCATTCAAATGCAGATTGTTTTAACACAAATGGGTCGTTTAAGTGCCTCTGCAAAGAGCGTTTTGCAGGAGATGGGTATAATTGTGAAGGTATCTATTTTCAACAATCATAGTTAGAAATAGTTCACTGTACATTTAGGAACCAAATATTGCAATTTTAAATGGTATTTTCATTTTAGTATTCAAAAAATTGAAAAGTGTTTTGAGACGTGCTTTGATATTTCCGCTATTTTATCTCCAGCAGAAGAAGAAATTCTTCATCGGAAATCAGCGTCACCTGAAAACAAATTTTCGTCTTTTCCGAACTTTGCTTACATTATTATTGGTCTAATTTTATTACTTGGAATAATACTGCTGGTAATATTGATACGAAGACGACGTAGACGATCGCAAAGAACATTCCATGATAATGAAAATTTACAGTTGGTGTCAAAAGAAGATTTACATTCTGGAATTGGTGACGACAATAAGAATCAAGGTTCAGCTGTTAGCAAAACTGTCAAAGAGAGTGATGAAAGATGTGAGTTAATAGATCAAGATGAACTCAATAAAGTCACTGAATGCTAGAGCATTTGAGGTTTTGAAAAAGTGATTATTGACAACAGTCATTTTACAATTCATTATGCATGTTTAGCTATAATAAGTCTAGTAATTTAATTTTTTTAGTTTACTTTTTTGTACAACCCAGCATGTTATCGTAGTTTCTAATTTTTAGAAAATTGTACTTTTCAAATTTAGTCAAATAAATAATCCGTAGTTTTAGGAGCCTGAAATCATGTAGAGAAAGAAACTGTTTGTGAAAACAAGCATATAATTATGCACTTTGTGGACAGGATGCTTTAATTTTCAGCCTCGTACCATGACAATAAACTGCTTGATAATTCTTTATATGTTTATCATGTCTTGGTTTATTCAAAAACTGTCGGTAAAATAAAGCTTTCATTTACAAAAATCCCACGTGTTTCATGAGTTTATAACTCTAAAATTAGTATAATTTAGGATCAGTAAGATCTATATAGCACTAGTTAAAATTCAGCCTGTTCGCAGGTAGGAATTACCTGACAAAAGGCTCATTATGAGGAAGAGCCAGAAATTTGAACACTTGTGAGAAAGAATATTGGTTGATTATCGCGAATATGCCAATTGCTTCCTAAATATTTTTTTATGTACCGATAAAAATACATGCACACGTCTAGGAATGGTCCTTCAATCGGAAAATAAGCAATAAATCGGCGGAAATCGGTGGTACCGGTATTTTAAGAAGTGAGTATCATATTCATGTTGTTTAATGTATTAAATAATTATGTAAACATACTCCATGTGCTTGTTTATACTATGATCATTTCTAACGTATCAATAAGGCCGAATAAGGTCTTCATTGGCCTCTATACCACCTATTGTACATATAATACAAGCTAGGGTAGCCATAAATTCTCACGGTAGCTATAAATTATGTCTTACAATTCCTCGTGGTGCTGTAGTTAAATTATGGCCTGGAGTTCCTTAGCCTAGCTAAAATAATCTTAGATTTCATCATGCTTACGACACCAGTTTGTGTTTTGAAATACACTATCTTAGTTAGTGTAGCAACAATTTCGTTACATCCTCAACCCGCGTTCTGTATAAAACTCGTGATACTCAGCATTGATGTAAGAAAGGAAAGACCAGTACAGGGTGTCTCAAAAAAACGCAACCACTTAAATATGCAAGAATATTAATATTGTTCGGGTTTGCACCATACATATAGTTCATAGCTGAAATGACTTTTAGCATTTTAAATGAAGGATTAAGAGCCATTTCAATTCCCAGAGGTGTTTATGTATTGCGCTTTAGAGCTGTATTAATGTTCTTGCATATTTAAGTGGTGGCGTTTTTTCACAGGCAGCCCGGTCACTGCTGTTACGTCATGCTATTATATATGTATATAATTACAATAAGGCTGGCAACTCTCTCGTAAAAAATATAATACATACATTAATACCATCGCTTAAAACAAAAATACTACGCTAGTTTCTTAAAAAAAAAACAGATACAAAACACCTTGGATATATTGACTATATTTATCTGTCGTTTTTAGACTTGAAAAAAACTCTAAAATGCTCAAATTTTGCGAATTAAAGTGTATTTTCGTTGAAATTTTGCGAAACAGAGGCGGGATGCAATTTACTCGACAAACGTCATCATCGGAGAATTCGTCGGCAAACTTCTGATTGGCTGTGGCAAGTTCGGAAAATTACGAAGATCTTTTTTCTTGATTGAGTTGACCTTCGTAATTTTCCGAACTTGCCACAGCCAATCAGAAGTTTGCCGACGAATTCTCCGATGATGACGTTTGTCGAGTAAATTGCATCCCGCCCCTGTTTCGCAAAATTTCAACGAAAATACACTTTTAATTCGCAAAATTTGAGCATTTTAGAGTTTTTTTCAAGTCTAAAAACGACAGATAAATATAGTCAATATATCCAAGGTGTTTTGTATCTGGTTTTTTTTTAAGAAACTAGCGTAGTATTTTTGTTTTAAGCGATGGTATTAATGTATGTATTATATTTTTTTCGAGGGAGTTGCCAGCCTTATTGTAATTATATACATATATAATAGCATGAAGTAACAGCAGTGACCGGGCTGCCTGTGGTTTTTTTGAGACACCTGTACACTTGTGTTTAGCAAAGTCGTTCATCGTGATTGTTCGAGCGTAATCTGCAAACCTTTTAAGGCCTGCTTTCCACTTCAACCGTATCGTAACGTAACGTAGCGTATTTCTTTTTTTCCCAAGTATTCGACCAGAACTAATGACGTTAAAATGAGATACGCTACGTTTCGCAACGATACGGTTGAAGTGGAAAACGACGTTAACAGGCTTTGTCTAGGCCTTTAGCGATACTAAATTGGAAACTAAGACCTAAAAACTTTTATGTGCACGGATGAAAGGCTTTGGCATAAGCAATGTAAAAGGGAAAATTGTTAATCTGACGAAGATCGACGTAAGTCCTTTGTTAAAACATTTCATTATGATGAGACGAGGACATTTTCTCGTTGAACGATTTTAGCCTTTTAACTAATTTTTATATAATCTTGCCAAATTTATAAACTATCGGTTGAAGGTCGAAAACGCGAATCGAACCGACGTTGTTCTCGGGGAATTATTATGATTGTATCATGACATGCATGTACAAATAAATATTATGACATATTCTTATATTATAAAAAAATATATATGTATAATCAGCCCATTTTGATTAACAATGTACCTGTCCCCAGAGTTTTTTCCATATAAATGTTAAGGAGTTTATTTAGAAGATAAACTCCGTTGGCACGTTCATACAGAAATGATCTGTAAAAAGGTGGCTGCCGGGATTGTCGTCCTTAGGCGTGTCATCAGTACAGGTCATCTATAATGCATTAATTCAACCCCGTTTTGACCATTGTAGCCCTCTTTGGGAAAATTGTGCGATGGGACTTAAAGAAACGGTGATACAGACTTATAGTGTTGCCAAAACGAATTACTGAGTTTATGAAAAGGAGCTTTTCGTACGATGGCGCATCTCTTTGGAATAACATGTATCTAGGGATGCACAAATGGCAATTTCTGTCGGTTGCTTAGAAGGCTCATTCAACTTTAGGCTTGCAAAAAATATGTATCAATATTCTCTTTAAAATTGACTTTCCACTAGAGATTGAATATTGTGTCTTAATATGACGACCTTTGTTGGTAACACATGACATTATTCATGCGTACTGTACATCCGTATTAAAGCGGATATTAAATCTTGAATAATATGGTTTAATTCACTTATTTGATAGTACACTCTCTTCATAAAAATTACGATCACTGAGCAACTGCGTAAAGTATTATATGACTTCATTTAATTTCATTCTAAGCCATCGGACTTAATCTACTTACAAATACGGCACCAAAACGCTAAGTTACTTTTTATATTTTAAGGCACTTAGTTGATTTCTTTTTTCATTTCTTTATTTAGTGAAATTTGCTAAAATTCTACAAACATAAATAATTTCACGCAAGTTCGCTGTCACGTTTTCTAAGATGCACAGATATGATTTTTCTCAAAACGATTTTAAAAGACGTACTGACATCTTATAGACTATAGTATAACAAACCGGATGAAGTTCACAGTTTAGATTATAATATTTCCCAAAAAAATGTATTAAACATGTTTGTCAATAACGCATTTATATGTCACAATACAGTTGCATTTTATTATGTTGATTAGCTAGAAATAATCATCTTTATCAACTAAACTTATAACTTTGCAATACACACGAAAAGATGCGGTTATGTCACAATACAACTGCTTTTTTATCACGTTAATTGCCAATTGGCTAGAAAAAATCAACTTTATCAACTAAACATAACTTTGCAATACACACGACAAGAGTTTTGCTATTCATCATCGTTCCCGTCACAAAAGTTTACCAGAAAACTAGAATTCGAATCACGTCGCAAACCCGTTTTGCGACAAAGTTTGGAGAAACATTTAAGACACGCCCTGCTGCACACGAAAAGAAAGCGAGCAAATATCGAAATAATTGCAAAGCATACAAGAAGAACAAGAATTGCAGGAAACATCCCTAAAATAAGAACTTCCAGCCATTTGAAAGCTTTCAAAACTGGCACCAAAGGTCCCTCGATGTTCTGATGAGAACTAGAAAACACGGACCTAAACAGGTTGATCTGACCTAAAATGATTAACAACATCAAGGAAACGGACTCGAGGTTGTTCAAGAAAGAATTTTGAAATGGTTTAATTTTGAGGTGAAGACAAAGGATGAAAACGCAAGCAAGCGTCATGCAGAATAACCTGAAGGATGGTTCTGTCACGATGCAAAAGATTACGACCAAAATAAATCGACGAACAATCAAAATGCTCTGCCAATACAAAGCTCCACGCTTGTTCGTTTCATTTGGCTGTGCGTATGGACCTAGAAGCAACTCTTTCAAGGCGCTCAAATTTTCGCTTTCCTCGATATGTTTGTCTTCAGATCGACATACAATGCGGACTAGCCTTTGAAACAAGAACGACAGAGGACAAACAACAGCTAGGAGGAAATTTCTGACGGTTATTTTATCTTTGTAAAGCTTGAATGGAATCCAAGCGAGAACGAATATGAATGGAACGACAAAGACGGCATTGAAAATGAACGATGCATATTGCCACCATTCGTAGCATAAGACGTTTCCATTATAAAACCATCTTAGTTTGCCTTCAACGGGGACACAGCGAATTAGCGAAATACTGACAGTAGCCAGGGTCACGTAGCTAAGGAACACTGTTTTGACGCTGGCTTGAAAATAAGGAGAAATGTCAGGTGGAAGAAAACCTCTCTTGCAACGAATGAGGACGTGGAAGGAATAGAGAAGAAAGATTGCAGCGAGCGTCCCGAAGACCGGAGCAACTTTAAAAAGAAGCTTTGTCTTTGGTGTCAACCCTGGAATGGGACAGACAAAACCATGATGGTTTGTTACACCTGGTTGGAAGTTGAAGAAGCCAAGGACGGGCATGAGAAATTCAGTTTCAAAGAATTCGGTGAGCGAAGTCGACCAGAGAAGCAGTTGTGATATTTGGTAGAAATAAAAGATTATTTCCAATAAACCCGAAAATTGTCTCTTATCTTGTTTTTTTTTCTCTAATGAAGATAGCGATGGATTGTTTTGTTCAGTGTCGTCTTCAGGAATCAGATCAACGTGACGTTGTAAAGCCGTTTGAGAGTTTGCGAAACGACTGCCATCTATAAACGTTTTAAACCAAAAAATCTGTCGTAAAGGATATTTTATCAATGGAGGTTTGAAGACGACGAGAGCTGCCATTAAGAAGACATAAACAAGAAATACAATCCAAAACCAATAGTCGTTGCAATCTCGTGTTAAAGTACAGTTCGTTGACCACAGAGCCTCTGAATAGCCAGATGAACACATCCCACACATAAAACCAGTACGTTTACCTTGACATGCATTGTATTCAGTGCTGTCAGATGGCGGGGAATTGCAGTAGCCAAACGGGCAAGTGATGAAAGCCAACGTAGGTGGATTCGAACCAGTTTTATATCCCCAAAAGTTTGACTTTGATCTAATGAATGGGACACACACTGCGCCTCGCGGGCATTGGAGGCACTGGAAACTAGATTCTACATTTAATCCTCTCCCCGTTCCTCTTTGCAGAGAGTAGAGGTTATAGTCACATTTCCTGCATGATAGCGTTAGTGCGCTGACATTACGATCGTCCGCGCCGTAGTAATGATAATAATCTTTTTCGATGGCGTAGGCCAAAGGACAGGTGTTCAGGGAGGAGTTATCCAGTGATATCTGCTCTGCTGTGGTTATCAAGATTGTCGCTTCGTCTGCAGATTCTGTGTTACGACTGAATGTTGTATTATGTATATCCGCCTTTCCAGTGCTGTAGAACCTGAGGAACGAAGAGGCTGCAAATGTTGTTCCATTACTCGTCATGATCTTCGAAATTGTTTGTCTAAACACGCAGTGGCTTAAACTAATATCCGATGCGCCAATGTTAACAACTTGACCGCCTTTAGGAAGTGCAAAATTATTTAAAAATGTGCAATTCGTTAATTTAACGTTGCATTTGGTGACTGACAAAGCGCTGCCAACAAGTGCGATGTTTTCTTTAAACAATACATTAGCAATAACAGTTTGAGAAACTCGTGAAGGCCTGTTGTTGATCTGTTTATTCTTATTATCGGTCACGGAGTCTGTGAGATATATTTCTATCGCACCTCCTGAACCATCTATATGCTTGTTCCGTACAAAAAATGAATCTTCCAATCTTAGAGAAGAATTATGTAAAGGCGCGTAAAATGGCCGACAAAGTTGTTCTCAAATGTTGCATTCGTGATCAAAATCTGTGAATTGTTCATCGACAACAGCATCACAGCGGGAAAACAAGGGTCAATCCTGTTAGAATGAATAATACAATGTTTGAATGTAACTGAAGCTTGTCCCGTAATGGATATAATTGCGGCAAAGCCAACGTTCTCTCGAAATATGCAGGTATCCAAAGTTACATGTTGGAATCTAGATTCACCTAAACTGAAAGATATACTGTTGCCGAACATATTCATGTTTCCTAGGAAACGCGAGTTTTTCAAACTTATGTTACTTCTTGTGGCGTTAAGTGTCAATCCTAGAACACTGAAAGAAATGTCAGACAACTTGTTTCGAACGAAGCTAACGTTGTTAATATAAAGATTAAATGTGGAATTCTTTTTAAAAGCTACTGCATTTACAATCAGACCTCCAATGCCAATGGCGCTATTTTCAAGGAAATTAACATCGTCAAGACGAATTGTAGAAGCATTGTCAATACAGACAGAAAAAACTCCGCCAATATTTCGCTCAAACGAAGTGCGACGAACAGTCGCAAATAGCTTGTTCGCAAATACGGACACCGCAGCGGAATCTCCAGATGTGATGTCTGAAAACGAGGAATTGATTATGTGTAGAACAACGGAATTCGTTGCATCCGAAAGCACGTCCATTTTCCATAAACCCACTACTCGAACAAAGTTTGGGTTCGAGATGTTCTGAATGCACGAGTTTTTAATAGTTAACATCGAAAATAGCGCTGCAATTCTAATGGCACCTCCCAAACCAGTGTATCTGCCATTACGAAAAAAAGAATCGTGAATGAATAGGTAACATGCACCGCTGACATACACGTCGAATACCCCACCGTGGCGAATTATCGAGTTGAATCCGTCCACGTCAAAATTTGTCATGCGGATATGCGCTGAATGTCCCTTCACAACAATAAAATTAGCAAATGTTTTATAAATAAACCCATTTTCTAATGCCATAAAAACTTTGGCAGAGAAAATGAGAAACAAACAATTAAATTTGACAATGCTTGGGTTTGTTTGACTATTTTCCTCCATCCTCAGTCGATCAATTACAAGGCTTGTCACTCCTCCCTGGTTTCCAACTACAATCATTCCGTATTCCTCAAAAGTATTTTTCTTGAAACTGCAGTTTCTTATTTGAATGTTAATAAAACTAGCTTTACAAGCTAAAAAAAGAATTGACCCAGGAGAATTGCCATTTTGGAAGAAAGACGTATTAGCGACGTTCAAAGAAATCCCAACTCTAGGAAGGGCCTGAATTCTTATGCAGGCCCTGTTCCGCTGGAATACAACACTGTCAAGAACCAAATTAAAGCGCGGGAGATGCAAGACTATTATATGCATGCTTATAAAATGATTTTCCGCAAATACGGTGTCCCTCGCGGATACGGAGGCATCAAAAAAGCGAACAGATGTGTTCAAAAAGGTTAGTCCAGAGAAGCTAACTTGTACACCGTTCTTAAGCTTAATTCCGTTCACCAACCAGGGGTTTCCATGGAGACACGAGATGTAAGCACGTGATCTGATGCTGACGAATGATATGCTTTTATTAATACGAATTCCCGGTTGTCCAGGGTCTTGCCTTTCGCATTGGTAAGGGTTTTCGGTAGTTTCTTTGCCATCCAGGTAGATTACTGACCCTTCTGTCAGTTGTAGAATGCCATAAGATATACTGCGACAAGGGAATATCGGGGTACCGCAATTTGTCGTATCATTCCCATTGAAACGCGATACATAGATTGAGTGTTGAGATGATTCACAACACACTGAAATAAAATGACACGATTAAACAAATGGTATATATTTGGTAATACCCATACAGATAGACTATACGGTTAGCATCTGTAGTAATTAAACTGGGCGCAGTGAGCCACGCACACCATGCATGCAATTGGGGGATGAAACTGTTGCAAAATAGGAAAGTTACACAATTCTATCGCGTAATTTTTTTTTTTTACAGATGTCACAATATCAACACCTTTGCTTCCTCGAATAACCGCTCCCTATTCCTGAGCCACACAAGTGTCGCTCCATGGCTTATATGTCTTTGATGTCTACAGCATTCATGCCATAGTCCAAATGCAAAACTATCATTTTTAAGGATTCGCTTATTTAAGCAAAATCCTTTATGTCATCGTCTGTGTAAAATAGATAGATAGTAAGAATGTGACGTAACTACGATATCTTCCGAGGACCCAAAAATTCGCGAACCGACGGAAACTATTATCCGCCATTACCGTTGAATCAGTTTGTGAATATTTGCGATCTTTTGGGCAAAAAAATACCGCTTATTTTCGTAAATGAACGAACAACTAAAGATTTAGACAATTTTTTAGAGCTAAGCGAAGGGATAAATAACTATTTTGTGCTGGGAATACAAGGGGAAAGGTCCTAAAAACCTGAAATTCGGTAAACTAAAGGAGCGGGATTTTATACAAAATTGAAGGTGATGTCTCCATTTAATAGTTCCATTTTTCACTCATGGAACTTTAGAAAATATAATTACTTGTAGCGGAACCATTGAAACAATTTCGTCGTGCGTTTATCAATACATACTGCGTTTATCAATAAACTGCGTTTGCTTTAAAAACGCTAAAATATCTTCAACAATTTTAATATAACTGAAGAATACAAGCAGGTTAAACGTTGAGGAAATGGCTTTGAATGTTCGGGAATTGGTTTTATATACTATTATATAACTATCACTACGCCATATGTGCCCGTGCGCAGGCAACCATAACATTGGGCTGCCTATGTTCATGCAATCGCCATTCGCAATAAACCAAACATTGATATGTGTTTTGCAAATCCTTATGCACTCTTTGAGTGCCTATTTTTATTGTAGTATTGTGGTCAGAAAAGTAACATTATATTGTTCATACATCCTAACACATGCATAGTTCACGAATATATGTGAAGTCTTGCTTGTATTCACCTAATACTCTTCTCATTGTCGTCTGTCTCGCTTTTGAAACTATTTAAAATGGAGGCTAAATTTTTGCACGCATATTTTTAAAACTTAGTCGGAAAATTGACCAGCGAATTCAGTCCCGAATCTTATAGTCCTCTGTCAAATCATGTAAAATCTCTAATCGTCAGCTTGAAGTTTAAATGACAACCCAGCTAACACAATCGCGTTGTATGAACGTTGTATTAACGTTCGTCGAATGTTTGGATAACGTTATTTATTAACGTTGGGTAAATGTTTTTTTATACTCGTAGGAACCTGGTACTAACGTTAGGATTAACATTACAGCGCGACGTTTATACAACGTCCGTACAACGTTCAACTCAATGTTCATATAACCTAATGTCCGACGTTAATGCAACGTTCAGCAAACGTTTGGCGCCAACCTTCGGCCAACGTTTGAACAACGTTTGAACAACGTTCAACCAACTTTAAGATAACGTTGGATATCAAGGTTGAGACAACGTTAATTATTTGGGAGTATTTGAAAATTCCTGCAACTTCGTTTGCGAGCTTGCGAATACAGATAACTGATAGTCATCAGCCGTCTCCGGCGTCAATTTGCTAGAAATGTTTTAATCAATGTCAATGACATTACAAGTATTCGCAGGCTGGCGAACAATGCCTCCGAAATCGCAATTAAATTCACACACCACAGTATATATACGTTTCAATATTTTATTTCGTTCAAATTAATACCTTACAAGCTAACATATTTCTTTAAAACACGGAAATGGAAAAATTATTGATTGTCTGATTCCTTCTTTCGATCCATTTGGAATGATATCTTTAGTGATATTTTCGTTATATATGCCTTTGGCCGGTAGCACTTATGGAGAACGTACACTGATATGGATAAAGCTTCTTCGTGTTTATCTATGAGGGTGTCTAGCTGACTAGCTTCGTTAAGACCGAGCTTTGAAAGCCTAGGAAATCGGAAAACGAAATTAAACTATAAACATGTAAATTATTCTGTCATTTAGATAGGTAATAATAAAATAATACAATGCTATATACACTGATTGACATCATATTATATGCTATCTCGGCCAGCTCGCCGCATGGGACTTGAAGGAAAAAACCATTTCATTTATTTTGTGAATAATGAACAATCGCGAATCTCTTCTTACCTTTGTAACAGGTATATGAATACTTGGGAATTAGATTAACCTTTTCTTTATACAATCGACGCAGATAAGCTGTAAATATGTAAATATAAAATGCTTTAGTCGAAGACACATTTGAATTTGGTGCCCTTTGACCTTATTGGCTTATATCACATTTTCATCATTTTCGCAAATTTTCATTTCTATTACATACTATAAAACAATATTTACTTACGTTGATGACCTTGATACTCCCGTTTTTTCCAATGGAAAGAAAATTTCAGGTAGGTTATGTTTGAGATAAAGGGAAATTTGTTTCTCTCAAAGTAAAGCTTCCAACGGAAATGAACGCGCGGCCTATGTATGTATGACGTCAGACTCCGTAAATTTGACTTCGGGACTCCGGCTCCGAAACTCCGGCTCCGAAACTCCGGCTCCGGAACTCCGACTCCGTGTTATCCATGTTACCCAATCTGACCCTATGAATTTTATCGACTGGTCCCCAGCACTGACTATATATGGTATTAACATATAACAGCATCACAGGCTCGCAGCATCTATTCAGATTTCGGTATTGAAATGTTTCTGTCGTCTTAATCGTATATATATATATTAATATATATATATATAAAAAAATAAATATAGCATTTCGGCCATCATCGCAATATCGAATAATTGGTATGGTTTATCGGGTAATTCATGAGCCGCCTGCATGTTCGCGACTGTCGCACTAAGACTCACAGATTCTCGTTTACTGAACATTTTTGGGTGATGAAAGTACATCGCGCAGCGATTTGATGATAAATTAAACTTTAAATTCAAAAAACCGCAATGCGAAATGTTCGAACTGAACGTTAATAGCATTTCCATAATCAAACATATATAGACACAAACAGCAACAATGTCACCCTGATCGAACGTTAATATCGACTTCCAAACAACGTTGTCACAACGTGGCAATGTAACGTTAAATACAAAGAAAATGTCACTCTGAACAAACGTTATTCTCAACTTTCAACCAACGTTGTCACAACGTGGCAATGACACGTTAATATGACGAAAATGTCACCCTGATCAAACGTTATTCTCAACTTTCAACCAACGTTGTCACAACGTGGCAATGACACGTTAATATGACGAAAATGTCACCCTGATCAAACGTTATTCTCAACTTTCAACCAACGTTGTCACAACGTGGCAATGACACGTTAATATGACGAAAATGTCACCCTGATCAAACGTTATTCTCAACTTTCAACCAACGTTATCACAACGTTGCGATGTAACGTTGATACAATGAAGAATATCACCTGTAGATCAAACGTTAAACACAACGTTAAACCAACGTTACTGCATGCAACGTCAGAATATAACGTTCAGATAAACGTGATTGCCAGGTTGAATGCATTCAATGCAACGTTCAACCAACGTTGATTCAACGTGGTCTAAAATGAATTAGGACAAACAACGTAGTGAGAACGTTGTATTAATTAAGGTTTATTCATGACTTAATCAAAATACAACCTTTAGCCAACGTTGGGATAACGTTGTGTGCTAAGGTCCATTACTTGACATTTCGAAGTGACATTTAAAAATACAAAGATATTCTTCTTACCAGATGAATATACTAAGGCTGCATACAACCCTGCTAACCAGATCAACGCCATCGTCTGATTAAAACCAGCGAAAAAACAATGACGAGCAATCCAAGTACAGTGATATAACCGACAGCTCAATTGTACAAAGAGCTTCTAAAAAAGTGAAGAAAACAATTTATCATAAGCCGGACATCACAGAAGTTATTTAAATTCCTTTTCAAACAGGAAGTCCACGCCTATATTTTCAATATCCGATTTTTTGCTTCGTCTAAGCCTTCATAAAAAATATTATGAAAAAATACAGTATTCTCTTTAAAATTGACCTTTCACTAAAGATTGAATATTGTGTCTTAATATGACAATCTTTGTTTGTGACGCACATGACATTATTCATGCGTACTGTACATCAATATCAAAGCGGATATTAAATCTTGAATAATTAACACTTAATTATTTACTGCGAACGAAGGAAACATTATGTTTTGTGGACCCGAGACCTGTCGATATTCGATGGTCCAGAGTCCACAAAACATAATGTTTTCTGAGTTCTCAGTAAATAAGTTTTTTATTATATACCACTTGTCAAAGAAAAACCAAACTACAAGGTAAACAAGGAAATATCTATTCATAAAAGACATGATTTCAAATAGATAAAAGTTGTTATTTCCCATGAGATAACACGTTATCTCACTCTGCAGGGGGTCGCGCTGGGGACATCAAAATTTCGTCACTCTCGCGTGATTCGCTCTCGACCAATGAAACGCTAAGAAAACAAAACTTTGACAAGTGGTATATAATAATATGGGTTATTTCACTTACTTGATATTACACTCCCTTCATAATTATGATCACTGAGCAACTGCGTAAAATATTATATGACTGGACTTATTTTCATCATAGTTGCCAAGTTTTCAAAAAAGTTAGGTGTGGGATTTTCTCAAAATTCCACATACCATAGTCAAGCATACAGCATGTCATACAACAATTTGGTCCTTGGAAAAATAACAGTCAAACTAAACATGTTAAAGTATGAAGAAATGCTCTAAAATGTATTCGTAGATACCGTTATAACCGCAAAGCATCACGAAGTTAATCGGTTTGTTGGAATTTATGCAGTCGATACTTGGTGTAGCATTCAAAATGAATCTTAATAATATTTGAAGCGCGACTCGTCAGCGTTTTCTTTTGAATCATGTCATTGTCTTAATTTTGTAGCGTTTATCGTGTTTTTCTATAAGAATTTTGAAATGATCATGATTTGAACGGTACTTTTGAAAATGCGTGAGAAATAGAGCAAAGATCGCAAAATGCGTGGGATTTTCCCATGCGTGGGACAGGGGTGAGGTGACGTTCAAATGCGTGGGCCTCACGCGCAATGCGCGTGACTTGGCAACTATGTAATTCATTCTAAGCCATGGGACTTAATTAATCCACTGGGAAATACGGCACCAAAACGTTGAGTTTCTTTTCATATCAGTTGGTTGATTCCTTTATTCATTATTTATATTTCTGAAGTTCGCCAGAATCGTAAAAGCATAAATAATTCAACGCAAGTTCTCAGTCATGCTTTCTAAGATGCACAGACAAAATAATCTGGGGCCGAAGTGCATCTCCGATACGTGGATTTTTCTCAAAAACTAGTTTTTAAAAGACGTACTGAATTCGTATAGAATAACAAAAGAGACCCGGATGAAGTTCACAATTTAGATAATACTTCCCAAAAAAATTTACTAAACATGTTTGTCAATAATGCATTTATGTCACAATAGAGTTGCTTTTTATGGTGTTAATTAGCTAGAAACAATGATCTTTATAAACTAATTATAAACTAAACTTAACTTTGCAATACACACGACAAGAGTCCTGCTATTCATCATCCATGCTATCATAAACGTTTATCAGAACAATAGAATTCGAATCACGTCGCAAACACCTCTTGCAACAAAGTCTGGAGAAACATTTAAAACAAGCGCTGCTGCACACGAAAAGAAAACGAGCGAATATCGAAATAATTGCAAAGCATACACGAAAATAAGAAGAAGAACAAGAACTGCAGGAAACATCCCTAAAATAAGAACTTCCAGCCATTTGAAAGCTTTGAAAACTGGCACCAAAGGTCCCTCGATGTTTTAATGAGAACTAGAGAACACCGACCTAAACAGGTTGATCAGAGCTAAAACTATCAAAAACATCAAGGAAATGGACTCGAGGTTGTTCGAGGAAGAGTTTTGAAATGGTTTAATTTTGAGATGAAGACATAGAATGAAAAGGCAAGCAAGCGTCATGCAGAATAATCTGAAGGATGGCTCGGTAACCACGCAAAAGATTACAACCAAAATAAATCGACGAGCAATTAAAATGCTCTGCCAATACAAAGCTCCACGCTTGCTCGTTTCATTTGGCTGTGCGTATGGACCTAGAAGCAATTCTTTTAAAGCGCTCAAATTTTCGCTTTCCTCGACATGTTCGTCTTCAGATCGACAAACGATGCGCAATAGCCTTTGAAACAAGAACGACAGAGGACAAATAATAGCTAGGAGGAAATTTCTGACGGTTATCTTATCATAGTAAAGTTTGAACGCGATCCAAGCGAGAACGAAGATAAATGGAATGACAAAGGTGGCATTGAAAATGAACGATGCATATTGCCACCATTCGTAGCATAAGACGTTTCCATTGTAAAACCATCTGTGGGTTTCCTCGAACGAGTGCCAAGTTGTTGTTCAGGAAGGGAACGATCATTTTCGATTTCCGATGACGCAGTTTGTCGGTTTTCCTGCTTTTTAGGTAAATCATTTTCTATTGTTTCTGTGCCAACTTTTGGGCGTTGTTCGCAAGCCAAATCAATCCCTTCGCTGATTTCGATGTTCGAAATAAAATTATGTTCGTTTGGGTCTTCTGAGGACATTTCGATTTTCGGTTTGTAAATTTAAACGAAATTCGCCAATCGGTGTTATTTTACTGTAACGGCCGCAGCGCAAGCTGTTTGAAAACGACGACGATTTGTCTACGTCACGACGCGTTTTAGAGTTCGAAGAAACAAATTCAGGGATATATTTTACAGGCAACAATTTATTAGTCTTGACCAAGTAACAACCTTACTCCTCGAGAATCATTAAGGTTGTCGATTATAGTTGTCGTAAACTGAAATAACGAATATAAAAACTAAGTTCATGCATTCCTAATTAATATACCAGCAAAAACTACTACAACTGTATCTTAAACTAAAGGAATAATAAGCTATACAGATTATGAATACGTATCGCATGCACCAAAACATGTTCTAAAACCGCTCAATCTTATCATGCAATTACTAAGACTAACACGATAAAAGAGAAACTACAAACTAACTAAATAACAATCGTAAAAGATAAACTTACATAACAGTTCCGCTTTGTATAGGCAAACGATGCACAAACCGAGATGTTCGAACAGCTGGATGAGTTACGAAAACTTGTTCGAAACTTTTATTACAAGTTTTCTCGACGAATACACATAACCAACTGAGCGAAAAACAAGATTGTGCAAACCTTTACCTGTCCCAAATCGGAACTATTTACCGCGTCATAAGTAACCACTAAATAACCAAAAAGTTCCTGCTATTGTTCAATCGAGCTGAAAGCCGCTACAGACGTACTGAATTCTTATAGACTATGGTATAACAAACCGGATAAAGTTCACAGTTTAGATTATATTTTCCAAAAAAATGTATTAAACATGATTGTCAATAATGTATTTATGTAACAATACAGTTGCTTTTTATTATGTTGATTAGCTAGAAACAATAATCTTTATCAACTAAACTTATAACTTTCCAATACACACGAAAAGACGCGGTTATGTCACAATACAACTGCTTTTTTATAATCTTAATTGCCAATTGGCTAGAAATAATAATCTTTATCAACTAAACTTATAACTTTGCAACACACACGAAAAGATGCGGTTATGTTACAATACAACTGCTTTTTATTATGTTAATTGCCAATTAGCTAGAAAAATCAACTTTATCAACTAAACATAACTTTGCAATACACATGAGAAGAGTTTTGCTATTCATCATCGTTCCCGTCACAAATGTTTACCAGAACACTAGAATTCGAATCACGTCGCAAACCCCTTTTGCGACAAAGTTTGGAGAAACATTTAAGACAAGCCCTGCTGCACACGAAAAGAAAACGAGCAAATATCGAAATAATTGCAAAGCATACAAGAAGAACAAGAATTGCAGGAAACATCCCTAAAATAAGAACTTCCAGCCGTTTGAAAGCTTTCAAAACTGGCACCAAAGGTCCCTCGATGTTCTGATGAGAACTAGAAAACACGGACCTAAACAGGTTGATCTGACCTAAAATGATTAACGACATCAACGAAACGGACTCTAGGTTGTTCAAGAAAGAATTTTGAAATGGTTTAATTTTGAGATGAAGACAAAGGATGAAAAGGCAAGCAAGCGTCATGCAGAATAACCTGAAGGATGGTTCTGTCACGATGCAAAAGATTACGACCAAAATAAATCGACGAGCAATCAAAATGCTCTGCCAATACAAAGCTCCACGCTTGCTCGTTTCATTTGGCTGAGCGTATGGACCTAGAAGCAACTCTTTCAAGGCGCTTAAATTTTCGCTTTCCTCGATATGTTCGTCTTCAGATCGACATACAATGCGGACTAGCCTTTGAAACAAGAACGACAGAGGACAAACAACAGCTAGGAGGAAATTTCTGACGGTTATTTTATCTTTGTAAAGCTTGAATGGAATCCAAGCGAGAACGAATATGAATGGAACGACAAAGACGGCATTGAAAATGAACGATGCATATTGCCACCATTCGTAGCATAAGACGTTTCCATTATAAAACCATCTTAGCTTGCCTTCAACGGGGACACAGCGAATTAGCGAAATACTGACAGTAGCCAGGGTCACGTAGCTAAGGAACACTGTTTTGACGCTGGCTTGAAAATAAGGAGAAATGTCAGGTCGAAGAAAACCTCTCTTGCAACGAATGAGGACGTGGAAGGCATAGAGAAGAAAGATTGCAGCGAGCGTCCCGAAGACCGGAGCAACTTTAAAAAGAAGCTT